TCCCGATAAACTCGTTAACGCTTACTTTAAAGCGAGGCTAATAGGGGACTATATAGGTTCCTATAATATTCCCACTAAGAACTAAACGGGTTTATACCTTATCCTTATAGGAGACCTTATAAATATAAGGTAAGGATATTTTTCTATTCTTTCCCCCTCCTTATAGATAACGAGACTTACTAGGGACTAAATAGGTTCACATACTATCCACGTATTAGCTATATTAACCTAGAAAAACCCTTTAATAGGCCGTGGAGATAAATTCTTAGGCAGGAACCCCCCCTTAACCTAGACGGGAACTATATAGGCGTTATCGTCTTAGTTACTATTTTCTTCCTTTTTAAGCATTCTGCTCTTAATCTCTGTTTTTCTTTATTAGACGCTAATAGCCCTTTACGCCCTTATCTATATATCTACCTATATTAATCGGGACCTGCGAATATACTCACCGGGGTATAATCCTTACTCCTTATACCTTATCCCTCCCCTTTACGAATATCACGATTAAGACGATATATCACGCTAGATTATAGTTAGGACCGTTAGGGTTATGATAGGAATACCCTAAAGCTGGTTAAAAAAAAAAGGAAAAACCTAACCCGAAGGCTAGTAAAAAACCTGGAAAAAAAAATAACCGTTCCTCTATATATACTATCACGGCCCCTTTAGGGCGTCCTTAAACCCTACTAATTCATCGTCTAGAGGGGTAGGCTCCCGCCTAGCCACCTCGCCGTTATTATCCTTTATATATACCTAGCTCTGCCCCGTGGTAGCAGCCGTTACCCCCTTTTACCCACTACCCGCGGATAGTATCGAAGGCCGAAAAGACAGAGGCGTCTTCGCCTTCTACTACTTCTTCTTCTTCTTCCCTAATAAAGGAGTTAAGGGCGTTAAAGCCTTTTTCCCCTTCTTTACTAATAAGGTCGGCACTATATTATTATTATCGGGCACTTAGTAAGGGTCCGGCGGGCCTTGCGGACCTTACGGTATCGTGCCCCCCGATAGCGAGCCTTAAGGTTATATAGTGCTACCACTATCGCTATATATATTATTACCTATAAAGATAACCCCCGCTGGGGCTAAGGTAGACCCTAAGGGTATAGGCAGGTCTCCCTAAGCCTAGGCTAGGTTAAGAGCGGCTATCTACTCGAAAGTAGTAGCCGTCCGCTCTTAGGCCGCGAGGTCGCGCTTGTGTAACGTAAGGCGTTATTATTTAATATCGAGGCGTTTCTGCTTAACGGCTAGACACTGCTACTATAGCCCGACGAATTACTTAAGGATCGACTCTATACTATTAAGCCTCTCGTGGATATCTTCCGCCGTTTTCTAGCGGGCGTCGGTAATTTCCTTAGCTTAACGCTGAGTAGCTATATCTTCCTCGGTAGATAACCGGTTAACCTCTAGTATCGCTTAACCTAGAGCCTCTCTAAGGATAACCTAGTATCGAACTACTATAGCCTAGTAATATAAAGGATTAGTAAGGGTACTATATAGGGTTAATAAGGGGATATAGTTAGTAACACTTATATAACGACTCTTGTTTAGACTACCCTTCTCGATAACGATAACTAAAACCTTTTATAGCTACTCGGTAGTGTTTTTACCGGTAATAAGGAGCTATTATTATATTAGAAACGGGCCTACGGAGTAGTCTATAATAGGAGGAAGTATAGGGATAATAATAAAGATATATAACTTACTACGCGGTATTTAAGGCTATTATGCTTAGAGTAGTAGTGGTACTTATTTATACGCCGACCGTTATCGGCGTAATAGCACGTCTCGGCCTTAATAGTGTGCGCCTTTTCCTTAAAGTTAATCGTTACTAACTTACCCGTATAACGTATATAGGGGGCCCTTAGATCCCCGCCTATACTAATATCCACTACCCTCTAGCGTAAAGCGACCGACGGTATAGTAGTTAACGACGACGTAGCCGTAGTAAAATAAAAAGGCTCTAGCGCTACCGGAGCGATAACCTACGATAAGGCAGGCTATATAGCCGATAGCGGGGTAGACTACCTAGCGGACTACGAGGTTAACGCTATAACTATAATCTTAATCCTCTTAAAGGACCGCGTTATACTCGCGGGAGTAGCGGCGTGTTTATTATTATTATTATCTTCCTGGAAAGGTATAGTGACTATACTAGACGTGTGGTTAGCTGGTATTATAGACTAAAAAACGTGTAGAAGTACTTATAAGATAGTAGTTAATTAATTAATTAATTAAGAAAAACTATAAACCGTTAGTATAAGATACCTTGGATTAGGTCGACTTACTAAGCGTAGTATAATCGGAAAATTGAGTATAGAAGAGAAAGAAGAAGAATAAGAAAAGGGAATAACGGTAGAATTACGAGATATTCCCCTAATAGTAGTTATATAGGCACCTATTTTTAGTATAAAAAAGGAAGCTACGAAATACACGGAAAGAGCACTGTTAGTGCCCCACGTGATACTAGCTTAGGAGTCTTTATCGGATAGATTAAAGGAATAACCCAGGAAGATAAAGGGGGCGGATCCGAGGACCTGGAAGGGAACCACCCTAGAACCTATTAGGGTTCCGGCTAGGATATTAGTTTTAGTGGATAGGTTAGCGAAATAACGGAAAAAGGCACGCACCCGGGTTAGGGCCACGGCTAAGGAGGCCCCGCGTGGGAACTAGGCGGGAACCCGTCGGGGTCCTGTCGTGGAGGGCTCTAATTCGGGGCGTCGGGGAACTTAGGGGACGGACTCGGGGACTAGGTTTTCGGAGGAGCCGAGAGGCCGGCACGGATCAGGGCGCTCCTAAAGATAGGAGTATCCGGGGGAGGTCGCTATATTAGGTGCCTATAGCAGTAGTTATAATAAGCCCCTAGTATAAACCTATAAGGATCCAGGTATACTTAGTCTAAGACCCCTTAAGGCATAAACAAAGTAAGTCATCACACAGTAAACAGGATAATCCCTTAAAGTAAATAAGGCAGCCCTTAAGGAAGCAAATAAGTAGTCCTCGAGGAGCAGAGCGTAGCCTTAAGGAGTAAGGGAGCCTTTCCTTTAAAGAGGGAGGCCAGCGATTAATCTAACTCTTTAGCTACCCCTACACTTCTTTTATTATAATCCCATCGTGATTATACCTGGTTCCTTACTTAACCCTACCTTTTCACTCTTTACGACTACCCATTTAATATAAAACCACGCTCTTATCCGCTATTCTATATCGTAGTAAGTAGTTATATCCCGAATACTAGATCCTAACCTTATATAATAGAGCTTCTGAGATAATATTCGTGTGAAATCCCTTTACCACGATAATATCGTTAAGCTTTAAGTCGACTTTCGGAGCACCTAATAGTCTATTAAGAAGGCCCTTAAAGATCTGTTTACTTTTACCGATAATAGGGAATTCTATAGTGCCGGATTTAATAGTGCCGTTTATCGGAATAAAAGATCCGGGAATAAGCAGATCGATTAAGTTAACTAAGTATATCGCGCCGTAGTTATCTAAAAGGGTGCTATACGAGAGCGGGTAAGTATTAGATTATAGCGCCGCGTAGATACCGGGAACTTCCCCTATATCGTAAATAAGGGTTAGGTCTAAGATAGTTATAATAACCTTTAAGGGGTATCCGTTACCCTTATCGTCACTTTTACCGGCGCTTCCCTATTCTTTCTTTAATAGGGTTTCTCGTAGACTTTTCCACTTTTATTACTATAACTCTTTCCGGATTTATTCGATATAATTATCGCTTATCTACACGGATAGCTACTACTCGTATTTACCTATAAGAGTATACTCTACTCTATTATAAAGCTCCGGCTTCCACGAATAAGTCCTATTATAAGGGTATTTATACCCCTTACCCTTACCTTTCTTCCCTTTTCTATTACTGTTATCGTCTTTATCGGAGCGGTCGTTTAGGGTAGCGTAAACGCCGTACCTAGTTCTATTAAAGCTAGGAGCGCTTATAATCGCGTTAAATTCGCGGCCGTATATTAGGATATTATTAATTACTTTATCCTTATTCTCCTTACGGATTAGTTTATAGAACTTAGCCTTTACCTAGGCCGGGGTAAAACGCTACCTAACTATAATAAGGAAGTTACGGATAGCTATAAAACCCTTAACGTCGTTAACTTTATACTAACGATAGCGCCGGATAAGAGTATTCTACTCCGTATACCACGCTACCACCTTTATATTAGCTCTTCGGGTATCCTAGAGGTGCTTATCGTATACTTAACGAACCTCTTTAGCTAAGAATAGTACGCTAGGAGCGAAGTATTTCTTTAATTCCTTTATCACTTATTATATTATAAAGTAACGGTTTTATTTCCCCTTTTCGTAGCTAGGGTACTTCTTAATAGCTTTCTTAACCACTTATTAATAGGCAGAGGTTTCGATAGTCGCTTTAAGTATATAATTAGCTTTATTAAGCGCCTTAATTAATCGGGCGAGCTTTTAATTATATACCGTAACCTTATAGCCTTTTAGCTTAGCGAGCTTAATTAATTCCTACGTGGTAGGAGGGGTTAATACCCCGTTAATAACCTAGATGTGTTTTTCACGTAGCTAGTCAATAGATATAGGTATAACGTACTCGGGTCGGTTATCTAGCTACTCCGGCCTATTAGGGTCGAGTAAGGCCTAGACCTCTATACCCTACGTATATAACTTAATATAGAAGATCTAATCGGCTTATTACCTAGTAGACTCTAGCTACGGTATACCGAGCGCTTTAGCGGTGATTTTAAGCTTTATAGATATAGTTTATAGTAGGGATTTAGCGAATAAGGGCTTTTCTAAGCGAGAGAATAGGGTAGATACTCCTTAATTAGCTACGGAAGTATACGTAAAATAGATAAACGTAGATAATAGATTAGCAGGAAGTTACTAGTTACTGCTACTACCCGGGCTTATAACTATTAGATTAACGGGCGTATAATCCGGCCGGAGCAGAGATTTAATAGATGTATAATTCTATTCGTTATATAAAGGAAAGAAGAATAGGAAGGTGTGGGTGTTCTAAATACATTTACCCCTTTTCCACGCGAGGAATATAGGGCTAATCCAGCTAATAGAAACACAGAAAACAGGCTCACGTGTTTTCAGTACGACACAAGCCATACCTTTACACATCGTATCAAGACATGAAGTAAAAAGAAAGTCTTATCAAAATGGTGGATGGACGGATCCAGAGTCCATCATCTCTTGTTCTGTTCATGACATCGTCATACAAAGGAGTATCATCAACACCAACCCAGAATGCTCAAAATGAACGCCCATGGCAACAAAACAACAGTGAACCCTCGCCAGAACAACCCAATCCAACTCACGTCACGCTCTGAAGCCGAATCTCAAAAGTCCCCAGGAAGAGAGAAAAGAAAACAAAATCCTACTATGCCCTGTCTTCCTCCTCCCAATAGGAATAGGGGCTTTATAGGTCAAGGACACGGGTATCTTCCCTCATCTCACCGCTCCCCAACTCCTTTTCGAGCTCATCTGCAACAAACCCTTCATAGTCGTCAAGGTTCTTCTGGATATGAATCTTGAACTTGATGACATCGTTCAGCATCCTGTCAATCTCCGTGTGGAGCTCCTCTCTCAGAGAGTTGGCCCTCAACACCAGCTGTTCGTATCTGTTTTGTCGCACGTTAGACTCATTCTTCACGATGCCTCTCCCAAGGCTGACGAGGGGGGAAAAGAAAGGAAAATAAAAAAAAAAGAGAGAGGAAAAAGAAAAAGAACTGGGAGACGAGAAAGACATACTCAATACTGGTGTTCATCTCGCGCTGCTCCATGAGCTGCACCGACTCGGTCAGGGACGCCCGCATCTTGGCAAGCTCCTTCTCCATCTTCTCAATCTGCGCATCCGAAGCCATCTTCTGCGTCGTCGTCACCTCCTTGGTCTTCTCGTACTCCTCCTCCGCCGCCCGGACGCGGTGTTCCAACGCCTCCACCTCGTTCCGCTTGTCCTCGATGGCCTCCTTGATCCCGTCGAGGAGGTCGTGGTCCTTCATCATCACCTCCATCGCCACGCTCCGCCTCTCCGACACCTCCTTGCGCAGCGCGATGAAGCTGCTCTTGACCTGGCCCCGCAGGTCCAGATTGAGGATGTGTGCCGGCTGGTACCCCGTCACCGGGTCCGCCAGTAGTCTCTCTGCCGACGGCGGCGGCGGCGGCGGCGCACCGTTCAGTCCGTGGTGGAGCTGCGACGACGTAAAATCGGGCTCTTCCCCCACCGCGACCCGGAGCTCGTAGTCCTTCCCCTTCGCGTTGGCCGCCGTCGCCGGTATCAACCCGATCTGGTACGCCACCGTGTTGTACTTGTCCACCATCCTCTCGAGCTCCTCCAGCTTGTAGCTCGCCTCCATCTCCTTCTCCGCCGCCTTCGTCTTGGCCTCCTCGAGCCGCTGCGTCGCCGACTCGATCCCCCGCTGTAGACGTTCCCGCTCCGAGGTCATGCGGTCAATATCCTGCATGCTGATGCCCTGGTCGTCCACCACTTTCTGCAGCCCGCGCCGCTCCTCCTCCGCCTCCCTGAGCTCCTCCACGAGCTTGTCCAGTTCCTCCTGCAGCACCTGTATCCGGTTCTCGTACTTCTCCGTCCTCTGCAGCGCCAGCGTGTTGTACTCCTCGAACTTGACCTTGTCCTCCTCCATGATCTTGAAGTGGTCGTCGAGCAGCGCCGGGTCGGGCGTCGTCTTCTCCAGCTCCTCCATCTCCCGCAGCAGCCGGCTGTTCTCCGCCTCGAGCATCTCCAGCTCCGCCGTGTACTTGGAGTTGGCGTGCTCGAAGGCCTCCGCCATCCGTTCCACGTGCGGCGCGAGCACCTTCTCGGCGTCGTCGTCGCCCGCGTCCTCGTCCATGGCAAGCCAGTCCCTATACGCGTTGCTCAGGAAATCGAAGATGATGTGGTCGCCGCTGACGTCGATCCCGCTATCCAGACACGCATCGTCGTACTGGTTGGATGCGTGGCCGTCCAGCATCTGCGCCAGCTGCATCATCCAGTGCAGTAGTCCCAGGAACGTGCTCCAGTTTTGGCCGCCGACCGCCGCGATCTGACTTTTGGTGATGCTCCTCTCGTACGGGTACCGGAGCTGCTTGAGAATGGGCGGTACCTCCTGGTCGATGTTCTTCTGGAACCGATAGCTGGGGTCGATGCGGTGATAGAGCCACTGGAACATGTAGTTGAAGTCCTTTTGCGTGGGCGACTTGATGATGTTTTGAGACAGAACGTGCTTCATCTGCTTCTCAAAGTTATTTTGCGCCAGATAGTCGAGCAGCTCCTGTCCTATCCTGGCCTGGTAGGACCTGTCCTTGAGAGGGCGGGGGTCGCGCGGTACGCCGGCCGGCTGTGGCGCTTGTTGGAAAAAGCTTTGGTGGCTCATGGGCCCGTTGGTCGACGGGCGCGACCGGTATACGCTGCTCCTCCTGTCGGCATCCATGGACGCGCGGCTGGACTGCGGGTTAGGTGTAAAGGCTGATTTGGGGTCGCGGACAGACGTCCGTTTGACGGATGAGAGTCCCAGCTCGGTGAGGTTGGTGCCGGAAGACGAGCGCTGAAACCGAGGCTGGCTGGGCCGCGACAGCGCCAGGGAGTGCCTAGATCCCGACATTGATCGCACATGGCTCTTGCTCGTGGAGTAGGGCGCGCCGACGCTTGAATTGGATCGTTTCATGGCCGACGTTGGCTGGGGTAGGTTGGAGTTGAAGTTGAGGTTTCCAAGTGTCTATCGAGAACGGTAATGGTCAGGGTCTACTTGGTTAATCCCTTTCTTTGTTCTTTGGGCGCTTTGTCGTATGGGGCCTTTCCCCTTTACAGCTAACCCCTGATAGGGTGGGAAAGGCTCGCTCACCTCTCGGGTTCTGCGCGCGCTCCAAAAACCTGTGTCTTGCGACATTGTGTGGGGTATCGTCTATCGCAGCAAAGCTTTCGCAATCGATGCAATACCCGCCCCCCGCTTCTTCAATGGGTGCGGCGCTTGTGCGATGAAGAGCTATTGATGCAAAAATTCTATCGTCGGTGATGTCGCTTTGGGGAGCTGTAGGTGGGTGTAGAGTGTGTGGGTGGGAATGGAGGGGGGGGAGTTGGGCTGAAAAGGTGTTGCTCTTGGAGAGGAAGTAAACAAACCATCCAGATATTTCATTGGCTGCGCGAACACCACTGGCAAATAACCTTTCGACGCGACCACGTGATCTGCAGCCTAGCTGGAGGATAAATGGGGCCGTTAATATGGGGTCTCGCCAAGCAATCGCCGGGCGGTGTGGTCCACTCATCGGTACGTACCACTTCTTCACTTTGGTTCTCCATTCCTTTCCCGAGCCTCGGCTTCCCCATCCCGACCTGGAGAATCGTTTCACGGACAGCACATGCACTACTCCGTACTTCGCCATCAAACCGTCATCATCACTTCGAAGCTTCTTTAACATCATCCCTCCTCCCGGTCGCCCTCGTGTCATCGGATTGGTGATGCAGCTATCTTAATCATGACAATAAGAGAAGATATTGTCGCCTCTGCGGTATGTTCTTGCACCTGTATTTTCATCCCGCCATGGATCATCGTGATGAAACTAACGTGACTGAAATTGTAGGCGCAATGTCAGTATGACCCAGCATTTGCATTCTTCACCCGCCGACAGCCCTAAATAAGGATTTAGAAAGAATCTGACTGACTCCCCTGCAGTTCTCCAAGATCCGAGCGTTGCCAGCTCGTCCATCGAGAACCGCGTCTCGTTTCTCCGAACGAAGAACCTCACCCAGGAAGAGATCGGTGCCGCCCTCACACGAGTAGGCGTTCAGTCTCCGACAGCAGTTGCCGCGCCTCCTGCTACGGGTAGTCCAGTGCCAGCTGGGCAACCGCAACAACATTATACGACAACCTATCCAGCCCAATATGCCGCTTGGCAACCTCCTCCCCCGGTTCCCAAGAGAGACTGGAGGGACTGGTTTATTATGGCGACGGTGGTAGGGGGCGTCAGTTATGGGGCTTATGCATTGGCAAAAGTAAGGTTGAATCCTGAAAAGTCGAGCAGAGGAGCTGGCTATGATGGGCATCGGGCGGGCTAACAAGTTTCAGCGCTACGTGTACCCGCTTATCGCACCGCCAACTCCCGAACGTCTAGAGCAAGACAAGAAGTCCATCGAGGAGCAATTCGACAAAGCGTTCTCCCTAGTAGAGCAGCTGGCTAAAGACACGGAAGCTCTCAAGGCGGCGGAACGGGAACGGACAGAAAGGCTCGACGGGGCCTTGTCGGACTTCGAAGCCGTCATCAACGAGATTAAATCAGCAAACCGACGCCGAGACGACGAGGCCCAGCGCATTCGCGACGACGTTGGAAACCTTAAGGATGGGATTCCGAGGGCGATGGACAGCCAGAAGGACCTGACGGACCAGCGGCTCCGCGAGATCAACGCCGAGCTCACCAGCCTCAAGGCCCTGATCTCGCAGCGGATGCAGTCGGCGCCGACCCCGTCTGCGTCTTCGAACGTCAACGGATTCCCGCAGACGACGAGCGCCACGGCCGCGACTCCCAGCCCCATGGCGGGTAAGCAGGCGACTGTCAGCGTCGAGAGCCCGACGCCCAGTGCGGCAGCTTCTCCGGCCGCCGGGGATGCCCCGAATCCGCTCTTGGCCCGGGGCCTGGGACTGGGCAACACGGGAGCGAAAGCATCCATTCCCGCTTGGCAGATGGCCATGGTCAGTAAGGGTTCTGGAAGCTCTACTCCTGTAAACGCAGGTGAGGGGTCTGGGAATTCACAGCCTGAGGCTAGCGGTTCGTCATAAGTGACTTGATGGGAGGGGCAAAGCAAAAATACTTGTACAATACAAAGGGGGAGGGGTTTCTTCTTCTCACTGGCAGTACTCGGATCATCCTCCAGGTGTAGGTCAGCTTGATTCGAACGAAGGAGGGCTCCGAATGCTGAAGTGGACTCGCTGTGGTGAAATTATGGATTGGCTACTGGCATGTTTTGGATTCTTCCTGGATTCACTGATACGGCTTGACTAGTATCGTCACCGATTGCACGGAGTTGGCCGAGAACGATCCCTTGCAGGGTACATATACCAAGTGCCGAACCTGGATCTGAAGGCTCCTGATTGGCGTACACCATTAACGTGAAGCTCAGAGTACCTTGGACAGTACTTCGAGGTTTTGCCAAGACTAGGTGCGATATGCGCATTATCGGGTTGGAGCAAGAGAGACGCCAGGTTTGTGGTGCTTCATCTCGCCCAAAAGAAAAACCCCTGATGTATTTTAGGTGTTTGGTGTTGATTGTTGGTTAACTATGTTGATTACTCATCGGGCAGCCTGTGCCGAGGCTCATGTTGTTGCATGTGGTCACATTGTCCATTTCTCTATCTTCTTCCTTTCCGCCTTGCCACTCCCTAGAGTAACATTAGTATATCATTCTTGTACTGAGATTATATATCCGTACGCCAAAGTTGATGCAAGATCGCTTGTTGTGAAAGTCGACCTGCTCACCGAGGAACCAGAAAGCCGGGGGCACCAGGCACGACTTCCCCCTCCCCGCATCCCAACATGGCCTCGGCCTCTACGACTTCAAACGAAGCGCAACTGCGTGAGCCGCCCACCACGTGGCAGAATGTCAAATTCTTCCTTTCGGCCGTGCCAAAACTCCCACTAGTGGTCCGTGTAACACTGTTACATGTCCTTGGTCGCTCGGAGCCGGCAAAGTACCTGGACCTACGCAGCGAACTCACAGTCGCCGTCTTGCGATCCTTCTTGCAGCCTACAAAACCTCGGTCCATCTCCTCGACCCAGAGGCTCGTGGTGCGAGACCAGGGCATCAAAGGTCGGATCTGGGTAGCCAACTACGCGGCCCCCGCACCCCCTGACCCCGACGTTTTGGATGTATTAGTCGCGGCGATCGAGGGTCTACACGACACGTCGTCGCCGCCGGTGGAGATACCGCGGCCTAGGATCACGGCTGTGGAGGCAGAGTGGACCGGATACCGCGCGAATGCGACGGGTGATGCTCGGCTGCCGCCTCTTTCGGCAAGGGAGCTGTTCGATGAGATGCAGAAGGAGGTCTCGAGCCCCGTGACGGTTCTCTACCTCCATGGCGGCGCCTACTATGTCGGCGATCCATGCACGCATCGGGCCGTTACCAAGAAGCTGGCCAAAATCACGGGCGGTCGGTGTTATTCGGTGCGGTACCGCCTGGCGCCTCAGAACCCCTTTCCCGCCGCATTGCTTGACGCTCTTGTGTCGTACATGGCGCTGTTGTACCCTCCCCCAGATGCATACCACACACCAGTGGCTCCAGAACATGTAGTCATAGCGGGTGATAGGTAAGAGCTTTCCCTTCTACTGTTTCTTTTTCTCCCCCTTTTTTCTTTCTTCCTTTTTTTTTTCTTTCTTTTTTCTTCGTCTGCTGTCTCCTACGGATCGGAAAACCCCCCAGGCTACTCCTCCGAAATACGCCAGCTGACTTTCTTTCCCCTTTGCTCCCTCTCTGCCGAAACAGTGCAGGAGGAAACCTTTCCCTAGCTCTGCTCCAAACCATACTCGAACTACGCAGACAGGGCCGTCAGATACGTTGGTTCGGTGCCGACTATGAGATCCCTTTACCCGCAGGGGCAGCCGTGTGCTCACCATGGATGGACATAACGGTGAGCTCGCCGAGCTGGCAAGCCAACCAAGCCTTCGACTATCTACCCCCGGCGTCGAAGTACCACGATATCAAGTACCCACCCTGCGGTGCGTGGCCGGCCAATCCGCCGCGGCGGCACCTCTACGTTGCGGATGGCTTGGTGGCGCACCCGCTTGTCACGCTGGTGATGGCCCGGGACTGGACGGGCGCGCCGCCCGTGTATCTGTGCACGGGGTGGGAGCTGCTGGCGGACGAAGACAAGTCCGCCGCGCGAACGTTGCATAGTCAGGGCGTTCGGGTGGTGTTTGAAGAATACGAGGCCATGCCGCATTGTTTTGCCATGGTACTACCCCAGTCGCCGAATGCAAGGCGATGTTTTGACGCGTGGGCTGGTTTCATCAAGGACCTAGTAGTGAAGGGAGCGGAGGCTGTCGAATCGAAAGCCGTGATGATCAAGGCTCGCACATCGGAAGAGGTGGTACTAGACTTCTCCTCGCTGGGTTGTGATGCGGAGGAAATGAGGGGTCGCGTGCTCGCGCATTTATCAGATGCAAGAGACGTGCCACCGGAGATAATGGCGAAGCTGTAGTTCCCTATGATACACATAAAGGGCTTTGGTTAATACATGGGCTAAATAGCCATATTTTACGTTATGAACTCCAGTCTCTTTACAATTTATCAATGTCTGGGTGGAATTGTAGAGCGTATTGCAGGACACCGACAGAAGCACAATAGATCAGAAATGTATTATTCGCCATACTTATCTTATCAGATCTTTCGGACTTGTCTCGGCCGGTTCCGGTTGCTACCTTACCCTTGGGCCCCTCGGAGGACGAGCCATATTACCTAATAATCGCGCTATCACCGCGTTGAGCCATCCAGGGCAAATGGTTCATATCCGTACGTACCTAGAGTAATTACGTAAGGTACCCCAGACTAACAGGTACCTCTCCATCTCATCTCTGGGAAATATCATGGCTTTCTGACATTCAACCTTCAGAAACTCGTCTCCGTCAAATTTCCCTTTCCCTGTAGCTCTTCACACTACCAGGGCACCTGGGCTGACAGCCTGCCCCACAATGGAGCCCCATAAGCAAGCCGTCTTCAAAATTTCGGCCGCTGTTAAGGGTTTCTTCGAACGCAAAGAACCCTACCGCATCTTCCATGGCTCGACAAATAGCACCCGGCCTTTCCGCCGGGACCGCTTCGTCGATATCAGCGCTCTTGGCAATGTCATCGAGGTGAACAAGGCTCGCCGTATTGCCCTCGTCGAACCCAATGTCCCGATGGACCGCCTGGTCGAGTCCACTCTCCGCCAGGGGCTTATCCCGCCGGTGGTCATGGAGTTCCCGGGTATCACGGCTGGTGGTGGCTACGCCGGAACCGCGGGAGAGAGCTCCAGCTTCCGTCATGGCTTCTTCGACGACACCATTAACGAGGTTGAGATGGTCCTCGCCAACGGCGACATCGTGACCGCCCGTCCTGAGGGCCCGAGGGCCGACCTCTTCCGCGCAGCCGCCGGCGCTGTGGGCACCTTGGGTGTCACCACCCTCATTGAACTTCGTCTTGTCGAGGCGAAGCGCTTCGTCCGTACCACCTATCACCGCACCAACTCGGTCAAGGAGGCCATAGAGCGCGTCCACACCGAGACCCTACGCCCCGAGAACGACTATGTGGACGGAATCCTCTTCTCTAAGGATCACGGCGTTATCATCACTGGTTCCTTGACCGACGAAAGCCCCCCCGAAAACGTTAAACCACAGACGTTCAGCGGCGCCTGGGATCCGTGGTTCTACCTCCACGTCCAAGATCGCACCAAGTCCCTCCCTTCTTCTTCTTCTTCTTCTTCTTCTTCTTCTTCTTCTTCTTCTTCTTCTTCTTCCTCCTCTGACTCTCCGCCCCCGGTCGACTACATTCCCCTGGCAGAATACCTCTTCCGCTACGACCGGGGCGGGTTCTGGGTTGGTGCTGCCGGGTTCGACTATTTCCGCTTCGTTCCCTTTACCCGCTTCTTCCGCTGGTTCCTGGACGACTTCCTCCACACCCGCATGCTCTACCGTGCCCTCCACGGGAGCGGCGAGTCAGCCCGGTTCCTCGTCCAGGACCTCGCCCTACCCTACGCCAACGCTGAGAAGTTCATCGACTTCACAGCCGAGAAGACCGGCATCTGGCCCCTCTGGCTTTGTCCCCTGCAGCAGACCCTACCGCCCACCTTCCACCCGCACACGGGCGAACCCGCAAAAGAAGCGGCGGGCCACAATGACAACGACAACAACGACAACAACAACAACAACAACGCCCGAGGCCCGAAAGGCAAGCAAATGCTCAACATCGGCCTCTGGGGCTGGGGCCCGCAAGACCCGGCCGCCTTCGTGGCGACCAACCGCGCCGTGGAGGACAAGCTCGCCGAGCTGGGCGGCATGAAATGGCTCTACGCCCACGTGTACCAGTCCGAGGACGACTTCTGGCGCGCCTATGGCGGGAAGGCATGGTACGACGCCCTGCGCGCCAAGTACGGCGCCGAGTCCCTGCCCACCGTCTACGACAAGGTGCACATCGATGGCGGCGCCCGCACAGAGGACCTCAAGCAGTGGCGACAGGCCTTCAAGTCGCGCTGGCCCTTCGCCGGCCTCTGGGGCATCTGGAAGTCCATCCGCAGTCGCGATTACTATCTTCATCGGAACGCCCAGTGGAAGTACAAGGAGGGGACGGAGCACTCCACGCCAGACAAGCCAAATTAATCAGGACCTATATGCCCACCGCGAGTCCTTTCATGCTTCATTGAAGATCTAGCCGCGGCTGTTTTGGTTAGGTTTCTATCACAGCTCAACCATTGTAACATAGACCAACATATCCGAGCCCCACCATCACTAAAAAGGCGTCATGGTAGTAGATAGAGAAGATTTTGGATGTATCGTTTAAAATAGAACTCTTTTTATTTTTCTCTTTTCTTTTCGCCCTTCATGCAGGTATTACGAACCTCACCGCTATCTCGAATGCTCGCAGATGCCGGTAGAATTTCGCCTATTTGTCTCGCTTCGTGCCATCATACCCGTAGGGTTGCATTATGTTCATTAAAATGGGCCGCCTCCCTCTCGGCAGAGTTCTAACGGACCTCAAAACTGATGGCCCACTCTGCTCTCGGGTCCTCCGCGCGCCTCTATGCCAAGTACGAAGGAAAGGATGCTTGCTGACTGTGCTCCTTTTGTCCAAAGCACAAACTCTATGCGCCACCGAATCTATAAAACCCCGCGATGGGCGAAGCCATCTTTGATCCGATGTCGCTCTATTGCGCCCTTCTTAGATGCGGTTCGCCTTCAGACTCACGCCTTGACGGAGTACTCGCGCTGGAACATGTCGTCCACCTTCTCGAGGTAGTAAGTGCCTGGGGCAATGGTGCTAGGATCACCCTTGGGAGTGTAGTTCTTCTGGAGGTGAGCCTGCTTACGGAGCTCGCACATCTGAAATTCTTCTTGTCAGCTCCGGGTCCTTTTTGCACCAGTAGCAAAGCGAGGCGAAGGAAAAAAAAAGGAAGAAAAAAAGGAAGCAACTTACCGAGTCGTAAGTCTCGGGGGAAACCTGTCTCCGCGCGGTCAACCGATTGGGAATATCCAGGACCTTGGCGATGGAGGCCACACTGCCATTGACACGGAACGACATGAAGCTGGCAGCCAGGCCCGAGCCGTAACTGAACAGGCCGATGCGCTTGCCGACGATATCAGCATCGTCGACGTGGGAGATCAAGCTAGCCAGGCCGCCCCAAACGCTAGCGCAGTACATGTTGCCGCACATGGTGGCGACCTGGATGCTGGGATTGACCCTGTCCTGGAACTTCTTCTTGGTGAGGGTCATGAAGGTCTTCTCGACGGCCTTGTCAGTGAGCGACTTCTCGTACTCCATGTCGCGGAGCTCAGGGGCAACCTCGGCAAAGAGGGGGCTGTCGGCGTTGGCCAGGTAGTCGTGGTAGAGCAGACGGGCGTACGACTTTTGCACCAGCTTGCAGGTCGGGGCGTGGAAGGTCAGGTAGTCGAAGCGGTCGAGGGAGGTCTTGGACGAGTCGACAGCGTGTCCATTGGCGTGGCCATTGGCGAGCTTGGCCTCGCGCTGGCAGTAATCGCGGTAGGCAGCATCGAGAGCCCTGGTGTAGCAGGTGACGGAAAAGTGGCCATCAACGTAGGGGTACTCGCTGGTGAGGTCGGGCTTGTAGAAGTCGTAGGCATGCTGCATGTAGGTACCGCGCAGGCCAGGCTCGACGACGATGGGGGCGTTGGGGCCGACAAGCATGGCAACGGCGCCGGCACCGCCGGTGGGGCGGGCATTGCCCTTCGCATAGAGGGCAATGTCACCAGCGACCACAATGGCGTCACGACCGTCCCAGAAGGGCGACGAGATCCAGTGGACGGCGTTCATGAGAGCATTGGTGCCACCATAGCAAGCATTCATAGTATCAACACCCTCAATGCTGGTGTTCTCCCCAAAGAGCTGCATGAGCACGGACTTGACCGACTTGGACTTGTCAAGAAGAGTCTCGGTGCCGACCTCAAGGCGGCCAATCGAGTTGGGGTCGATGTTGTACTTCTTGAGAAGATTCGAGACCACGGTCAGGCCGAAGGAATAGATGTCTGACAGGAGCAGCTGTGAGCACACGAGGGACTTTGGGTCGACCTAACAGACAGCCTAAAAGGAGGAGGAGGCGGTTTCGAAAAAGAAAACCCCCAAAACGCATAAACATAAGCACTCACCCTCACGATCGTCGCAGAATGACATCTTCGTCTGGCCGAGGCCGATGGTGTACTTGCCAGTGCTAACGCCATCGAACTTCTCTAGCTCGGATTGCTCGACATACTATGAGAATAACGACGACACAGTTAGAAAGTCATGTCTCATGTGTAGATAATCCGGTCTGCCCTGCTCTTGCCATGATTCCCTGATACCGTACGCCCGACGAGGAGAGATTCGGAGCGATGTCGGAGGAGAGGGGCAGAATAGGCGGGAGAAGGCAGGGCAGGGAAGGGAGGATAGGAGCACGAACCTGGCTAGGGAAGTAGATCTCGATGGCCTTGATGCCAATGTTCTCGGGACGGGCAGCCATCGTGTGAAAGGCGGATTGAGCAGTCCAAGGGGTGAAAGCGAGAGGGAGAGGCGGTTAGAATACGGAGGATGGACTGGACTTGTACGGTGTATGGTCTGGGAGGATAACAAGAGGTTTTATTATGATTAGCCACAAGATTTTGTGAAGGGGAAGGGGCAGAAGATTTCACCGCCTGTTTGCCCCGCGCAATATACGCGCTGGTGGAGGGGTGCTAGGGACCGGTATTGGATAGGTACATTGACATGGGGCTAACGCGACCTGGGCGTTTTTTGGGGCTTTGTTGGGCTTGAAAATCCAGCTGGGGCAAATCAGATCTTTAAGGGGAGGAGCATTAGGGGGGGGAGAGCCAAGGTACCTGCTCTGTACAGCGCATTCCACCACGAAGTCTAAAACAATAGAGTTCTTCATCATTGCAACTATCACGCACTTCCCTTATCTAAGGCATAGAAGAAGAAAACGGCTATATTTGAGAAAATAGAACTTCTTTCTTTTCCTTCCTTTTCTTTCCTTTTTTATTTCCTTCCCTTTTTTATTTCCTTCCCTTTCCTTCCTCTTCTCTTTCCTTCCTCTTCTCTTTCTCTTTTTAATAGAAAAGAAAACTCTAACACTGTCTGTCTAGTCAAGGGGAGAAGCTAGAGGCTCGGACTAAGTGTTCTTATCAGATGCCCATAGCCACCTTATCAAGGTGTGATAAACTAACTATATTATATTAGACTTATAGGGTACCTCGATCCTATATATCCACACTTATTTTCCTTTATTTTCCTAATTATTGATATCCCCGTAAAGTACCGCGAACTTCACTTAGATAAATACGTATATAATTCCATAGTCCTTTTACTTGTGTTCTGACAGTTCTTCAAGAAAAATAGATACGAAGTACATAACCCCTTTTATTTGATCACTGAGGTACCTAGGTAGTGTCCCACTGCATCCCACCATTTTACCACATCTTTTGGCCTACGAAGTACTTCGTATGTATTCTGCATCAAGAACAAAGCAAGAGCTAAAGAATGACGGCCACTCTCAACGTTCATCTTCGGTTTGTTAGTATTGTTCCCCACTTAATAGAGACATGTGTATGTTTGCCTTTTGAAGAACAGGGTACATATAGAAACATACAGAGTACGAAGAGCTAGAAGATCAGGCGCCCAGAACCAGAATCTTGCAAATGACACTACCTAATATATCATGACGACCACGAAAACAAAATCATAACATGAACATTCGTCTGTGGGTCTGTGCAGAGTACAGGGTACGGGTGCTCCTTATTAACTTCTCCGTACATACTTCCTCTATACTTTGTTTGCAGTATGTATAAGAAGTAATTGTATGGCAAGACGCCATTGTTAGGCCGGTATAACGTACATACTCTTATTAGGCAGAAATACCCTTAGATATTCGTCCTGCTACCTACCCTACCGAGTATCCTTGCCCTGACTGCCTTGCATTTTCTTCCTGGCTTTTGGTGGGGAGTTGCGAGCTCCTACCTATCGGTAATCTCCATCAAAATACCCTGTATCCACAACCCCAATGATAAACTCGGGAAGTTTATCTTCCCCTTGGACTCATCACCCTGATGATGGCGCACAGATCACCTACAATGAACCGAGTGCCAAGTAAAGAATCCCCGCCAATCAGACCACTTCATCGGCGCTAAAACGCACAAACAGGTCTAGCCTCTATCTCTTCTTAAGGTACCTTAGGTAAGGTACTCCGTGTGGCAGGAGTTAGGGTCCTCTCCCATTGAGTACGTACCCCCCTTGTCAACTCAAATTAGCACGATCATTAACTTCAGGGGCTTCGCGGCACCTCATACAAACCAAGCCAGTAATCCTTCGAGATCCTCTTCGAGAGCTGGAGCCGTTATCACGTCATTGTATGCTTATTTATGGCACGCCGTACGAAAAGGAATTGCCTTGGGACTCGATTTCATATGCCGTTGAAGTTTAGTGCTGGGTCGCAATTTTTTTTTCTCTTAAACCCCGGATCTCGTTCAGTTGTTGGCAGTCAGTCAGACCCCAGTTGTATGAGGCTCAAGTCTTTGCCCGCAAAGAAGGAAATAAAATACCGTTATTCGTTTAGTGATATCGTATCAGTGCTATATGATGCTGATGCTGCCATGTCTTGGTGTACACCCCTGGGTCATTCCCGCGTCACCTCTAAACGCCCAAAACGCCAGCTATTTACAGCCCTATGCCAGTTTTTCCATAGTATTACACTGGGGCCTTCCACACTCCTATGATCCAGAAGGCGACACGTAGCCTGAATCAGGACCGTCCTGACGGCCTTCTGGGCGATCCTTCCCTGGCTGAGCCGCCTCGTGTCCCTCAGGTTGAGCAATTAGCCCGTCTGCCTCCTGGGGCTTGCCCTCCTTCTCCACGTCACCCGAGGCGACCTGTGTCGATGCCACAGGCTCTGTTGATTGGGACGCTTCCTTGTTAACGTCTCCTTTTTCTCGACCTTTCTCTTGCTTCTTCTCCACCTCCTTCTTCTTCTCTTCCTCCTCCTCCTCCTTCTTCTTCTTCTCTTCCTCCTCCTCCTCCTTCTTCTTCTCTTCCTCTTCCTCCTTCTTCTTCTTCTCTTCCTCTTCCTCCTTCTTCTTCTTCTCTTCCTCCTCCTCCTTCTTCTTCTTCTCTTCCTCCTCCTTCTTCGTCTGTTCCGCCTTACGCTTCTCCTCGGCTGCCTTGATCTCCTTCTCCTTCTTCTGCTTCCGGGTTTCAACAATCCACTCTTCGGCCAACCTGATAGCTGCTTCGGGATCGTGTTTGTGGCGCATCAGGAACCCCTGAATCTCTGCTGGGCTAAACTCGTGCTCGGGAATCTTGGCAGCGAATTCCTGGGACAAGACCTCGATGCGTGCCACACTCTCGGCCTGCTTCTCCGCCGCCTGCGCGGCCGCCGCGTCTTTTTCCTCGGAGGACAGGTCAGCCGAGTCACGGCCAGTCGTCGCCTCGCACTCGAGGGGAGCGTAGATGGCCCGGAAGATGGCACCCGCGATCTCCAGGTCAGCCAGGGTGAAGTTGACTGTCATGTCTACTCGGCCAGGTCGGATCAAGGCCTTGTCCAGCTTCTCGATGTGATTCGTGGTCATGACCAGTACACGGCCTTCCTGGCTTGCCACGCCGTCCAGGACATTGAGAAGACCGGAGAGTGAGAGGCGCGAATTGCTGTTGTTCGAATTGTCGCCCGTGGTGAGCTGCCCGGGAACCATGCCGTCTTTGTTGTCGTCGCCGCTGGCAGTAGTGCTGCCGCTGTCCTGCTCTCGAGTGTGGGTCAACCCCGCGGAGTCAATGTCCTCGAGAAGGACAATGCACCGCTGGGGGAGTTCGGAAAAGAGGGAAGCAAGGCTGTCCTCGCTGGCAGAGATGGAGTTGAGGTTGACAATGTAGATGCGCATCTTGAAGTACCCGGCTAGGGCTAGCGAGAGCGACGATTTGCCGGTACCGGGAGGCCCGGTCAATAGATAGCCTCTCCGCCAGGGGATTCCACGGTTCGAATACCAGTTCCGCGTGGCGGGGGAGAGATAATCCGCCACGTCGTCGACGAGCTCCTTCTTTTTCTTCTCGTTGAGGATGACGGTGGAGAAGGGCCGGGCTGTGCGTGCCATGCACCGCTGCCAGGAAGGGTCACCCGAATTCCGGGTGTTGCCGCGGTAAATCATGGTTTTCTTGGTGTCCTTCTTGAGGTAGTCGCTGCGAGCCTCGAGAAGCAGCTGCTTCAGAACCAAGGGATTGCGTCCGAAGCAAGAGATGCTGATTTCCTCGGATTCACTGACGGTCATATAACCCTGCTGCTGGTTCCGGCTTCTGCTAAACCGCAGAAGCCTGCCTTTATACCAGAAAGTGTGGCTGCCAAAACTGGGCGTGTAGGCCAGTACCTTCTTAGACTCTCCGAGGACGCCATAAGCGCCGTTCTCACCCGGGGTCTGGTCAGTCCCAACATCGTTGTCCGTGTCATCTTCATCATCGGCATCCCACCGCCAAAGAGCCCAGGCGCGCGAATTCAAATTGGTGTTGGCCACGAAGCGCCGCGATCGTTTGGCAAAACGTTGCGAAGCCACCCAAGCCATAAGCATATTCTGTCGTTATTGTATTTTTCCACTGGTTAGGGCAAATGTGCCACGAAAAGCGAGCGAGAATCATGGCACGGGAAACGTACGTAAATCTCGTCATCGGTACGAATCTCGACGGACGACATGAAGTAAGTCTCCACGATGCCCCAGACGTAGTCGCTGAAGTACTTCCAGGCAAATGTGGCGGCACCACACATGATGAGAACGGGAAGGTAGACATTGAGGTCGATGCCGAGGTATCGGACGAAGGCGGTCGATATGACGCTGAAGCCGGGAAAGAAGAAATCGAGGATGGCAAGTTGAGGAGGAGCCGGGGTTGCGAAAGGAGTTTCAGGAGCCACCCCCGGTGAACATTGTGTCTGCGCGTAGGTGTCCATGGCTGTTGCGATTCGCAATCCAATGAAATGATACGAAGTGAGAAGATAACAGCCAGAGCGGCATCCAAAGATGCGTACGTTGTAGCTCAGCAGGGGAAAGAGTTGTCTCCAGATACGAATATCACCTAATCACTTCGTAGGGTCAAATGCCGCCTTTGGAGAAGATGTGGATATAGATAGATACGTGGAGGTAGTGAAATGGAGAATGTGTGAGATGGATGAGACAGCAAAGAAGACGTATCGCATCGACAGAGTCAGGCAAGTGACCGCCTATTTATTACTTTGGCAATTTGACCCTGGATAAGGTACGTGAGGCCAATTGCTTTTTGAGTACCCAAGGTAGAATCACAGTCATCGGCGACGTACCTATTAGGCAGCCAGGGCAGGGGTCCAGAGCCCCAGAACCCCAGAACCCCAGAACCCCAGGCAGCGATACCCAATATATTGAATCAACGGGAGTATGCTTCCACGGAGCGTTGATTTAAGGAATAAATAATTATATCATCTATAAAAGAGAAGAGAAAAAGGGGGCGGGTATATGTATGATAAATATATGTGCTACCGGTTATAGGGCTGCTCCAGCTAATAGGAGGCCACCTTATCCTGACTCACGTGCTAGAATATAACACGATAGGTATCTGACCCTAACTAACCTACGAAGGACAAGCTCTCTCACTCGAGGAGGCGTTGCGCGCATGCCCGACTACTTTGCCTCCCTGCATCTAATCGAGCCAAGGAAAATAGCCGTCTTGACGTAACCTACATTTGCCGTCTAGGCCTAAGTGAGGCCTCTTTTCGTCCAGTCAGACCCGACTGCATCATTGTGGTACGTATATACGTGAGATTCGATGCGTGAGTGTCCGAATGTGTGCAGAATGTGGGATGGGCGGCGAGTGACGGAAGAGGGCGCAGGTGACACCACCAGGGCCAACGAGGACTCTGGAATGAAAGTGGCAGACAATCTAAGCAATAAGCCACTAATAGCGGGACGCGTAGGGCTCGGGACAGAGACGGCACGAGCAGAGGATAACGGCTCTCTGGTTGATCCAGATCCATTGAGGCCCCAGTGGAAAATTGGAAATTGCCCAAGCACGAGACGGCCAGGTGCCGACATGGGGGGTCTCCACTGGTGCGTGCCTAATCCCATGTCTTGGAAACCAGATAATTACCTTGGGAAGATCTTAGCGGGAATACCTCAAGATACCTATATATCTTAGGTAATATAGGTACTATACCTACCTACTCGTACTGTGTTACCCGTCTTGATGAGGCATCTGACAAAGTTAATGAAATTATCGAACGGGGCCTTATTAAGGCCCTTGACGAGGCCTTTTGGTTAAATCTATTCCCTTCCCGCTGAGACTGAAGTGCCGTCGATCTGGAACCCTCAATGTGCTGCAGGCTCAGGAGGTACCTATCTATCGGCAAGCCATGGTCGGCACATGACCATTCACATCGCTAAATACCTTCACCGAGCCCTTGCTTGGCCCGACTTGCAACTTCAGGTCGGTGTCCCGGAACAAGACTTAACTCAAAGAGGGGCATAACGTGAGGATAGGGACTCAAACTCTGACCATCATTCATGGACTACGTCACTGCCCATCTCGAACATCAAGGCTGGAGGCCCCCAACTCATTGCTTCTTGGTTTGATTTGCAAGGAGAGTCAAAAGTTGGCTGGACCCTTCTTGCTCAAATGGTCTGACCACAATGGCCTTTGGGGATATTGTTGCTCCCACTATGCTCTCTGGAACTCAATACAACACTTGAGTTTCGGTTGCCTGGAAGAAAGGCGGCTGCCAGATTGACAAAGGCCGCGCGTGCGTATATCGTAAGAATATACGAAGTAAGAATACATGCATGCAGACGCCGTCCGTGGTTTTTCCCCAGGGGGGTAAGCGAAGAGAATGGGAACGGTGATGGGAAAGGGAGAGGAAAGGGAAAGAAGAAGAAGAGAAGAAGAAGACGGGAAGGAAGATGCACAGGTTTTCACCGATCCGACCAGAAAATTCCGTATTACCCTCTGCACCCCATGAAGAGACGAGTTAAAACAGACAAGACCTGAGCACCATCCCAATTTCGCCAAACGCCTGAAAAGTACCGACGTGCCCATGGCTGTCGTGTACTGTCATATTTCCAGCACTGCTGCTGCCCTGTTCGTCGTGTCAAGTAGAAAGAAAGAAAATAAAAACGTATTAGTTCGCCGGCCTACCCAGCGTTTTCTACGCCCAGTCATCATATCGCCGAATTCCACCACCTCCGCCCTGAGCATTGAGGTCGATAAACCCCGGATCTCCACCGCTGTCTCTCATGGGCGCAGGAGGCGGTGGCGGCTGGCTATTGTAGTAGGCGAACGCTGGGGTCGTCAGCCCCGGCCCGGGAGGCGGTGGTGGAGGGATATTAACGTGGCCCATGAATCCGATACCAGGGCCCATCCCATCTCCCATTCCCATATAGTCCTCTTGTCCCATAAAGCCAGGTGTTATATAGGGTCCAGTATGAGGGGGAGATGGGACGAAGCCTGCGCTATGGTGGGGGGGATGAGGTTGTGGTATAGGGGAGGCTGGGCCGAATCCTGGAGATGCCGGGCGACCTTCTCGCCTAGCTCCCTTGTTCCTGCCGCTGCTCCTACTGCTGCTGCTCCTGGAACCAATGGTGGAAATGTCGTCATCGAAGCTTGGTGAGACCCATGCATAGGTAAAGTAATAGCTGTCAATGTAGACCATGGCCTCCTCTTCATAGTCGTAGGTCCCTTCTGTGATATTGACTTGCGTCTTCCGCAACGATAGGGATTTCGAGGGAGGCACGCCGGTTGTGTACTTCATGACTTTCCTGGCCCAGTTGTCGGTCCTGATATTGGCGTGCGAGTGCGAAACAACCGAAGATATTGACTTCTTGGAACTGATCGAAGATCGAGAAGAAGACCTGGTTGAACTCCCCGCGGACTCTCGTGGAATGGTCGAAACATAAGCGTGATGGGACATTGCAACGATGAGTAGCAACGTGCAACGGTTATCGACTCGGAGTAAATAGGAGGTGCAATAAACCTCGTCTAGACTCCAGTCCGGCAGAACAGAGAAGCAAGTCGTACACCTGACTTGGCGTACTGCGTCAGAGGAGGCAGAGACGGGTGGCAAGGCTTAGACAATGGGTCTTCACACGGTCCCAGGAGAATGTAAAGGGGATCGGAGGAGTCGAAGGGGAAGAAGAGCAGAGACCTCTGGCTGGACTAAGCCGGGGATAATGTTTGCTCAAATAGCCATCCCTGCTGGGCGACATTTCACGGACGCGGGCTTATGTTCGCAGATGGCAAGCAAATCGACGAAATGGGAGTGTGGTGCTCGTGAACGTATAGGTCCGAGTAGAGAGGCGTTGACCTGCAGGCTACGTCAGTTTCCTCTCATCCACCAGGCTGCCTTTCGCCTCATATTGCAGGCGACGGAACCCCTCTAGAGGCGGTCTGTGAAATCGGACCAGTAAGTGTTCGCGGTCGAGGTAAATAGACCGTAGTAGTTACACAGCTTGAGGGGTATGTAGGTCACTGAGACCATCAAACATTCAAGTCATATCGCGCTGTTGCTTGCCAGACCAAGCCCGCAGCGCATCTCCAACATCGCTTGATGAGGATGGAATCCTGCGGGACTTCACTGTATTCTCGCTCTGTGCCGGCAGAACTCACTGCCGGGAAAGCGTCAGTTCTTCGTATCATTGAATACCATGCCTAAGCCTGGTGTACACAGTACAGGTAGATGCTCTCCCCGAAGGGCCCGGAAGGTTGTCAGTCACGGGTGATGACAGACGAGAGCCTGGGCAAAGGTTCGCATTACGGCAGGAGCTGACCTCCAACCAGATGAAGGTAAAGACCCGGGCCTGTGAAACCGTAATGAGGCTGAGGAATTCAGAGAGATAGCCTGGTAAGCCAAACGGCTCCCCCATCCGACCCCCATTCAGCATTGAGCTTAGCAGGTCTCGCCCGGCAGCTGTTGCGTAGAACTCTGAATCGGAAATGGACGGTTGCACATGGTGCGGGGGTACAGGCTCAAACAGAAACGGGGCTACTCAAGAGATGAGTGGCTATAACAAGTGAGTGATGAGATCCGCAGATGGGGCAGGCTGGCTGGAGGAGCCGCGAAACCAAAAGGGGGAACGAAAGGAAGTGTTCTTCTCACCGGTCCCCCAGACTAACAGCGCCAGCAAATGAGGGCCTCGCCGCGGGGGGCGTGTGTCTCGTGGAAGTGCGTCGCCCACCAAGGGCGGCATTGGTGCCCTCTTTCTTAAGAGGCTTGACCTGCAGTGTGCCGCTTTCTTCATGTGGTCGAACCGCGGATGACCTGATACATGCGTTCCTTAAATCAGAAAACGTCAAGGCGGCCTCCAGGGCTCTTTGCGCTGTAATTATCACAGGTATCCCAAACATCAGGGGCGGTGATATCAGAAACGGGGGGATATGTGAGTCGGACAGCTGCGGAGCTAGTAGGACAACAGTAGCCTCAAGGCTCTCATTCCCAACAAGTATAAATCGGTCAAGGTATGCTTGGTAAGTTACAGGCGCGGGTTTCGGATGAACAGAAGAACTCGAAGGAAAGGAAAAAAGAAAAGAACATTTTTTCCCCTTTCAAACAGCGAAGATAAAGGGAAGCCCCGAAACGCAGAGGTCGGTTGAGTGAGAAGATGCCAACAGACTCGGTCACCAGCGCACATCTGCAAAATCGCAGTGTATGGTGCATCGGTTGAGTTTTTAGCATCGCAATCCCACGATGGAATAGGTCGGAGCTTTTCGTGCCAATGTCTTGTCGTCAATGCACCAAGCCAAGATGCCATATTTAAGGCTACATAGAGGAAAAGAATCCTCGTTCAAATTGTTCCTCTTTCCGGATCTTCAAGTCCACCTAAGGTACTCAACGGCGAAGGCTATTAAACCTTACCTCCCTTATCTGATACCGACATGCCGACGTTGCACGAATGTTATATTTGCATTCCTAATAATAGAGGGCATCTGCAGATACTTGTCATATCTTGGCACGACATCCAGTGCCTGCGAACACCATCGTGCAGCCATCTCGCCGATCGTTTTTGTCGCCCAGAACTTTGACATGATCGTAAAGGGCAAGCTTGCCATGGATTAATCTGAGAGTTGAAATTATATGTTTAGCTCTGACAGAAGTTCATTCCTACAAATTACGATGCATGTTATCCGGTGTTGACGGAACGATTCATGGTCCCGCGTAACCCACTCTATCCCACTCTGTGGTTCATGCCAAAGACGACTTCCGGGACCATGTTCTTCGAAGTAACAGTGCCTGACCGCTTAAACCCCTTCCAACGAAGGGAACAGCGCAATAATCTATATGAAGTGGTTCATAGCTGTCCAGGAGCACACAACATCACCATTGATTACGGCATGGCTGGGAGATGTTGAGGTATGCGGTGCTTACGGCATCGGCATTGGCATCGACATCGGCATGGCTTGGCTTGGCGTGGCTTGTCGTCCGTGTATAGACCCGCAGCAACATCTCGATGGGTTTCTGCTTCGACAGTACCTATTATGTGTTGGAAGAACGTGGTGTTGTCTATCCCGAGTTTGAGAGTGCAGGTATGTAATCATGTAATCACAAAGTATCTGTACACGTATTGATTATGCCAGTATCCCTTGCCGCAGTCGCAGATCTCCATGTGACTTTCTCGTCGATTTTACCTGTACACTGTTTCCCAAGGTAAACCCCTCTTCCGCCCCACCAATGACGTCCTTCTACACGTGTAATATGAAAGATGGACTTCGACTGTTTACTTTCTCCGCCTCGGAAGAAGCTGGTCCCGTGATATTTGATACAAAGTACGTGTAAGAGAGACAGTACCTTACCTACGGAGTAGGGCCTTCCGCCGTTCCGCCGTTCCACTGTTGTTGCTGAACGCTTGTGGAATGAACTCGACTTGTGTGCGTTAGAAGTCTATACCTAAGGTACCTTATAACAAAGAACTCCTCCGAGAATAATATGTATCCGTACTTTCTTGACGTGCTCTGTATTACCTATTCCTCGGTCATCAACCAAAGGCCTTCATGATTGGGTTCGCACGGATATGGAAACGGACACTTCATAGGTACTCCGTAATTATTACTGTTTCTGTTCTTTTTCCCCCCTGCCAAATCACACCTGGCACACCGGGCTCATCCTTGGCCAGGTGCGTGAGTTTTGAGAATTGATACTGTATACCCAAGTATATGTACTCATCCTCCTCCGATCCCGCTGCTGCACTGGACCAAGTTCTGAAACCAGCGCCGAGTGGGGGGCCCACTCTCTGCATTCCGACCACTCTTGTTTCGACTTGAGCTGTTGGATCCATGGGGACTTCATTTTGGCGGACACAGTGCCGTGCTGCATGATCCACGCACCTTTCACATCGGCCGTGGAAGACTCATTCGCCCCCCCGACCCCCTCCTTATTATTATTATTGTTTCTTCGATCCTCGTTCCTCGTTCCAGTGTCCGAGTTCTTGGCCTCTAACGGGGCTTCGGAATTCGGCCATAATCCACTCCGGCAGCCAGGTTCTGCGTCCTCCGCCCCAACCTATTAACAGCCAAACAGCCATACGGATAGAGTCCTCTTACCCATGAGGAGGTTTCTCCACGCTCCAGGATTCATTGGCAGGTCCCATGGGCCATTGGTGCCGTCTTGACCATCAATGCCCAGTTCCCGCCCGTGGGTCTTGGTCGTTTTCGCCCAGCCCTTGGTGGCCCTGCCAACTCGCTCACTCCAATCCCAACCCCAACCTTCAGTCCCACCTCTCGAAAGACACAGCCACTGCACCCAAACACCACCTTAACCTGTCGCTCTTTTCTGTTCGACTTGGAACACCTCTACGACGATCAATCAATCGATCTATCGATCCATCAACCAATAATCAAATCGAAGGATCTTTCTCTCTATCGAGTCGCTTCCATCTCGTTGCTTTCGCTCGAATTTTGACCATTTGACGAAGTTATCGTGCTTCTTGGCTTGATTTTGATTGAGCGACAAACCGACCAAATTTGCACAACGAGGGTCTTCCGCAGGGCATTCCACGGCCTCTGGACGGGGCCAACACGAGACCGCCTCCATGTTGCCATAACTTTTGGTGTTTCGACAGACCCTTTGGCTCCTTTGGCTTTGTCATTTCGCTTTGGCGACGCTCCTCTCTCACGCTTCTTCCCATAGCCTGTCCTTGCTTCTCCTTTTTTTCCGTTTTATACATACAAGCGTGCTCTTCAAACATGGCTCCTCCAAATGGCAAGCATCCTGACACGGAACCAAGGGGGTCGACCCGGAGTTCTACGACGAGCCGGGACGATGAGGACAATTACGATCTAAGTGCGATGACTGTTGCGGATGGGTTCAGACCAGCCTGGGCGTCTGATATTCCCACAGCCGTACCCTCTCGCTCCGAGTTTTCGCCAGATTTTGCATCGCAGTCCGATCCATCAAGCTCATCATCCACCGAAATATCGAACACGTCCCAGTCTGACAGACCCTCGAGTATTGCGAAACCCCCTCCAACCCACGATCCTCTCTCACTTCGATATGATGGCACTTCGGCTCATCTGATGCGGCCCCATCCTCCCCGAACCCCCAGCGCCTCCGACGAACCTCCTTCCTCGCATCTTGAAAGCCCGTTCCGAAATCCTTCCGGCCCATCGCACCCTTACCAGATGTATCCTCAGCGTACGTTGAGCGTCACTACCACGAGCAGCACGCCTATGTCGGAGCGATCGTATGCCGGACCGCAGAGGCCTACGCACCCTTATGGCCTCTACCCGCAAACCACCGTGCCGGTAGATTCATCGCATGTCACGGACATTCCGGTGGGTTTTGTCGGTACTCCAGACAACTATCAAAGACGTATCGGACCCGATGGCGAAGAGGCATCCGGCCTCATTGGCCCTCTCGGCCACACGGAGGAACTACCCCCTTATACTCGGTACCCGGAAGAGGCATATACGAGGAAAGCTGCCGTGGGCGAGGATACCGCCCATGTCACCCCGCTAGTCACCTCGCAAGCCACTCCGCAAGTCACCCCGCAAGCCGCCCCCGAGGGAGCCATACCTGGCGCCGGTGGAATCGGCCTCGCCACGCGTAACCCCGAATTCGAATCGCGGGATGACCTTGATGCACCGCAATCTCGACTTTCGACTCGCAGCGTCACGTCGGACGCCAGCCAACACGAGATCAACACGGCTGCTGCAGCCTACAATGAAAAGCAAGACGAACGAAAATGGCAACGGCGGGCGAGGAAGCGCTTCTGCGGTGTTGTGCCATATTGGGCACTGTGTCTCCTCGCCCTGACCATGCTGGTCATGTTCGTATCTCCCAACTCCGCCTCTCCCCCTTTCTATCTCCCCTTCTCTGGGTCGACTGTGCAAGACTTAGTGCTAACGTTATTCTAGGGGCATCGTTCTCGGTGCTGTCATTGGCACTGTGTTCAACGGCGAGAAACCCGAGAAAAAGAAGCCCGATGAAGACGCCATTCCCATGACGACTACCGACGCAACCGTGGACACCAGGCCACTTCCTACGGTCCCCGCTGATCTACCCCCTCTTGACCTGGGAACTTACATATTGCCCCCTTTGGTTTCCAGTCAGGCACCAACTACGTGCTTCAGCGACGTGGCCCAGGCACAGGCATGGACTTGCGATATCCAGTTTAGCATGTATTCGATGACAGTGTCCCGACTAGCTAACGGCTCACCGGTGTCGAATTATGTCCTGCAGCTCGTCATGAATGGCTCTTCAACGCCGGACTTGCTTACCTGGGGCGCCCAACCGCCGACCATCGTGGACCCTATTCGTTTGCGACTTGTCAACGATACGTTTGCTCCGGATCGCGGCCCGGCCTGGTTCGGACAGGCTGCATACAACAAGACGGTCGTCATCGCTGAAGACCGGTTTCCCACAGTCGATGCACCCTCATCCCGACGCCGCAAGCGGGGAACGTGGGGTTTCGACACCGTGCCGATAACCGGAATGACAGGCGTCATTGGGGCCGACGACGGCGACCGGCCCTGGATCTGTACATGGCCCGGGACGCTCTTAGAAGTCTTTATTTACCCTTCGCATAACAACAGTTTTAGCGAAGACTCTGCGTCCGCCGTTTCAAGGACCAACACCGTTACCGAGACGATCACATTACAAGGGATCAGGCCCACAGCCGAAGAAGTAGGTGAAGAGGAAGAGGAGGAAGAAGAAGAAGAAGAAGAAGAAAATGAACAAGGAGCAGGGAGAGCAGAGGCATCGCCCACACGTACCTCGTCCAGTGTCCAGTCCGCGGCCACCGGGAATTCGAGGCTAGCGGCCCCCGCTTACCCGAAGGTTATGAAGATTGAAGAGAGTCGGATATCGGACGACGATTCTCGAGCCGCCGTATGCCGTCAGGTGGAGATCTATGACAACGGCCAGAAAGCAACGCCCGTTTTGAACGATAACGGTGAACCCGTTGAGGTCATCATACTCGAGAATCAACGTCTCGTTGCCTTCCATTTCGAGGAAGTCAGCAACAAGAGGCGATGGGCGGGCAACGGCCCGCTAGTACGGAAGGATGATGATGATGACGACGACGATGATGATGCGGTTTACAGTCAGCTGAGCGAGTGTGGCTGTATGTGGTGGTTCACATGAGCTATTCGATATCCGACATTTAGGCGAAAGATACGCTTCAGTGCATCGAGCATCTATCGACTCGTGGACGCCTACGATGGACATCATGCTGTCGACATTATATATATTTTGTGTATCGCGTGTTTTTCCCCCTCCAGTTCCGGGTTCGACGATTTACATTTACTTGGTTTTTACAGAGCCCGCGGTTGGCGCATTGCATGCAAAGTTGCCACGCCATTAGGGCGTACCTTTGGGTTGGATCTTCTCCTGTTGCTTTGGCTATTGCGGATGATGTACGATGTCTTTTCTGAGGCACAGATAACAAAAGGAGCGAATGTGGGAGGGTGCCTTGTTCTAGGAATCATGGCGATATCGGATGGAATGTTCCGCTCCCTCACTTCTGTTAGGCATTTAGCTATTTGTTGACTGTTGACTGTTGACTGTTGACTGTTGACTGCCTCATCTATGATAGACAGTTATTTTTGGATATGAACCGAAAGAGAGATATCATGCACCTATCAGATATATTTATGCACGACGAATGTCAGGAGTTATGAAACTCTTGCTGGTGTATTTCCCGGTTGTATTAGGTGGTCTTTAACTCTTTGCCGTGGGGGGAATGACCTATGGTGATGTCCGTCGGTCCTCATCGCCTTTATCCTCCCGCGTCTCGTTCTCGCGGCTTCCTATATCGGCCGCCAGCCCGTCCAGGAAGCTGTCAGCCATCCTTTTGGCACGCCTCTCCTCGAGATTGCGACGCCGTTCTTCGATCTCGCGCCGCCTGGCAGCCTTGCGGTGGTCTAACTCGCCCCTCTTGTCCTCGGTGCGGCGCCTCTCCTCGTCGAGGCTTCGCATCTCCTCGGCCCGCGCGGCCTCGTCCTTGCTGAACTTGTAGAAGCCGGCGCCACGGACGCGCACCTCGCTGTCGGCGTCGTAGTGCTTCGCCTCGGGCGGCGTGGGGCTGCGGTCCCGCCGCGCCGCCAGCTCTTCCATCTTCTCCTCATCCTCCGGGGCGAAGGCGAGGGTCTGCACCACGTCGCCGCGGATCAGGTTCTGCGGGGCCGCCGGCCGGGCCGACATGCGTTCCAGGTCTTCCGCGCTGAGGAGGCCGCGCCGGCGTTGCCTTTCGAGGCGGGCGATTTCTGCGCGTGTCCCGCGGCGTAGGCGCCCGAACTCGTCTTCGTATTCGATAATGTCCGCTGCGTCCTTCTTGTCCTCGTCGTCGCCGTCGTGCTCTCCGTTTCCGCCTCTCCTGCCACCCGAGTCGTCGTCGTTGTCAGAGTCTGAACTAGAGACTTCGCCCGTGTCGCGACGTTGGGCTTCACCCTCAGCCCACTTGCGGTCAAAGTCGACGAGGGGTGCCGCCTCGTTCTCTTTTGAAATGTAGTCTCCTCGTTTCATCGCTGCGTAGAGGCGGGCCTTCTCTTCCATTTTCCGCCGGGCGCGTGCGAGGGTCTCTGCCTCGTCTTGGGCGGGGGCGTCTTTCAGCACCAGTTTGCTTCCATCTTCGGAGCCGCGCTTCCTGCTGGACGATGCCTGACCCTTTCGTCTGTGAGCGTTGAAGATGCCATCCTTCTGCTGTTTCGAAGGGCGTGGTCGTGCTGCGGCGGTGCTGGAGGCTAAGGAGGAGGAAGGGTTTGATATGAGGGAGGTAAGTTGGGCTGTAAAGTCGAGGGAGCTCGGGAGGGCCATATTGTTCTTGCGCTTCTTGGGCGGGGGTTGCCCGTACAGGTTCGGGTCTTGAGGCATGGCGAGGATATGAATCGGACGCGTAGATTGATCGATGTATATATAACTAGGGTATTGCGATTGGTGTATTTGGCGATGTGTTGAGAGTAGCAGTCGGGTTTCGTAGTCCAGGTGTCGGAGTGTTGCTTTCGTGGATCTTGAACTTCTCTGGAAGTACTTCCATGCACAAGCCAGGTTTGTGGGGCGACTTTTTGGCAGATAACTGTACTACGGAGTACAACTCGTACAGACAACCTGAAAGTTCGAATACGGGGTACCTAGGTAATTACAGATACAACTCCTTCGCACCACGCTGTGTCTGTACCTTATGGTGCTCAGTTATGGACCTTGACTGATATTCTGAAGGGACTTGAAATAAGTTGCGAGTCTGAAAAACAAAGCATTACAGAATCGCACTCGCTTGACTTCTCATTAGTATTATTGTTGGATTTTTTTTTCTTCTACTTTCAAGTTACCCCGAAGACATGAAGTGGGCTACTCCTTCTTGCCAACAACGCCGGACCCTGGCCCTAAAGGAATAAAGGTAATGACAGCGCACATTGTCCCCGTTAGGAAGCGTCGAGAAGAACCCCCAAGATCTCGGCTCCTCCCTTGGAGACAATATTTTTTACCTCTAGCTTAAAGCTGGAGGGTGGTTGCTGTCTCCTTTTGCCCGAATTTGGCGCCTGCGAACCGCCTGGCTGTCGTCTGGAATATGCACTGCAGCGGATGCATCGACATCGTCAACGGCGAGTTCCGGGTAAAAATCTGGGTTTGACACCTCCTGTTCTGTCGCTACCTGCTGCTCGGGGTATCCACCTAGACAGACGACGCTGTTCCAGAATGTCCTGCCGACCCAGAGCACGATATCCAGTAGAATCAGGAACACAACTGGGAGGACGAAGACGCAGCCCAGTAGAATCTGAGATCCGGTCAACTTCGGCTGCCTGTCTCGGGATATTTAAAGGATGTGACAGTTGCTCAAGCCCATCCTATGAAATGTAAAGGGAAGGGGGAATATACTTACGAAAAAGCCCGAGATGTACCTGAGAATCGTAGCATGGCCTGACGAAAGCGTGGCGTAGTCCATGAGCGTTCCGAGCCATGAGCTCTCTTTTTCGCCCTGAGCTTTCTCCATGGTCTGATGAACGTTGGCGCAATGCGACCCGTTCTGTACTGCCGTCCAAAACCCTGTGTCTGTAAGGTGGTTGAACGAGTGGTGGACTATCACCTCGTGGCAGATCCTAGGCCTATGATGCTATAGACCTTTTGACGCGTGGCTGATAGTGCGCAATTCCGTGCACATGAGATGAGAAGACGCAAAAATCGATTATGGGTAAATCGTTGGTGCGCGGCGTTGTGTTTCCCGCATTGCCATGTCTTACCTTACCGAGGTGAAGCTTCAGGCGCCTAGCGGAATATGACCTGCCCGCGATGGTGACTCCGGTTTTCTTTCCCCTGGGTATTTTGGCTTCGACGTGGTCAATATCGATGTCTGGCGAAGAACGAAACATTCGCAGCCCTTTACCATGCTTGGTGCAAGGTAAAGGCCAAGTGCATAGGTCGTAGCTATGGAAGTTGCCTAGATCAGATTGGTGCGAACTACCCGAGTATGAGCTGATGGAAGTCCATTGCGTAGGCCTCCCAATTAGTACTTCTGGTGGGTTCGATGTTGTGGTACAACGTAAAGGTAATTACGTGGTAGACGTATCGAAAAGTCACTTGCTACCTTACAGTATGTCTATGATCATCAGGTACCTGTGACAATCAAGTGCTCCTTGTTGCTGTCACCGCCTTCTGTATGAGGTAGTGCTACCCCATATTATCCTCCCGTGCTGTTACCATGCTGGAGAAAAGTGCCCCTCCATTCAAGATCAACATAATAAGGTACTTTACTCTTGGTGGCTTTTGGTTTTCAGAACAAAACGGAACAGATTGACAGAATCCACAAACTGCTTTTTCACTCTAGCGACCTATCCGTCTACTTCCCACAGTGTATCCATATCCCCGTCATACCGAATTGCCTTACATACCATCGACCGCTTGCGGCACAGGACGAGACGAATCTTGACCTGTTCTCAACTTCAACATGGGGCGAGGCAAGACCAAAGCACAAAAGCGCGCAGACTGGCGCAATTCTCGCGATGAGAATAACCCCGAGATGCCCAGGAAAAAGTTCTACCGGCAACGAGCGCATGCCAATCCCTTCTCGGACCATCATCTATCATAGTTGAGTGCGCTCAATTCCGGTCGCATTGGGGCGTTTCTTGCTGACCGGGTTGGTACCGTCTATAGCCCTGCGAGCCCGGACGATATGGATTGGTCAACCTACTACCCTGGCTTTGTTGCCCAGAACCCGCTTGACAACGGCGAGCCGCAGAAAACCGAAACATCGTCTACGCTAGCCGCGTCGAGGTCATTGACGAAAGATGTCGAGGTGGTTGATATTGGCTGCGGCTTCGGGGGTTTGCTCGTTGCACTTGCGCCCCTCCTACCCGACAGTCTCATTCTCGGTATGTTCGCCCCCGTCATGCCGGCATCTGAGGCGAGAGGCGTCGACATTCTGACATTTCTGTGTGATCGCATAGGTCTCGAAATCCGAGTGCAAGTCACGCATTTCGTTCAAGATCGGATACGGGCCCTACGGGCGCAGAATCAAGAAAAGAATCTGTACCAGAATATTGCCTGTCTTCGGGCTAATACCATGAAGTTCTTGCCTAACTTCTTCCGAAAAGGGCAGCTGTCGAAGATCTTTATCTGCTTCCCGGACCCTCATTTTAAGGTCCGTAAACACAAGGCGAGGATCGTGTCATCCACGCTCAACTCGGAGTATGCCTACGCGCTGCGGCCCGGCGGTATCGTGTACACTATCACCGATGTCGAGTCGCTGCATCAATGGATGGTGGAGCATTTGGAGGGACACCCTTCTTTTGAACGGATTTCGCCCGAGGAGGAAGCCGCGGACCCTTGCGTCGAGGTGATGAAGAAAGAGACGGAAGAGGGTAAAAAGGTAGAGAGGAATAGCGGACCCAAATTCGTGGCCCTTTTCCGCAGGGTTGAAGATCCCCCTTGGTGATGAACCAGTCACTTAGATGTAAAGCTATGTCCACTATATTCCCGGCCAGCTAGAACGTGATGTCAAGGATATTGAATACAAACCTGGAAGACATGACTGTTGTATTCATAGTCGTGCATGTGCGACGAGGCTCGGGTGGTTTGACCGAGCGGGACCATATTGTCAGAACACAAATTAAGGTGTCCGTATAATGGGAAGGGCTCCCGTTATCGATAAGGCTACCTTACCTTACCTGATCAGGTACCTCTCATATGAAAGCGCCAAGGCCACCTTCCTCACCTCCCCAACGTGCTCCCTCCATCCCAGTCCGACATCAGAGGGCCAACACTCACCTCCATCCCTTCGACACGCCATGTGCTTGCGGCAGCGACTCGTTCCACCCAGGCTTCTCGGAATATGGCCCTCCAGAAAAGGGAATTAATCCTTGCTGGGATCGCATGTTTCGTCGCCTGGGGTTACGCCGTCAGCTGGGTCCCGGCGCTGCGGTGGGCCGGCCATGCTTTTGTCACCGGTCTCGTCCTCGCGACGCTGGGCCCCCTGGTCGCCATCTTCATTACGTCTCGCGGCTCCCGGCTTACCTCACGGCATCGATCCCCACGTCCGAACGGCGTCGCTTTCCTCGCGCCCAAAACTTGGACGACGGATACTGCGAGCTTACGGAACCGACAGGCCTACGTCAGGGCACCCCTCTACGCCGACTCGCCCAACGTTTCCAACGCCCTCGATCAGCTCCTCCATCTAGTCGTTCGTGATTTCGTGGTGTCATGGTACGGCGGTATAAGCAAGGATCCGGTGTTTCCGAACCAGATCGACAAGGTTGTGCGCATCGCCCTCAGCAACATCGGGGATCGCCTGGCTGGGCTAGACTTGGCCGAAATCGTGACGAGTCGACTAGTCCCTATTCTAACTACACACTTCAAAGACTTTAGCGATGCAGAGCGCTCGGTTCGCGGGAGGAAGCTCAACCGATCCGTCACCGAGTCCGAGGAGCTCGACCTTGCGATTGCTTCCAAATACAAAGACGGAAAGCTACACCCTGCCGCCTCCCTGGCCTTTTCCGACATGAAGCTCGTCCAGCAAGATTATCTACGCAACCTCGTCTCCGATATTCTCCCTCAGGTTCTCCCGCCGAACCTCCTAGCGAGCCGGGCTGTTTCCATCATCGTCCGAGAGCTCGTCTCCTGCGCCGTTCTGTTTCCCGTCATGCAGGCCCTGGCCGAGCCCGATACTTGGAACCAGATCATGGAGAACTTTGGGCGCTCCATGTTACAGGATCGGTCGACTGTCAGGAAGTTGAGGGCTGCTCTGGATCAGCACGCCTACCCCACTCCGAGGTCCAGCAAAGCCGCCATCATCCCGCGCCTTGTGCCGGGCGACAGTGAGCGCAAGTTCGAGAAGTTTATTCGGGCTATTCGGAAAGTTAACAACCTCTCCGATGCTCGGCGCCTGCGAAGCGAAGTAGCAAGCCAACTGAAACGCGACTCGCAACAGGAGAATCAGGACCAAGTCTACCTTCGCCGCTTGGACATGGGTAAACGCCTGCTAGACCAGCGAGTCCATTACCTTGCCGTTGGCGGGGACCGGAGGGCACCTCCAGCGGCAGTAGCACAAACTCCACCAGCTCCCAGAAAGTCCAAACTTGAGAACGCATCACTTGTAGACCTCCTTCGAGATTCGGCCGGCCTATCTTACTTTATGGAGTTTATGGATCGGCATCGTGTTCTTCCACTGGTTCAATTTTGGCTCGTCGTGGATGGCTTCAGGAATCCCTTGGAAGATGAGGAGGCGAATGATGAGCAATTACCTCCCCAACTGCCCATGTGGACGGACGCGGACCGTCTCGACCTGGCTCAGATCGACCAGGCCTACCTGTCCAAACCGGAACTTAATGTCTCGCCGGCTGCCCGGGCCGAAGTGCGAGCGTTTCTCGATGCTGGGAGGAAGGCAACTCCGGAGCAGCATTACAAGGCGCGGCGGGCTATCCTCAGGGCGCAGACATCTGTATTGGAGAAAATGCAGGCGAAGTACTTCCCAAGCTTCAAGAAATCGGATCTGTTCTACAAATGCCTTGCTTCGCAAGAAGCTGCAGCTATGCCTTCGCCGGTTCCGGGTGCAGGTCCCGAACCGGCGGGGCTGGAACAGCCAAACGCCCGGTTGCCACAGCTTCAGATGCCCCGGCCTTCGCAGGGCAGCCAGAACAAGCCCAGACCAGTCCCACGGCTGGCTCCTCGGCTTGCCTACCAGCAGGCAAAACGCGCTGGATCAGCGTCAGACCTCAAGTCGCTTAGCGCGAATGTGCCCTCCATCGAAACTCTAGCCGGTGCCCGGCGCTCCTTTGACGATAGCGCGCCAAATCCTCTGTTTGATGATGACGACGTCGACAATGAAGGGTTGGCGGACTCGGTTCAGAGTTTAGACCAAGACGGTGTTACCCACAACGTGCCTGATAGTCGAGTCGTTCAAGCGATGGAAGAGGCGCTGAGCAATATCATGGAGGATGGGGATCGGCCCAACACGGCTGAGGAGTTTCGCGAGTCCCTATTCGGCGTCGAGGAAAGCATGTCTGCGAGTCTATTTTCCGTCGATGGTGAATCTAACAGAGGATCCATTGATGCAGGCAAGTTAGCGCAGCCAAGCAAGGATGGCGAGAAACCAAGCCTTTCATCACTGGGCCTCGTAAGCGCAGCATCTCGTATCGGGGTATTCGAGGATGACGACCTGTTCGGTGACGAAGATCGGTATATTTCGGAAGAGCAAAACGATCTCGGGGAGGACGGCGCGGACGATGACGAAGACCAAGTCCACGAAGCCGAGCCAGGAGACCTCGGCTTGGCAGAAGCCATCACGGCCTTGTCGAACGACATTGACAAATTGGTCGCCCAGGACGCCATAGTCGAGTCCCTCACCAGGAAGGCGGAGCTAACAAACAACACGGCGGAACTGCGGATTCTCAAGAAGTCCAAGGCTAGTCTGCAAAGAGAGATTCGTCGCAAGGAGTTGCAGAGGCAGCAGTACGTGATTCAAGAGAGCGACAACAGCCTGTATGGAAGGTCGACCATCAGGATCAAGTCGATCCAGGTGGGCCGGGAAGACGACGGGCGAGAATTCGCGCTCTACGTGGTCGAGGTGCAGAGGGATGCAGGGGAGAAGATGCCGGCGGCGACTTGGATCGTCACCCGGCGATACAGCGAGTTCCACGAATTGCATCAGAAGCTCCGGTCCCACTATCCCTCGGTCAGGAATCTCGACTTCCCCCGGCGGCGGATGGTGATGAAGTTCCAGAGCGAATTCCTGCGGAAGAGACGAGCGGCTCTGGAGACTTACCTCCGCGAGCTGCTACTGCTGCCGGAGGTTTGCCGAAGCCGCGAGCTGCGGGCTTTCCTGTCGCAAAGTGTCATCGCGCAAGGACAGGATCTGCTGGACCGCCAGGACAAGAAAGACATGATGACCAGGTTGTACGACTCTGTAACGGACGGGATGGAGGATATCCTCGGCAACATCCCGGTGCTGGATCAGCTGTCGCTGGCGGGGCAGAATCTGATCGCAGCGGCCACCAACCAGCTGAACGCGATGCCGCTGCCGGCGAACGAGGACGGGACCAGCGCGGCCGAGGCGGAGGCGGAACTGAACGCCTTCGAGAACAAGGAGCTGGAGCCGTTCATCAAGCCGATCTGCGACATCTTCTTGGAGGTGTTCGAGCTGAACAGGGGCAACAACTGGCTCCGCGGGCGTGCCGTGGTCGTGGTGCTGCAACAGCTGATGGGAGGCACCATCGAGCGCAAGGTACGAGACAACGTCAAGGTGCTCATTCAGGAGGAGGCAGTTCTCCGGTACATCGGGCTCGTGCGGGACATGCTCTGGCCCGGCGGCCAGGTCAGGAGAAACAAGCAGCCGCGAAGCGCCTCGGAGAAGAAGAAGAGCCGAACCGAGGCCAGCCTGATGCTGGCGACCTTGGTCCCTGATGTGGCTGGAAACGTGGTGGGAAGAGCAAACGCTCAGGCGGCTAGCCGGCGGATCTTCGCCACTTTTAACAATTCGAGGCTCAAGTAAGTACGACGACTGTCGTTCCCTTTCATCTCACTCCTGCATGCCTCTCTACATAGGGAGACCATACAAACTTGACTGACACGGAATGTGTAGTGCGCATTTGGCTTTTACTTTAATGGATGAAATCGTGGAGATTCTTTTCGAGCAGAAGAAGCCCACCGGCTAGTTGAACGTTGTATCTGTTATGAATTGCACGGATGGTGTTGTGGCGAACACAATGGGTGCTTTGGGAAAGGAAAAGGAGAAGAATTTAGGGTGTTGTTTGTTTGGGGGGCGGACAAGCGTGCAGATGCCATGGACATGGGAATGGATTCAAGCGAAACAAGACAGACAATAGTAATAAAGACGAAGTGTGCAGGATGTGCGGTAAGTGTTCCTCCGAAGATATCTATATACGTGCACTTGAGAGAGCAAGGATACCGGTACAATGTATAAGGTAAGGTATGAAGCTCGGAGATCAGTGATTGAGGTACTTGTGCAGATGAAGACACACAACCCTCGCGGTACCTTGGTATCTTTAGAGCAGTGGGTCCTCGATCTATACCTTACCGTCTAGAGCATAAGTCGACTATTGAGGACTCGCCAGAGAACGTGGACGCGCTTCGAGGCTATTATTACTTCGTATCCCGTACAGACACATTTGAATACTTGGAATACTTTGGACGCCAAAATCACCGTTGAATGTGTGTGACGCCGTCGGTCGGAAAGACGCCAAACCAGAAGAAGTGTTAGCTAAGCAATGAAGTGTTAGCTAAGCAAGAGCAGGTATGCACAGACCACAGCCGCACCGGCACCTGGTGTTACCCAAGCGGGGAAAAGAAGCACATCGGGGTTTTTGATTGGTTGTAAGCTTGCGCTCGTGGGGGGTGATTGTCCTCCACCTTTACCTCACCTGAACAGTTTCGGGTAAGGTCAAGTCAAGTTCCTTGCTCTTCTTTCTTCCACCCCCGGCCGGTCCTCCACTCGACCTCCTAGGCTCTGCAAACCACAAAACACCACGCTCCCCAATTCAGAGTTTGTCCCAACATCTTCGCCTCCTCCTTCCCCCCCAAATACCCCAGTGGAGTAGGATTTCCATCAGGACCCCAGCTCGTCGCGAACGTGGATTTGGCGCCTTCTGTTGTCCAAGATACCCCCTCTGCGCCTACCCGACATTTGCCAAGGTCGCGCACCTTGCCCAACCGCAAGGTCACACGGCCTCCCCAACCTCTCACCGCCGGCGCCAGCGCCAGCGCGTCCATCTCAACGTCTCGCCCGTCACCTGTGCCTCACTTCAGGGTTCTTACATTGCTTAGCCCGGGTTGCATGCGCTACATGCTCTAGATTTCATCAATCATCACCAGTTTCTTTAAACCAGGCTCATCAATTCCCACGACGTCGGCTGCCCGTCATGACCGAGGTTTCTTCCACCAGGCTCTATTTGGGCAACCTTCCTCGCACCGGTTGGTCTCCGTAGACCTCCATTCTCGCACTTTCTTGGAATGCCGGCCGCTGATATCTCCCATCTTCATCTCCACTGCAGCCACCAAAGCGGACATCGAGGCCCATTTCGCCTCCCATGGAACTGGCGAAATCACGGAAATCAAGCTCATGAATGGATATGCCTTCATAGAATATAAGGATCCCATGGATGCTCGAGATGTTGTTCCTGGTAAGCATCAATCAGTATTCGCAGTTTTGTCTTTCGACGCATTAGGCATTTTCCGGATGGCCCCAGCTGATATGTTTCTTGCTCCTCGCAGCTTTCCGTACGTCCCTCTTCCAACTGTTACGAGCTACCGGCTTCGTCCATTCCATACCCAGGTTCTTCTTCCATCATGGGCCACACCTGCTAATCCTGTCGAAGATGGTTCCATCTTCATGGGCCAGCGCCTGACCGTCCAGTTTGCCCGCGGTAGCCGTCAGCGAGAAAGCGAACCCGGTTCCGGTGGCTACAACGACCGCCCTACCCCTCGTCCCCGACGCACCCAATACCGGATGCAGATTACGGGACTCCCCAACGATACCAGCTGGCAGGTCTGTTTGACCCATTCTCTCTCCGTTTCATTTTGATTCCTGGATTCCCGGATTTTTCTCCCTTGATCGTCTACACGGGCACGCGGTTTGGACCAGGTCCTGGGCGTCCAGGAGACAATGTTGCCATGCCGAGCTTCCAACCCCTTCGGCCGCCTGCCTGTGGGAGGTATGCGCTGGTGATCTCTGCTCCGCCTTGTCGTCTTCGGCCTATATTGGATGAGCAGAGCGCTAGCCGGACCCCTTCCTTCCCACGGTGGACGCCTGCTTCTGGCTTCTGAGGTCTCTTGGCTGGTTCCCTTCCTCTTGCGGCTTCGCTTCTGGACAACCTATCCATATTCGACCAACCTAATTCCCAATCTGGACTACAACTTACTTGGATAATTCCGTAGGACCTCAAAGATTTTGCTCGACAGTCAAACCTTGACGTTGTCTATTCGGAGACCGCCCGTGACGGCAACGGTCGTGGGTACGTCCAAGATGAACCTCAAGTCTTTCCGGGGCGGGTTTTTTTTTTTTTTTTTTTGAATTCATCTTGGGAGAGAGCTGATATGGCTTTCTAGTTTTGTCGAGTTTGAAACCGCTGCAGACTTGAAGACCGCCGTTGAGAAGCTTGACAACCGTGAGTTCAAGGGCAAGCCCGTCACTTGCATTGCCGATGTACGTCTTCTTTCCCTTCATTCGCTGCCAGCGGCCAGGAGCCCCCGGTCCTAACCTTCCGTCCAGACCCAAGCAGACATTCCCAGAAGTGATCTCCGCGGTCGGTCTCGGTCCCCCGGTTTTCGGCGGCCGCATGGTCCTCCCATAGATGACTACGAACGCCGCGGTCCTCCACCCCGCGGATACAGCCCTCGTGGCTACCGCGACGGATACCGTGACAGGAGCCCCCGTCGCGATTACTACGACGACCGGGCCCGTTATCGGTCCCCCCCTCGGCGACCAGTCGACGATTACCCTCCCCCACCTCCAAGAGGCCGCTATGATGATCCTTATCGCCGAGACTATCCCCCTCCACCCGACCCCTATGCCAATGGTCGACCCTACGACCGCCCTCCTCGGGACTTTGTACCTCCGCCTCCCCCCCCTCGCGACGTCGGATATCCCCGTGATCCGTACCCGCGTGAGTACGATCGTGGCGGCCGTTACTGGTAAATCCATTCCTAAATCCATTCCGCTCGCACATTCTTCCCTCTGGGGATCACTCCTTGACTCTGCATAGATCCTGGGTGACTCGGACACGATGCCATGAGCCTGGAAGACGCGTGACTGGTAGCAACAGAATAATAGCCGGACAGTAGCGACGCCGAATTGAAGGGGTGAGAGCAAACGAGACTTCGCACATGGCGCCAGCTGCTGCTGCTGTTGCTGCAAACACCACCAGGGCGCGAGGAAAGGCACGGCAGTTTTGCTTTATTCGATGTTAACGATTGACCTTATGAGCTTTTAACACCCACCGGCAGCTGCGCTCACTCTTCTGATTGGGTTTCAGCGTAGGAAATGCGAAGGGTCCCAGTCCGTTGCCCAAAAGACAAATGTTGTGGTAAAAAGAAATGGGCCTGGAATGACATTTTTCATGTACGATAACGAATGAGGATATCACTTAATCAAGACTGATTGTGTCTCTTTGCGACCCGAAAAAGAAATCTCAAGCATTTATGTACAGGCATAAGGAACCCCGGTGTTCAAGAGTCCAGGATATGTGTGCTGTTCGACGCAGCGACTATTAACAGTGGAATAGGCAAGAGAACGAACTGTGTACCACACGGGCGCATAGTCCGGGCAACACACACTATTATTCGCTCACGTGGTCCAAGAATGAGAACGTAGTCTGTCCATTTCAGACGGTTGCCACTCCTCCAAGATCTCTGATCAACATGTCCCCCATGATATTATGGGCTTTATGCCGTCTTCTTCCATTGGCTGTAGACGCCGACCAGACTGCTAACAGTGCCGGCAATGCCGACGATGCCGTCGTCCAAGGCGACCCAGTTCAAGCCGGAGAGGGGGACGGTCAAGTCGCAGAGGTCGCAGAGGAGTTGCATCCTGCTAGTGCTTCGTTCCCTATACGGCGCGTAGAAAACGGTCAGTTAGCGGGCGTGGAACATAGTACGTGGATACAGGGGAATATAGAAAGCACGCGGGATTGGAGGGTAGAGGCGAGGTTTGCAGAGGGGGAAGCGGTGGGTGGAGAAGGGGCGAAAAGAAGAAGAGAAGGAGGAGGAGCAGGAGGAAAGAGGAAAAGGAAAGAAGAAGAAAAAACGCACAAGGTTATTCTCTTGCTCTCGACAGCTCCCTCGGCCTCCTTCAAGTCGACTCGGGCCTGGCGCTGACGCAGACGATGGAGGGTGTAAAGCTGGGCGACGACGCTGCAGACGATACCAGCGGCCCAGAAGCGGTAGGCCTCGCGCTGGAGCGTCTTGGTGCGCGGGGAGCGACGGATGCCGAGGGCGTCGGGGAGGGTGGCGGCGTCGAAGGAGAGGTAGCCGGCGTAGCCCAGCTGGCGGCCAATGGCGGCGTAGCGGAGGAAGGGGTCGAGGGTCGGGGCGGCGTCGGCGGCGACGGCGGCGGCCTTGAGGTGCTCGACGTTCTTGCCGAAGCGGAGGATCTTGCGGGCTAGGCCGAACTGCTTCTTCACGGCGTCCCAGGGCGCGACTTGGGAGGCGGCGGCGTTGGTGCGGTACAGGTACCAGGCGTAGAAGCGGGCGAAGTACTGCAGGGTGCGGAGGAGCTTGTCGCGGCCTACTGTGGTGGCGACGAAGCGGAGGTAGTGGGCTACCGAAGGGTGGTATACGAGGGCGTTGGCGACCATTTTTGTTGGTTTGGGGGTTGGAGGGGGTTGATGAGTGAGCGCGGAGGAGGGGGGCGCGTTGGTTGGGGAGGGAAGTTGTTGCGCAATAATGGGTGGGAGATGTAAAGATGGGAGGAAGAAACAATAGCGCACGACTGTAGGGGTGGGATGATCAACGAAAGGGTATCAAAAGCGTGTCAATTATCGTTGTAAAGCACGGGTGGGAAGGAAGGTCGAAGAATGATGAGGTCTGTGTGGTGTCGCAATGATCGCGCGTGGTTTCGTCGCGGTGAAAGATGTCGGGAGATGGTTTGGGAATAGTTCGCTTTGCGATCGTTAAAAGTCGTTGTTAGGTCGAACACACGAGCATTTCTCGGGCAATGCAGCGTGTAGACGGACTCCAGGTGCCGTAGATTGGCTTGGGGGGGGACTTTGAAAGTCTGTCTGGGGGAGGTTATAGAGCACATGCCGAGGTCCACCACACAGTTACCGAGAGTCGATCCCGAAGGGGGGTTCCTCCTGGGCATGTCAGATGACAAAGCAGAGCATGTGCAAATGTGACGTGCATTTGTGATGATGCTGGAGAAGTACGGAGGAGTACGTATTTCGTGTCCGTCGTAACGAAACATGTGGCTCGCGATGGGGTACGTGGCTGGAATATGTGGCTGGTGCTGGGTTTGGTGGGGGACGTTCTCCGCAGTTACGTCAGGGGAAAATCACCTGGCCAGTTGACCAAGGGTGGCATTCTCTGTCCTCAGTCCTCTAATGCCCTATGCTTTGCTCTAGCCCTCTGGGTAGGTCTCCGGCATATATCATTGATTGATGTGAAATGCGTTATGGAATTATATGAATTATTACATAACAACAGCGAAACCAAGGGTCACGAGTCGCGTCAAGTCATCAGTCTTAAATAGCGGGGTAGAGGGCGTCTCGGGATAGATACAGCAAGACATCGGGCGTCTTCGCGCTTGGTAAAGCTGCGAAAGGTTTCTGCTTCCGAGAAATCCTCGCGAGAGCGGTATATAAGGTGGGTTTTCTTGGCAAGTTGTCTTTCTCGGGTTCCCCTCGGCCGGAAACGTCCAAGCAACGAACGAACTACCTATTCGCTACGGTCACTACCACCAGTCAGACAGCTCGCAAGGCGAAGCTAGCGTTAGGTCTTTCCCTGTCAGGCATCGAATCGCCCCTGCCCCTGAAGCTGAGCTTGGGGAACTGGGGTGGAATAGCCCTTCAATAACCGCCTGGCCGAGAGATGTACCGCTAAAACAAGGGGTGAGGGGCACGCAGCTTATCGTGGACCACGCGGACAAGTTACAACGCTTTGCCGTCACCGGATCTGTCCGGCTCGTCACCGTTAGGTTGTTTGTCCGGCAATTCCGTTTCGTTTCGTTTTTCAGCATACACGAGGATATATGTTTATGTTAATCTTCCTTTGTATTTCTCTTCAGTTTTGCATTCCATTATCATCGGTCCCACTGCCAAACGTAATAGGTATATATATAGATGTAAAGGGGTCCTGTTCCACTCCACGTCCCGTCGATCCATCCCATCACATTACTCACTGTCGTCATCATTGTGTCTACCTTATCCGTCCTTACGCTCCGAACATACGGCTAGCATATACAACCTTCTGCCGGCAGAAAAAAAAACCCCCGTCGTGTACCCGCGGCTTTCATCCAAGCCTTTACATCCCCACCTAACATATAGTCTGGAACATCTCGGGGATATAAACTGTAAGTCTACATACATATACGCGGGATGCTCCCACATATGCTATCTTCATGAAGACATCCTGACCATCGTAACTAAGGGTATATAGTCCAATTGACCTTAGAAGACGCTTCGAACTTCCATTACGACCCACAATCCACCCTCAATCCAGCCACCACGAAGCTACGAAGCCACAAACCCTCCTCTTAATACCCCATACGCCATCTAGCACCCCATCACCCTCAATAATCGCCCACCATGTCGACAAACCGCACCGGATCCCCGCCCGAGGTGGAAAAGGTCAACACTAACATTGTCACCCTCACACGGTTCCTCACCGAGGAGCAAACAAAACACAAGGAGGCTACCGGAGATTTTACGTAGGTTCCCGTTCCCGGGCCACTATGGTTCTCCAAAGCCCAAAGCCCAAACCCCAAGCCCCAAGCCCCAACTAACTGACACTGACACTCACGAACAGGCTCCTCTGCCACGCCCTGCAATTCTCATTCAAGTCAATCGCCTACTACATCCGCCGCTCCACCCTAGTCAACCTGACCGGTCTGGCCGGTTCTGCAAACGTCACCGGCGACGAGCAGAAGAAGCTCGATGTCATCTCCAACGACCTCTTCATCGAGGCCATGCGGTCATCGGGCCGGTGCGCCATGCTCGTGTCCGAAGAGGAGGAACACATCATCTTCTTCCGCGGCAGCAAGGGAGCCCGCTACGCCATTGCCTGCGATCCCATCGACGGCAGCTCCAACCTCGACGCCGGCGTCTCGGTAGGCACCATCTTCGCCATCCACAAGCTGCCCGAGGGCGCCAGTGCCACAAAGGAGGACATCCTCAAGCCGGGCACCGAGCTCGTCGCCGCCGGCTTCACCATGTACGGCGCCTCCGCCCAGCTCGTCATCACCATGAAGGGCAGCACCGTCAACGGCTTCACGCTGGACAACGGCGTCGGCGAGTTCATCCTCACACACCCGGACATGAAGATCCCGCGCGCCCGCACCATCTACTCGGTCAACGAGGGCAATTCCCTCTACTGGGAGGACAAGACGAAGAACTACTTCAACTCCCTCAAGGAGGCCCAGCCCGACGGGAAGCCGTACAGCGCCCGTTACATCGGTAGCATGGTCTCCGACGCCTATCGCACTCTCCTCTACGGTGGCATCTTCGCCTACCCGGCCGACAAGAAGAGCCCCAAGGGCAAGCTCCGCATTCTTTATGAGTGTGCGCCTATGGCCATGGTGTTTGAGAATGGTGAGTACTATTTGTCTTCCTGCCTTCTCTCCCTCTCCCTCTCCCTCTCCCTCTCTCTCTTCTTCTTCTTTTTTTTTCTTCCCTCACCGCCTAGTCTTCCAACGGAGATGCGCGTGCTAACGGCGAACACGTCACAGCTGGTGGTCAGGCAGTCGATAGCAACATGAAGCGCATGCTCGAGGTCGTGCCCGAGCACATCCATGACAGGTCGGGCATCTTCATGGGCAGCTACGATGAGGTTGAGAAGGTTAAGACGTTCTACAAGTAGGCATAATTATTATGTGTTGGTGAATGGCAGGGTGGGTGCTGCAATAAGAGAGAGTGCCTCGAGAAGAGCCGAGTCTTATGAAGAGGGAATAGAGGAAAAGGGGAAAGAGGAAGGGATTGGCAACAAGATTTTGCACGAAGCGCCATGCATCCCGGTATTTGAATGGGTCATCGGTTATCGGCTGGTCCAGGGGGTGTTTTTTTTTAGTTTTCTCAGGAGAGGGCACGGGAATGAGACGAGATCATGGGAACCAATCCCCTACAGCCAATAATCATAACCAAATATCACGGGCCAATTGTACACACGGAGTAATATCGCCAGGACATTTCCAAGAAGTACCTTGGGAAGAATTCTCCGTTGGGTGAAGAGTCCCAAGACAGATGGCGGTTGCTATTCGTATTTCGCAAGGTACAGAATTGCACTGTATGGCCGCCAGAAGAACCCCACGGTGCACCCCACATCCTGGTAAAATCACACAGTATACGCACCGTTGAATTGTCTGTCTGCTCCGAGACCGCAGCCAGACCTTGACTAGACCCCGCCACTATTTGTCGTTGTGAGGGGCAGTTCAAACCTAAAGTTTTGTTACGACTTCTTCTCGTTGACATCTTAGCAAGTTCGTCAATTTTATAAAAGAATGGCTGCCCCAAACAAGCAAGTGTTGATCGCCATTATTGGTAAGGGAAACTCCCTCCCCACCCCCCCCTCACCCCCCCCCTTTTATCAGACCATTCATTCATTCGTGCTCTCCGCCATCCAGCCTGCCCACATCTCGGTCTCCCAACACCCAGGGCGTCAACGATTTACCCTCTCCCTTGCCCCTATTACCCTATTACGATAGATCGCACTCGCTAACCATGGAACTCGTCGAGTACGGCTTTAGGCGCCGGAGGTGTGGGCAAATGCTTCCTCTCCCAACTGTCAGCCCTGGCGACCCGGCGGCCATCGCCCAAGCTCAGCCTCTGCTATATCTCTACGAGCAAGAAGGCCTTGTATAATGATGACTACACGCCCATAGCCCTCGATGGCACCCTCGAAGCTCTCGCGGCATCCTCTCGTTCGCCCCCGTCCCTCTCGCAGGTCGTCGACTACCTCGCCGCCGCCCCGCACAAGGTCGTGCTCGTCGACAACACCAGCTCCCAGGACGTTGCCGACCACTTCCCGACCTTCCTCCGCCGCGGCATCAACGTCATCACCCCCAACAAGAAGGCCTTCTCCGGCTCGTACGGCCTGTGGCAGGACATTTTCGCCGCGGCTGCCGAGTCGGGCGCGTCAGTGTTCCACGAGTCGTCCGTGGGCGCCGGGCTCCCCGTCATCTCCACGCTCCGCGAGCTGGTCGAGACGGGCGACCGCGTCACCAAGATCGAGGGCGTCTTCAGCGGCACCATGTCCTTCCTCTTCAACACCTTCGCCCCGACCTCCGGAGCCGGCGGCTCCTGGTCCGCCGAGGTCAAGAACGCCAAGGCCCTCGGGTACACCGAGCCCGACCCGCGTGACGACCTCAACGGCCTCGACGTCGCCCGCAAGCTCACCATCCTGGCCCGCCTCGCCGGCCTGCCCGTCGAGTCGCCCACCTCGTTCCCCGTCCAGAGCCTGATCCCCGAGGCGCTCGACTCGTGCACCTCCGGCGACGAGTTCCTCGAGAGGCTGCCGGCCTTCGACGCCGACATGGAGCGGACGCGCGCCGACGCAGAGAAGGAGGGGAAGGTCGTCCGCTTCGTCGGCAGCTTCGACGTCGCCGCCAAACAGGTGAAGGTCGGCCTCGAGAAGTTCGACAAGTCCCACCCCATCGCTGGTCTCAAGGGCAGCGACAACATCATCAGTTTCTACACAGAGCGCTATGGGAGCAACCCTCTCATCATCCAGGGCGCCGGCGCCGGTGGTGAGGTGACTGCCATGGGAGTCACTGGGGACCTGTTGAAGGTCCTTGCCCGTATCGGCTGAGTCGGTCCGAGGGGGGTGTTGGGAAAGTAACATTTAAACATAAATGAACAAAAGTTCACGGGTCGATGGCCATCTCCCAGAAAGAAAACATATTCCCGGCAGCTCGAACGATGGACTTGGTCTCGCTATGTTAGCTGCGCACAGAGAAACCACTTCAGGGCCTCGCCCATTCTATCCTATTGACTCGAGACGCCACATCCACCACGGGGTAGTGCAAATCGAGCAAGAATAGGGGGGAAAGCGCTAGAGCATACCGTAAAAACTCATAACTTTCGCCCTTGGAACTATTGGCTCGGCGCCCTATCCCCCTATAACCTAAAAAAGTTAAGCAATGAATAGAAGAGTTTTTATAAGGTAGCTATAACCCCCTTTTTGACGATCTTGATTCCTAATTATAGAGGGCGCTGCTATTAGCTTCTATAACCCGCTAAGCCGGGTTCGTGAGTATGGATCCTGCCTATTACGGTATAGTTCTAAGGGCGCAGGTTATGAGTTTTTACGGTAGCTGCTTACTGATTATTCCAAGGTCTATATATAGTTGTTTTTAGACCTATCGCTTGATAGGAGAGGTCTAACGAATTCTAACCTGAGACGTCCATTTAACACGTACCTAATCAAGTGACTAAGAACAAGCGGCACAACATCGGCTTGACATGTCGGACTCGTGGGAGTCTCTTCGACGCCAGCACGACTACCGACAACGGGTTGCCCAGTGCTTTCAAGGAGAAGAATTTATCGCACCTAAGAGTCAATCCAGCCTCCACGAACGCCCGTTTCTCGCATACTCGCTGGAGCTTGTTTTTATGAGAGACGCGGAGGCTTCTCGCAAAGGTCCACGGTGTACGTGTATGTAAGCTTTTAGGTAGAAATCGGGGGGTTGAACTCAACAATATCTCAGGTACAGAATTGAGAAACAGCTGGAGGCCGCCAAGTGCCTTAATTATAACAATTAGCACCGGAAACGTAATGCGTGGCGCCAAAAATACATGCGAGGGGGTTTCGATCTAGCATGTGCGGTTGTTCATCGGCTTCCACGAACAGGGTCCCATCTTCCACGTGTTCGTTTACTATTCGATGAGTCGACGAAGGCTCCAAACATTCTGGCCGAGATAGATGCTGGGTTGAGAAGTCAGCTCCAATGATGACCCATGACCGAAGACGTGACTTCGTTATCGACGGGATAAAAGACCGAGGCTCACCGAGCGGGGAGAGGGAAGGATCAACAACATTGAACCTAGGAACGAACTAAATCCAACAGACCGGATCTGATTGAGGTATGTGAGGACGAAGTGGCGTCTGGGTAGGCGGAACTTGGAGGATTGAAGCTTCAGCACCAGCTCAGCTACCTCCGGCTTGAGTTTCTGATCCAGTTAAAAATCGACGTTCGCAAAAACCCGGCGGTTACAGATAAACTTATATTGAGCCCGGAGGCTAAGGTTAGGGGTAGGTCTGGGGCCGAATGGAACAACAGGTTGAGCTGAGGGTTGCTACGTAAGCTTCTAAGACAAGCTTACAATTTTCTCTAGGCCACATGGCTAAGTGCCTTAGGGAACCGCCGTTATAATAGGAGAAAGTTAGAAACACTCTTCACGCTGACTGAAAACCACTCTTCTTGATGATGGGAAAACAGTCTTTGTTCGTGATGATTGACGCGACGCTTGACGCGACGGGCGAAGCAATTCAGCCAATCAATTAGAGGCCCAACGGCCAATACCACTTTTCTTATCGGCCACGCCACGCGTCCGTAGTGGGGGGCCTTGGCTCGGCTCGCCTTCCGTGGGGCATTGTTCCGTGCGCCGTAGCGCGTCCCGGCTCCGGACCTCCGGTGTGTATCCCGCACTCGAAACGAGGGCGACGTGCTCTTCACCATCGCGGGTTTGGATTCTATTCTCTCCAAGGTACGTACCTACGGAGCATGGACGCACAAAGGTCTACTAACGATGCGGCTCGAGTGGCTTACTCGTCGGCGAACTCAATCAAAGTTGGCACGTTGCTGTCTCTCCTTTCCTGTTGTAAATTGTAATATGCCATGATCCTTACGACTAGCGTGGGTGTTTACGTTTGAGCTAGCATATTGGTCCATATCTCGTCGAGACTTCATCTGCTTACCCTATTAACCACCCAACACGGCCTTTTACAAGGTGCAAGTTAAAGCACCCATGTCAAGAAGAATTTCGATCTTTTGGTAGATTTGCCGACATAAAGTTTAAGGTTCTACGGGGGAGCCAAGTGGTGTTACTACACGGGGTAAAGTCCCAAGGTCGAAAGATACCTAAGGTATGGGCTGATACGGTACGTGTACTTGTCCCTTTTTAGTGCCTTAGTAAATGATTAGGTAGATCTGGTGGCTGTCCACAAAAGTCCAGTATTGAATCGTCCCGGATCCCTTGGCTAAGGACCATGTGGCATTCAGACTCTGCTCAGGGGATGACCGGACGTAGCCTGTAGGCCCGTCTCATGTTGGCTTTTCGCAGTGTTGACACCCTCCAATCGCCCTATACGCACTTCTTCAATCGTTCTTGGTCAAGACGTCGAAGAAGGCACTTGGTCGACGTTCGGACTCCGGACTCCAGACGGCGGACTCCGGACGTCGGACTCAGAGTGCGGACTCGGCATATACCTTGGTCATGGTGCGGGCGGAAGCCCGCCATAAGGATCCACCCTGGATGATGGATCAGCGGCAGGGGCGTTTTCGTCCTCTAACCTAGTGTACGTGTACTTACAACGTTACAGATTACAGAGTCGATCGACACAGGTAGGTGATCAACATTGAGAAGTGGGATGCCCCCTTGATCCATCTGGTGCCAGTCTTAAGCGTAGTCACCGATGAATAAATTCAACTAGATACGTGCATGGAGCGACATTACCAAAGCTAAGACAGGCGCTGTAACCATAGCACATGCAGAAATGCTGCACTGCTCCTTGTTTCAGTCGCTGTGCAGAAATCGCTAATGCATCATGTCGTTCGTGAAGGTAAGAAGTCCCTGGGGTAGTAACCTAATCTATGCCGCATATCCATGCATTCCGACTCATGCAATCCGAATTCCAGTTCCTCTCTCTCAACAGTAATAAAACCCCAGTATCTCTTCTCTCAAAATAATAAAACCCCAGTATATATCTCTCTCTCCAAAGTAATCGTGTCTCGCCTCCGTTCTGCCGCTCACGGTGACCCCGGCATGGACAGCGGCGTGGTGGGATATTCGTAACAGGTATCGGAACAATTGGCCGACTGGTCGAACGTGTGCGAGAGCGGCGGCGTCTACTCCTCAACCCCGTCAGCAACGTCGTGAGCTGGGACGAGTCATCGATGGCGAGTAACTCACATGAGGCTCGGGATGTTCGTACGAATGGGTCGCCGCCATCTCGATGCCCGGAACATACCCGTAGTTCATGTAGGCCAAACCGTCGTCGCTGGGGTAGGCTTCTCGCTTGATCGCATCGTTGAAGTGGTTCATGGGCGGCAGCGTGGCAGGGGCCGGAGCGGAAAGGTAGGTCGGGTACGCTTCAGCGCTGGCCATGGGCGCGGAATAGGGCTGCTGCGCCGGATACGAGTGGGAGTGGGCCATGACCATCTCGTCCTGGTGGGCGTACGAGGGATATGGAAAGAGGGGAGGCGTATGTGACTTCGGGCGGTTGTCATCGTAGGCAGGCGGCATGAGGAACTCGTCATCTTGCTGCATGGGCGGGGTGAATTGACCGTCGTTTGTGCTCGACGCCTTCGGTACCGAGGTCTTGCTGGACTTGGAGGAAGATGAGGATTGTCGCTTGGTGCCGGAGCTTGTGTTCGTGCCGGGACTGGATGTTTTTTTCTGCGTCTGCTGCTTCTCAGATCCGGACGTCCCCGTTCCCATCCCTTCTTCACCGGCCCGCCTCTCGAGTTCTTCAAGACGTCTCTTGAGTTTCTTGCCTGTGGTGGTAGATGGTCAGCCAAGCCGAGTTCGGAATATGTGCATGCCCCTGTATGCCCCTGGAGCTGGTTGAGGCAGAGAACGTGATGCTACTGCACGGGGCTAGCAGTGACATGGTCATATATGTACATACGGTAGTTGCGCTGCGCAATGCGATTCTGTATCCTTCGCCTTTCAGCCAAGTCTGAGATCTTGGTCCAGTCTTCGTCGGGGTTGGCGGAACTACTGAAGGCGCTGCTGGTGGTCTGGCTGGAGTACTGTCTCGGAGGTGGTAGTGGTGGTGGCGCTGCTCCGTACGGGTACTGGTGTGGTGGTGGTGGGATGGGATACATAGGCATATGCGGCATAGACTCGATATACGCGTTGGGATACTCGCTATCAGGTTGGTATATAGGGACGAGCATAAGAGAAGTATTTTGTAGTAGGTATAGAATGGGAAGCTGAAGGCATGCCCGACTGAAGTTGTCCGATGATGATAGAGGGCTACTATCAAGGCGTAAAAAAGTGAAGGGGAGAAGATCATTGAAAGGGCCGATATCAAGTCATGAACTGAGGGGGTCTCATCAGTTTATGAAGAGAAGGGAGTGTGGGGCCAAATCTGGATAGACGAGATGGATAGACGAGGGGGGGGGGAGAGGATCTGGGTAGACGAGAGGGAGGGAGGTGGGAGGAGGTTTCAATAAATAAACAGGAGAGGTTTGGCATGCACATCAGGTCCCGAGGGTATGGGGCTGGAGCCACAACAACTACCCTTGCCAGGGCTGCTCATGGACAGGACCACCACTCCCCTCAAAGAACCTTAATGTAGGACGGACGGGCTGTGTAGCTACCTGGTGCCCTGCGGACGAGGGGGGTACATTGTACGACATGGGGGATCCGGGATGAAGAAGAGGGAACAACAGATGGGCAGGGGGTCAGAGAATGACGAAGAGGAGGGGCGTGAAGAAGGCAGGGGGAGGGGCGGGGACAGGAAGGTGTCGTAGGGCAGAGGAGCAACGTGACAGAGCCCAGGTCCGGCTGGCATCTTGAGACCTGAACACCTCCAGGCTATGTCCTCAGACTGTACTGGAGTACCTTAAGTAAGCAGATGCAGCGCCTCGCTTGCGGACCCAAGGTTACACTTTGACCACCGGAGTGATTGGAGCAAAGGGAAATAGAAGAAAAGAAGAAAACACAAGGACGCGAAGCAAGACAAAAGAAACCTTGCACTCGACAACACGGCAGACCGAGTAGACGGAATCCAAGAGAAGACGAAGAACCTAACGGGAATCTACGTCTAGTATCTAAGCTTCGCCGGTAATTAGCGAAGGGGGAGATGGGAAAAGGGGTGGTAGGGAAGGCGAACCGGAGGAGAGGAGATAGGAAAAGAAGAAACCATACCTCAGGCGACGCAAAAGTTCCCGCTTAACAGTCATATCGGAAGAGAACGAAGTGTGCAAGTATCCAAGGGTGTGGGTGCTCGTGGGCGACCAGGCAGAATCGACGGCGAGGAGGGTGTGCGGAGAATGAGGGGGGAAAGGGGGGCCTTATTATTGCATGGTTCCGTCTACAGGTACCTTATGTACACTATTATTTAGCGGATTGAACGCCGCCCGCAGGTTGGGGTCGGGTCCCTAGTACTTCGTACCTTACCTTACTGAGGAGTAACTGTACTTCGTATAAACCTCGACTCATAATGGTACCTAAGTTACGGTATATATGTACCTGACTTGGTGGAGAGCAGCCGTACCGGGTACATATGCGCTGTATGGTGTCCCACAACGAAGTACTCGGTCAAGGGGGGCCAGCGTTGAAAGGTACCACTGTAACTTACGGCGTATCTCAGAGGAGACAAAGCCGGGGAAGAACATTAGTGGAAAAGTGCCCGTACATACAAGTACACTCGACCGCTGGACCCCTGAACCAGAAAGGTGCAATCGCTACGAACTTTAGGTGGTGGCGATTAGACGGTGTTAAATATCGTATAAGCTTCTCGACTCTGGGCATGTGTTGTCGGTTATACTTCGTACTTACGTAGCTTATGTTGGTAGCTACCTGGTAAAACGAATTCGATGCTCATCTGCTGAATTATTGCCGAGTCCGCCAAAGACCTAACATATATACTCAGACTTAAGGTGACTTGTATGATACAAGGAAAATCTAGCTTCTTCTCTTTTTACTTTGACGGCCAAGTTGGTTAAGTTGACGCTACTGCGAAGGAGGGAATTACATTCCCATTTGTTGCAGGGCATAAGACCGGCTGTAATCACTAGGCCTGGCATCCAGCCCTCAACACAACACGGCAACTTCCTCCAATTGCGGCTTTCATAGTGCCCATTCCTGCGGTTAACTTCGCACTCGGACTTATATCTGGCCGAACCAACTTAACCGGAATGTTACCTGTTTGAGGATCTAAGAGGCAATCCTACAACCATTCTAATGTTTTATCGCAACGTGGCAACCGTCACCGGCGAAGAAACCAAGTGCTGGGCCTCCTTCCATCTTATCTTTCTACGATAAAGTTATACCAGCATTCAACTGGTGGGAAATATGTAATTATGGACTAATAAGTTAGGTTTCCGAGTGATTTGTACTTCGCGGTAATTAATTAAGGTCCCAGCTGGTTGGAGAAGTGACGCGTGTGAAGCGAGATACTCCGACCTGACGAATCACAGCCCATGTCCTAGGAGCCATGAGGACTTGGCATGCCCGGTCTTCCTAAATAAAGGCTTGTTTTCACCTCTGGGCTTGATGGAAATATCCGTCGTGGCTGTGCAAACATGGTACCTTATGTATTGCTGCGGATGTACAATGTACCAAGAGGGGAAGTTTACCTCTCCTCACATGTGAGGTTTGTCGCTGTCGTAGGGCTGGCCAGTCACGATTGGTAAGGCGCCCCTGTAAACGGGTGAGGGGATAGGGGGGTGCTCGTCTCTCCCAAGCACAGTGTTCTGGGAGAAGGCATATCTATCTCCAGGCCAGTAATTCAGGCAGTGCGACTCAGAAGAGCAAAAGAAGGCGGAATCATGCCAAGTCCACAGGAAGCAATCAACGTACCAAGTAAATTTGCAATGTAAAGCGCACGCAACTGCGATCGTAAATGCCAACCAGACCAGACAATGGCATAATATCTTGATAATGTACCTGTAATTATATTCACTTTAATTCTCCTTTATCTTCTTTTGGCACACGACACGTAACCACTTGATTTGTATATCCACGCGTTCTTATCTGTTTCCTATAGGATGCTAGTCCCACCTTGCTAAGGCATTGTCTCGAGACTTTGTACTTCGTAAGTATCAGTCGGGCAATTTTCAAGAATTTGTATCCAAGAGATGGCTTGTCGGCCGGGGGAGTCAAAGAATCAATCGACCTGGGTATGGTTCGGGGTTTCGCCTTTCCATAGGTCTGTAGCCAATGGCGATGCGAAATCTGCCACATCAGCCATTACGAACGGTGCCTAGATACTTTGTAATAAACACTAACGCTCCGTTTTCTCGGTGCTACTTTTGATGAGTACCGACGCTTGACGTCATTATAGGGCGCAAATCCGAACAAAACAGTTACAACGCTTGTCACGCGTTCCATGGTCGTCGAAAAGAAGGATCAGCAAATCCCCAGGCTCGTTCTTAGCAATGCCCCAGAGGTTCTACACGAGACGGTAACTTGTCGCGACGACGCCGGGCCCTCACAGTGTAGGAACATAGGTTTTACACTAAATCTGCCGAGACGATACTCTGAGGTTCCCTGGTGGGTCCGTTTCTCCTCTCTGCGGAGCTTTCCGTGTTCTCTTCTCCGAATGCTTTGTAAACTTATGCTATTTTCGTCCCTCCATTAGAAAGCCGCTGCTCATTTGCTGATTGGTCAAACAGGCGACATACACACCATCCCATCCTGTCGTGTATTATCTTTCCGCCCACTCTCGTCTGCTTGTTTGCCTCTGGCAACTCTACGAAGTGGAATTGCTTTTGCCGGCTATGCAGCGACGCGACGCTGCCGCCTCTACTTCTAGCTTTGTTACCTTCGACATTTGTTCCCAACGGCTTCTTCTATTAAGCGCCTGGATTATCGCGTCTCGCCAGCCCGGGCCTCACCCCGTTGACTCTGAGGATACAGGTGGATCATGGACGCGCGAAATCAACAAATCAACATCTCCGCTGAGGGGGAGAGAAGGAGAGCTGACTATTCGAAACCTCGAACCTTATTTCCACCTTGCCTGCGGCTACCGTAGGGATTCGATTCTGGCTAACTAAGGGCAGCAATGCCCGTCCACATCCAGGGGAAAGGCGGCATGTTTCCAATTTGTCGCCGTAAACTCGACAATCATCAAAATTCGGTGATCATTGTTAGCAGGGCAGAGCGGAAGTAAACCTCCCGCATGCGCCCTGATCCTTTCGCAGAGCTTCATAAGGTTCTGACAACCACCAGCCATTCCCAGGACACCCCTCAGTTGCAGAATCTGCAGGTACTGTCAGACATATCTGGACGGTAGATATACGGTGAATCCTCTGCCAATTAGGGGGTGTGCTATGTTCGTCAGTGGCTTGGCAGCGTTATGACGGGGGTGGTGTACTTTGTATGCCCCCCCCAGGAGCCTGGAACGCGGAAGGACTATCACACGTGGACAGCCAAGAAACCCCTTGAAAGTCGGGTGCATGATGTCTGGGGTTGGAGGCCGCTTGATTTTTCGCTTGAATTTCAGGCTCCTGTTACAGACTTCTGCCTATCTGAGACCCTATCCCTCTCGAATTTCTCAGAGAGAGAGGCGCCTATCCTCGTTATTCATTCGAGAAGGTGGTGGGGGCCACTTGGAAGCTCGGAAACGGTTCCCCTACTAATATTGTCAATCAAATTTCATCATCTCCGATAACGTGCAGGCGGGTGGGTATCCGTCCGATAGTATCACTTGAGCACCGCGGTGCCACCTGGCTTGCTAGAGCCTCGCGACACTGTAATTTGCGAACGAATTACTGATACAGGGGAAGACGTGTTGATCATCTCATTACAGAAGCAGGTTCTCTCATGGTGACTCGGGGATTGTTTGCAGCGAGCGAGCAAGGATAGCCCCCCATCCTAACAACGCAAACTCAATCCCGCCGATACAGCGCTGCTCTTTACTTCCGAAGCATTTCGTATATTGTACAAGACTATCCATGGCCCAAGCTCTGTTGAGGCTAAATGATGGTGAAGATGCCGCAACACTTTCACCAATCCCCTAACAGAATGCAACGGGCGAACTGGTTGCGCTCATTAGTCGGCGATGAGAAACTCGTGGCAGCGTGACCCACGGCGGATGGAGGATCCGGTCGTTTGCACCGTGCATGGACCCCAAACGCCCACTATTTCTGACTGCCGGTCTAGGAGTGGACGGTGCTCACCTGTCCTCGACAAGAGGACTAATTTTTCCCAAATGGGGATATACCCAAGAAGGGAATAGAACGTGGTACCCCTGGATTGCAATGGTCCAACATCGGCATTGTACAAGACGTCCTTCTGCACACGAATGGTACATACACCACTCCTTCCAAAGCCTAAAGTAGAAAGACCTGTCTCAGTTCATGATTCGTCCGGTTCTTATTCAACAACCTGTCGCCGACTAGGTAGGACACTCGTGGGAGCATTCTGTGTACGAAGGGGTCAGTCGCCGATAAGGGACACAGTATCCACATGAAGTCTCAGTACGAGAATGTTGTCTGGAAGTAATTACACCAGGGTCCTTCATTATCTCGCGCTTCACCGGAGGAATACCTACCCTCGCTCTCCAATCCCATGACCTTGGAATAGCAGCCAGAAGTTGCACGGAAGGTTCGGCTTGTCTGTTCCACTTCGTTTTCAATTTTCGGTCTCCCCCGACTTTTCATCGATGTGAAAGTCGGATTCCGTTCGGGGGACAACCTCGTCTCTAGGTCCGTACGACAGTAGTACATACACATACGTGCACACGTGGTTCACGTGGTCCATGATGCATGGTGTGGCTCGAGTTTATCTCTTTCGACAATTTACTGTGATCAATTCATTGATAAGGAGGTTACCTATGTTGAGTGGAAATTCATACTTCGATGGTTGCTTCTGCGGTGATCCTAATCTGATAGCGGGCGGCACATCGTTTCCAGCCTGTGTCAGATGTTTAAATCTCTCATAGGGCTAGGCATCCGCTGCGCATAACCTCAGGGTCCCCACCGCCCCTCTTATCGGCGACTTGTAGCCGGGGCCATCCCCGTTCCGGGGACAAGCGGCTCAGAGGTCATACGTTGTACGTTGTATGTACATATTGCCCCTTGCGGGCAAGCGCGCGCGATACATCTGAAGTTCGGAGGGGCCCAGGTACAGATCCACTTTTATCGTGGAGCGGAGAATCCGATCAGTGATCATTATCGCCGTTTGCTCCGTCGTTGCGGGCACTCTCATATTCCAGCTATGACCACGCCCAAGGTACCTTGAAAAGACTGGGTACGTTGTAGGTATGGAGAGACATTAGGGTTGCTTCTGGACCCGAAGCCACGTACTCGGTGTGCGATGTTGCTAATCGAGGTGCAGAAATAGATATAGCGAACAAAAGTAAGTTTACCTTGCACAATAAGGTAGAGGCGGTGTGGCTAGGGTAACTATGGACGACGTACTCAATCTCCACGTTGTGCATTCGGACCGGACGAATACAACCGCCGGCCGGACGAATTGTAAACGCACCCGGCTGTTATTTTCCCGGCTTGTCTAACGGCGGCAATGTTGAGTTTGGGAGAGCTATGGAGAGGGAGTACTATGTGTGTGTTCGTACCAATATACGGTATGCGTTGTGTGTCGTGTCGTCGATAATTATCCGCGGGACTCTCCATGTCAATGACCCAATTGAACTGCCCCCCTTTCCTACCCCATTGCATTCTTGCTGCCTCCCATGAACCATGCGCCGATGCACCCAGGCCCGTAACCTGCGTATCGGAGACGCCGTAACAGGGTTGTACCCGTGGCTTGGCCCAAGAAACGCTGTGGGTGGGTTGTCGATGCACCTCTGTGCTGCTGTGGAGACCGATGCGGAAAGTCACCCGCCATGCACTGGAATAGCTTTCGTAATGGCACGGCAGGGGGTGCCGACGGAGTTGGCCTTGACTGTCACCCCCCCACCCGAGGTATACGAGTAGCTAGGTACTTCACCGCCCGTACTCTATACTCGTACGCTACAAGCTCCTCAACCTAAGATACCCAGGTACCCATATATGGGGTCTCTCGTAGGGCTGAACGCTCCGTTATAAGAGCAAAGGGACTTTGGTTGGTGACTTTGTCCCAAAAATGGGCTAATTAATTCAACGAACTATAAGGTCCTGCCGTGTCTGATTGGCTTGCCAGCAAATTATTGACGGATTTCCCCGGCATCTCTCTAAACAACAACGGGCGCTTCCCAACAGTGTCGAAGGGTCCCTAAACAGATACGATGCAATATGTCAAATACGTTGTAATGTCTTGGGTACTGCCTAACTATGTGCCTATGTATCGGGTCAAGATGTCTGAAATGTGTGTCTATGAATTGTCTTCTCTTGACGAATAATGCATTTTTCGGTGGAGGTTGAGCCGAGAGTGGCAAATAGGTACTCGGAATACTCCAGCACGGTGCTCTAGCTCCCTTTACACACTTCTAGAATATCTCATAACTACCTTATCTAACATAGATCTTTTATTATAGTGCGGCGTTCGAAGTACTTACTTCGTGCTAACTTAACCCCCTTATCCCTTTCGACGAAGTACTATGTTCTGCTGGATGTTGTCTCGCTTCCATCGGGCACTGGACTGACTACCTGACCAATCAAGCGGCTGAAGAACCATTATTAACTCGATACTCGGAAGGGTCCGATGCGGGTCGGCCATAATTAGCCTTCGAACCAACAGGGAAGTATGGGGTACAGTTACATCAGCTTTCGGTGCCCACTTTGGCCGGACGGCTTGAAACCTTCGAGTCCTACCCCTGTCCACCGCCAGTCTTGTGTGAGGAACGTCCTCGTTTGGTGTGGAAAAGGCGGAGCAGGGGTAGGAGCGAAGCACTGGACAAGGCGGAGAAGCGAAATGAACCGCTGCTTGCAGCTCCACTTTGCGAACCCTGCACTTCGTATACGTACCTAAGGTACCTTAGGTACCTAGGTAGTTACAACGTACTTCGCGCCACTCCTCCAACGTATTCATCCCTAAAATCTCCCATGGAACTTGTTGAGCTTGATAATTTGGGGGTGTGCGAGGGAATCCATCCGTATAACCGCAGCGATGTCGCACCCATCGTCGAAGGCCGGTGCCGATGCGGATGCGAATACGCACGTCACCGTGTATCCGCTATCTCCACAATCTCCATGCGACGGATCTGTTTCTTGTTCGGTCTCTATCTTAGCCTACTACTACTCGGAAACCCGGCATTTCAACGACCACATCAAATCATATCACTCAGCAGCATCGGCACAGCCGTCGTACGTATGTTTGCACCCCCTGATTAGTACACAACATGCATTAGCTGTTGAATCGGTAGACCGACTTTTGAGTCACTCGGCATGAAGACACGAAGCTAATGCCACTCAGGGAGCGGCGTCGTCGACGACGACAGGTTGGTAAACGAGAAAGGTGTTCCAACCAGAGACGATCCCTCCACTCGGTCTTTGTCCGGTCCTTTCATGAGCCGGAGTTGAGAACCGCCTTCGTGCGATGATTGTCGAAATTATGTCCGTCCTTCCGCGTATCGCGTATCGGTCTTGCCCAACCTGGAGCGGTTTTCGGAGGCGCGTGGGTTCACTTTGTCGTCGTGTGGGAGCCGAGGCCGAGTTTTCCGACCCTGCCCGGGAAGTATGCGACCAAGTCGGTGAGCCTCTCACTCCCTCTGCACGAGCAGGATTTCGTTTCCCCCCCCCCTTTCTTTTTGCCTTTCCTTTTGGGGGTTGGATGGGAAAGGCGGGCTGCTGAAAAACTTGATGCCCGTGACTACCTTCGTCACACTGAAGAAATCCAAAGACGCAGGGCCCTTGGGAAGACCATGCACTCCAGGCCACTGGCCGAGACCCGACCGAGTCCTGCAGAGCCCGATCGCTATCTCTTAATCCATCGACTTCCCTTGTCCCCCTAGCTTCTAGTTCTTCTCCGCGAGGCTGGCAAGGCTGGCGTACAAGCCAAACGCAATTGTTTCCAATGTGATGACATTGAAAGGGGGGAACAAAGGAGAAGGGCAGTCGCTTATCAGAAGCTGCAGTACTCCTACAGTCGCTATGGTCCCAGGGATTCGGATCACGGCTTATGTGCCAAGACGTGATAAGCACCCTATTTGCACCTGTGCTTCAACCCTAGTCGTCTGTGAGCACCATTTGGCATTGAACATCAAGATTCCCTTTGTGACGCAAAGGCATCTTGATCATTCATGGACGGGCTGTTAAGCCGGGGCCTGACCGAGAATGCCATTGGGAGGCTCGGGATAATGATCTCGACCACGTTGCATGGTTTCTGAGTGTCGATTTGCACCGAACAATGCCTCGGTCAAAAAAGACCTGGTCGCACAGAGTTTCTTCAGGCGACCGAAGAGGAATCCACGAACAGTCATCGAGGGTTCCGTCTACTATGAAAGCCAGTTTTCCAAGACAACCCCACGGGTTTTGTGCTCTGAAGCCAGAAACAATGCCCAGCTAATCTCGTAACAGACCATGCAGCAGGTCCATGGCCTGGCTGTGTCCTGTACGGAAACCGGCTCTTTAGCTTGTCAATTGACCTCGCGGTGTAAAGACATGGCTCTTTGCTAGGGCTCTACACAGGCAGTGCCGGAATAGTACCTAGGCTTCCTGGCAGCAACATCCTGCCATCCTACAACACGGAGTTTATACCCATTACCGCTGCTGTGGAGGTCGAATGGGTCGCCTCTGGAGTTGGCTCAGGTACTACGAAGTAAGGAAGAGGTGCCGAAGCCACCGACCTTTGAGAATTTTTTTTTCTTTCAAGACGGGGTTTGAGAAGTGGGAGATATATTTCGGTGTCTCACGGGTTGAATCTACCACGCCCCGACTCTGCACCGGGGCGTCGTATGGGTATACCGTATACCCCAACCCAGAACCTCTCCTTCTCTCCTCGTCTCCCGCATTAATTTGCTTGAGCACGATGATGGAAGCTTTGAAACATCTAACGATGAGTTTACCCAATGCCGCAATGGGAAGCGCTCCACTGAGGGAACCTCGTTTGCCATGTCGCCCAATATCAAGTTATCAACTCCCTACCCTTACCGACTTCAGGTCGCCATCATCGTCATCTTCTGTCGACTACTGCACTTGCCACTAGCCCGTCTCAAGCAGCCACGCGTCATAGCTGAGGTGATCGGTGGCATCCTCCTCGGCCCGTCAGCCATGATGCACATCCCCGGCTTTCAGGAGGTCATCTTCCCCACGTAATCCATGCCTCCTGTACTGGGCAATGTCGCCAACTTGGGCATGTTCTCTTCCTCTTCCTCGTTGGCCTTGAACTGGACATGTGCCTCATCGCCAACAACTGGAAAGCAGCCCTGAGCGTTGGCTTAGCAGGTATGATCTTGCCTTTGGGCTTGGGCTGCGCCATTGCCTGGGGCCTTTATACGCAATTCCACGCCGAGGAGAACGACAACCCCATTAGTTTCGGCATCTACAACCTCTTCATCGGCACGGCCTTGTGTATAACGGCCTTCCCCATCCTTTGTCGGATCATGTCTGAGCTCAAGATTCTTCACAAGCCTGTGGGGGTCGTCGTCCTCGCCGGCTAGATTCTCCTCGCTCTCTGCGTCGCTCTTGTCAACAATACCCCGGGACTGACCGCCTTATGGGTCTTACTCTGTTGCATCGGCTGGGGTTTGCTTCTGACTTTCGGCGTTCGCCCAGTCCTGCCTGACACGCATTTTGCGGCGTACAGGTAGCCTGCACCATGGCCCGACCCAAGGTGTGGTCGCTTTGACATTGCTTCCATCCTCTTTCTTCCTTTCTTCTTTGCCCTCTCAGGTTTGAACATGGACATCGGTCTTCTCGATGACGTCGTGGCTTGGGGGTACGTGGTTGGTGTTATCGCCGTTGCTTTTGCCGGCAAGATCATCGGCGGAGCCGTAGCAGCGCGCCTCTGTAAATTTGTGTGGAGGGAAGGCTTCACCATTGGAGTTCTTATGAGCTGCAAAGGTCTTATTGAGCTAATTGTACTCGTGAGTGCTGTTTATAAACCTCTAAATCCTCGCACACCACATACACTGACTTGCCAATACAGAATAATGCATATTGGTTTGGAAGCTGGCATTTTATCCCGGCAAACCTTCACCATCTCGTCATTATGGCTGTGGTATGTGGCAGATGGCTCCCAACGACACCAGCGGGTTCACTAGACACTGATACGGAAGCAGGTCACCACGGTTGCGACGACCCCACTGACGCACCTCCTATACCCTCCTTGGTACCAGCAGAAGTTGGGAAAATGGAAGAGGGGCGAGATCGACTGGAACGGCGACCCGAAGCCTGGTTCCGGTATATCTGTTCTTCTAGAGAATATTTCCAACTTCGAGATGAAGTCACTATTGGTACAGATCCGACTCGACTCGTTGCCCGCCATATTCACTCTCGTCACGCTTCTGGGGAAAAGCGCAAAGGCCGGGGATTCCACAAATGGGCACGAAAACAGATCTTACGAGGTGGTGAGTCACAGCGCGGGCCAAGAGCTGGTCAGATACACCGAGCTGCTCAAGGCTCACGGCCTCCGCATGCTGGAGCTTACCCAGCGCGAGTCCTCTGTCATGCGAGTTGCCGAGCAGGAACATGTACAGAGGGACCCGATCATCGGTGCCTTCACCACTTTTACGCAGCTGCAGTCGCTCACCGTTTCCGCGAGTCTTGCCGTGGTTCCCACTTCGTTGTACGCCGAAACGGTCATCTCCCACGCCCGAAACGTTTTATCTGATGTAGCCATCATCCCCTGGGGTGAATACGGCAACGTCTCGCCGGTCACCAGTCCAACAGAGCCCCTGATATTCCCAGGACTATCGGCAATACGTTCATCCACAGTCATGGGGCTTTTCAGCCGGCGGCGGACAAGATGCACCGCGTATTTCTCCCGTTCTTTGGCGGGGTCGACGACCGGGGCGGCGCTCGGGTTAACTTTACAGCTGGCCCGTAATCCGGACGTGAGGGTCACCATCGCTCATTGTGCCGTTAAAGATGTCGCAGCGAGCGAAGGCAAGGCCGATGAGGGCAACGCGAATGTTGGGCTTGAAGACGCCGAGTTGCTAGCCGCGTTGCAAGTGTCCCTTGCGGTCGCCACAAAGAACCGTGTCTCCTTCACGAACGCGGCGGTAAGCAGAGCCGAGGCCTTGGAAAAGGCGAGAGTTCACGCCAGAATCTGTTTATGCAAACATTCCAGAGAAACAAACAGCCTTGTCATCATCGGTCGCCGACATCCACTGTTCGATGCCGTCGAGTCTGTCTCGGTCCAGGTGGACCTGAAGTTGGCCGTTGGTGCCGTAGCCGAACATGTGGTCAAGAGTGATCTTCAGTTCAAAGCCAGTGCGCTTATTGTTCAGCCCGCAGCGCAGACCTCGGACCCCAGGGATAATCAGCTTAGGGGATCTAGGGAGAGAGAAGAAAAAAAGGTGTGCGGGTGTGGTACTAGTACTGTTGATTCAATTGGGCACGGCCAGCATTTCTGTCTTGTGGGATAACGACTTTGGCGTATAAAGGGCGGGGATTATCAATCCTTTCCAATAGACCAGACACTGAACAAACTGTACAGGCCTCTGGATTCGCTTTAGGCTCCCACGAGAAATGCTCATTATGCGGGGAAAGGCTACAGATATACGAGCGATTGCGTGCCATCCGATGATTCCCAGCTTCAATCTCGTCCCCTGAGCCCGACACGTCACAGGAAAGGCCCAAAGTGTATGAATGAAGCAAAAGGTGAAGGCATATATCTTCTATTGGCAGATACTCCATCCTCTTGGTTTTGCGACGTACATACACATATGCAACAGGTGTGGCAGGTCAGCAGTCTCAGCTTTCCCGCCTGCAAGCGCTTCTCGCTTTTCGAAGCAACGACAGCTTCTCTCTCCTGCCTCTTGACTCTGCGATCTCGCCGGCCCATCTCTAAGCCGGGTTTCTCACTCTCTGCGTTCTCCGTTTTGTCGTATAACTATCCACTCGAACAACGAGAACTCGCCCCTTCAAGCCCCCCTTTTCCCTTGTCCTCCCGTAGTGTCAACTAAGGGGTATGCCATGCCGTGGGTATAATACGCTGGGAAGGGGAAGCCGATTCCGTCATCAAACATGGCCGGAAAAAGGTTTACCGAACCACGGGATGCCCGAATTCCCCCCCCCCCCCCCCCTTTGCCTCCGTCGTAGGATCCGGCGACCTTTTCTCCAGAAAGATGTTGCCAGCCAGACAAGAAGTTGTGTAAAGTTGAATCGTACCATCCCGTTTTCCACGCCGTCCGCTCGCGGAAGAATCAAATGATGTCGAGAAGAATGTCCAGCGCCGCTGCTTGTGCTAAAACAAGAATAACACCATCCCGTTCCCTCCTATGATTCCACCGTCCCCCACCGCCAACCACTAAGAAGAAGGGAAATGAGAAGGAAAAAAAAAGGGAAAAAAAAGCCACCTGTCCTTTTAGCCGAGGGCCATGCAAAATAATTCACAAGAAGGAAAGAATTTTGTGTAACTCCGCATCCCCAGGAAGACATCGAACCTCATGTACGTGTGTGTTCCTTGGAAAGCCAAAACAAAACGAAAACCCTAAACCAGCCGGCAAAGTAATTGCCTCTTCGCGAGCCAGAGTTTCCTTACCATCATGCTTCATCCCGCTTGCTCAGAAAGAAGGGGAACAAAGAGAGATATTCTTTGTTTCCCAATGATACGGCCCCCTATTTCGAACGTAGTAAAAAGAAGAGAAGAAAAAAAAAAAGAGAAACGAAACGAAACGAAACGAAAAGAAAAAGTGGTTGGATATAGATAAGCCATGACCGGAAAAGAAAACCAGAATGCCCGTTGCTCCTCGTCGCCGAATCATGCGTAATGGTACAGGTGGATGAAATCCTCGATGGATAGATAAATCTAGGCCAAGAAAGGGAGCTGGCGGGCTCATCACAAGCCGGAATGGTTGCCAGCACCGGGTTCGACCACGTTGTCGGAAAGGTTGATTAGTAGCTGGGCGAGGCATCTCTTCGTGGCGGCGTCGTCTCGGAGTACGTTGGAGAAGGTGGCGTCTCGAAGAGGCTCTGGTAGACATTGTCGGAGTGCTTCGCGAGCTCGGGCATTATCGCTGAGTCTATGGACGTCGCCTGTTAGCAGCAAATAAAAGAGAAACCCCGAATGGAAGGAAGGGCAAGTAAAAGTTCGCGGACGTTTGATCCAGGACCAAAGGGACCAGGGGCCGACTACGAACCGTAAGAAGCATCGTACAACGTGCTTCAAGAGCCTAGCGGTCTGCTGCTCGACGAGTTGGGCAACCATATTGCTCAGGACAGTGCCGACAGCATAAAACCGCTCGTAGGTGGCGCAGATGTAATTCAAGCCACTATCATCAAGCAGAATCTTCTGGACGATGAAGATGGCAACGGTCTTGCTCAGTTCCGAGCCAGTCTCCATGATGCGCAAGCAGAGCGGGATGATCTCTGTAGTGAGGAGGAAGTTGATGACCTCGGATGAGTCGTTTTTAACAAGGGCGCCGATGACGCCGAGCGAAGTCAGACGTAGGTATTCAAAGGGTCTCGACTTGGACGTGGTATTGAGAAACGGATAGAGAAATAGAGGGATGTGAGCTGCGAGATTTTACCAATGGCAACGTTAGCTATCCGAAACTTTTATGCCTTTTTTTTTTTCTTTTCTTTCTTTGTGTTTGCATAGGAGGGTTGAGGTGCGGGTTCAAGCGGCGCTAAACGACAGGGCTGACTTACCGTTCAAGAAGAGATTTCGAGTATCGTTGTGAGACGCGACGCACTGCAGGAGTGCCAACGCATTGCAAACCCTGTTGGAGGCGGCGGCTGTCAACTGAGAGGGGCTCAGCAGCGTATAGACCGAGATGATTTCTTGGAGCAGGGATGTCATGACACCTATGTATGTAACAGTTAGAGAAGAAGTCATTGCATTTCGGGAATAGCGCGTGCGCAAAAAGAACAGAAAGAGAGCAATATTATTTTCCGAGGAGAAAAAAAGGAAAGAAAGAAAGAAAGCGTGGGGGCAAGGAATGATGGCCGACGTACCAAACGAATGCCACAAAATCAAGGCCAGCTCAGGCACCTGCTCTCGCTTCTTGCTTAGTTCCAACAGGGCAGCTTCTCGAGTATTTTCGTTGAGCAGGTCGGCAATGTACGCCATGGTGCGGCGGTTGTCTTCGGAAATGTTCTCATGGGCGGCATCTTGACCATGGGCAGCACCGGCGAGCGCTGCCACGGTGTTATGGGCGCCAGCCAGACGGTTATAGTGTTGCTGCTGGGCGGCAGAAGCAGCGGCGGCGGCGGCGGCAGCTTGTTGTGCATGTTGATGGTGAGTTGACTGCTGGTGCATCCAGGATGAATCCGCTTGCGGATTATACTGATGATGCCCGTAGACGTGAGGTGCCGGCATCATCTTGGCCAGGACGAAAGGGGAGCGTGCTGGTCAGGATGGTTCGGTTTCGGGGGGACAATAGTCCAAGGGAGTTCGAAGTGTAGTCGGGAGTTGAAAGGTAGGCAAAAAATTGAAACGAGTAGGTATGTGGCACAAAAGGCTTCGAGTTCGAAGGGTGGTTGAACGGTAGGCAAGTCGCGGTCGCGAGTCGCAAGTCGCAGTGTGGACGTATGACAGTGTTAATACAGACAGGTTCCGGGACTTGGGACCTCTCAGCGCGTTAGGGCAAGTGGAGATGGTCTCCCCGTTGACCGACGTGAAAAACTCGTAGATGTCCCTTCAGAGAAGTGGAACAAAGAGAGCCGGTGGTGGTAGTGGCTGGCGCCGAAATGCGGTCTGTAGAAGTATGGATAAAGATGCTTTGTCGAACCAATGGACCAAAAGCCCGAGCTGTGCGATGTTCAGAATCTTGGGGTCTTGGCGTCCGCTGTCTGGGTTGTACTGCCGTAGATGCTGATCGCTGTAGTGCTCACAACGCCGTCCTCCTTGCTGTTCTTGTGCTCGAGGGTAGGTAGGTATTCGATCAGGACGGTCGTGGTCGAATCGTGGGGAATTTGTTGGGGGCAGAAAAGGGCTTTGGACCTGACAAGTCGGGAAGGTTAGATCGGTCGTTCAAGGTGGAGGTGGCTGTCCAGTGTCCCTCCTCCATCATGACAGAGTCAGTGCACTACTCCGTCCACCGTGGCTCCGGCAAATACGTGCTTACATAACCTCACATTTTAACTTGTTCACAAGGATATTTTGTTGGGTGAGGTACCCGCTTATCCAGTGGGGTGCAAAGACGAGACGTATCCGTAGGTATATAGATTGCGTAATCGGCCGTTAGGTTATTCCACCCCCGAGGGAGGTCTGTGGGATAAGGGAATCAACAACAAACACATTTCTTAGTGCTTTATACTGAGTAGACATATAATTAAGTTGAACGCCTCTAAGCTGACCCTTTCTCACTGTTACTACCTATGTACCTAGGAGCGAAAAATACGCTGGATTATTACTTAGTTGTGCGCTTAAGGAGCACTTGGTCATCAGCCCAAAATGCTTGAACTTGATTGAAACCGCTGGACGGCCCAAACCAGATGCAAATGGCCTTCAGATGCAGTGCAGAAACAGAAACGTCAAGAACAGACCTGCTCCAAAAGCAAATGCCTCCTTTAACTTGCTCTCCGTGACCATGCATCTTCTCCCCTCCCATCTCCCTCCTCATCCGTTGCTATTTCCCATCCTAGATTGTGTCCCAGGGCAATAGCAGTAAACCAAAGCCGGCAAAGAAAATAGAAAGAAGAAAAGAAGAAGAAAAGAATCAGGTGGATGGAGCCACAGGGCTCAGCTGTTTGACAACAAGGCCGCAAGGCGCCATGCGTTAACCTCAGATGACGTCGCGTTCTTCGCCTTCGTCGCTGCTGGCTGCTGCACTGGCGACCTCGTCCTCTTCCGCCGCCCGCAGCCTTAGATGTTCCGGTGCCCCGCCTCAAAGCCGGAGTTCTCGCAGGATTTGATCCGCCATATTCTTGTACTGCCAAGTGTTGCCGGCCATGTGCTTGAACTGGATGCCGTGCAGTGAAAGGAGAGGGACCTTGACAATGAAGATCTCAAACTCAATCACCATATTGCCTCCCAGGTCGCTCTGCACCTGTGTACTCGTCTCCCCGGCTGCCCTCCTCGAAGGGCCCACCGGATCACGCCCGATGCTGTCCACCGAGATCTCCGAGTTCGAATGACCGTTGCCGCCTCCCCGCATGGGGGTTCGCGGTGTCGTCGGCATATCGTCCCTATCCCTATCCCTGTCTCCGCTTCCCATGATCCCACCGAAACTGAACCGCCTGCGGTGCCCGGGAGTATGGGCTGGGCTGCCAGGCGGGTCCTGCACCGTCTTCAGGTCGATGCTCGGCGCGTGGCGACACGAGAAACCACCTTTGATTTGCGTGTACTCCACCCCGAGGTCTTTCAAAACCCTCTTGATGTCTGCTCGAATCTGTGGCACTGGCTTGCCCGACGTAGTCGAGACGCTGAACAGCCCCTTCAAGAACACCGGCTTGGCCAGGTCCGGCCTGTCTAGCCCGTCCGTCGACCCGCCGCTTTGTTCGTCCAGCAGCTCGCCTGCCTCCTCTGGCACGTTCGCCTCGCGTGCTTCCTCACGCCGAAGCCGTCGCTGCTGAATGCTCTCCCGTCTAGCATGACCAAGAGATTTGGTCCGTACAGACGCCGATCGTGATTGAAAAGTCCTTTTCGGATCCGACCGTGGCTTGTCTGTCGCCGCGGACTGGTCCGACCCGCTCGTGTGCGGCGGTTCATTGGCGTGACTCGAATCGCGGCGTCGGAGTACTGCCGAGTTAACACTGGTAGACCGTCCCAAGCCGCTCCTACGGCTATTAGACGGCCCGCCTGCCGACTGTGGTGGGCTCAAGAGATCGCCATGCGGGGGCTGACTGCTCCCTGACCGTAGCCGCGATTCCCCTGCATCATCGCGGTCGTGATCGCGACGACTGCGTCGAATGCTGAAGCTCTTCCTGGGTGGCGCAGGACCCTCTGGCGGGGAGCGGACTTGCACGACGGGCGGGTGCGACCGGTCCTTGTCCAGCCTTTCGGGTTCGCGGCGTCTGCGCGTGCTAAAGCGCCGGAGTATGCCAGCTGCCGTGCTCTCCTTCTTGGCCGGGGCGTCGGAAATCCCCTCATGAGTCTGGGCCTGGGCGGATGGTGGGGCGAGCTGTGATTGCTTGACCATCTCCGGGGCATCGTCCTCGCCGTGCGTGCGGGCACGAGGGCGGGATCGGCCACCCGTAGCTTTTTCTCCCGGCATCTCGTATGCAGTTGTGTTCGTATGCGCTTCGGGGGGTAGAGAAATCTCTGGTGGCGCAGCTTCCTTCTCTCGGAGATCCCTTTGGGAGCCAGGCTGGCTAGGCAGACCGGGCCGCACTTCCAGCCGATCGCGATCTTGTTTCTCCCGGACGAGCTGGTATATCGAGATTAGAGGGCTATACGCGTTCAGAGGGTCATCACCCAGCTGAAGCCCCTCAGTGCTGGGAGCGCTCAGGTTATCCCTACTATTTGCTGAGTTCCTTCTCTTATAGAAGTCGAACCCAAAGCCGCGCTTCTTCTCGACGTCCTTGGCGGGCGTCGGGAGTTCTTTCTCGCGTTGATAGGCCCGCACTGCTCGCTGATATTCTTCCGACTCGATGACGCGGGTGAGCTGAAGCTTGATGGTCTCCGGTGCACCAAAGTTGAAGCCGGACATGCCAGCAACGACCTCAGGCTCCAATGGTAACGTCAGGGGTTCGCGATGCGGCAGGTGGTTATCGGGGGGTCCTCCGTATCCCTTGATCATCCACTGGTGGTTCATGACTTCGGCCATGGTAGCCCGCTGCCTGGGATCTGTCACCAGCATTCGGGAGAGGAGATGTTTGCATTCTGGGGTAGAGCATGGTCAGCTTCCTTGACGATTCTAAGAGGTCAATGTCGAATAAAAAGGTCCAGGTTCGACGCAACGTACCATTAGATAGCCAGTTGGGATAGTCCACCACGCCCTTCTTAATTTTGGCGTGGAGAGCTGGCATGCTCTGGTCGTCGAATGGGACTTTTCCGCAAACCAAGACATATAGCACGATACCAAAACTCCAGACGTCCACTTCGGGACCGGTATAAGGCTTGGCCATTAGCAACTCGGGAGCGGCGAAGTAGAGGCTGCCGCAAAAGGTTTTCAGGTGGCCTCGAGGGGCGAAAAGGTTGCTGAGGCCAAAGTCAATGATCTTAATGTCGCCGGTTTTGCTGATGAGAATGTTCTCGATCTTGAGATCGCGATGGACAATGCTGTTCCGATGACAGTAATCGAGCGCACTCGCAATCTGACGACTAAACTTTCGAGCCTGCTTTTCCTTGAGTTTGCCTTGGGAAATAATGTAGTCGAGCATCTGCCCGCCATTGACATATTCAAACAGCATATACCAGTGGTAGTTGGTGCGGACGACATCCCGAAGACCGCAAATATGAGGATGATTGAGTAGAGTGACGATGGCCGCCTCCCTCGCCGTTCGGATCTCTTTCGACTGGTCGGCTCTTTCCTTGTCAGCCCGAGACTGGTGGCGACTCTCTTCGGTTGAGCCTCGAGGGATTATTTTGCAGGCAACCTGAGAATCGAAAAGGGGGGGAAAGTGAGATTATGTTAGCATACAACATGAATGTTTACGCGGGGGAAGCATGACGGCAACGCACCACTTCAGGGCCATCTTCTTTGCGAGCAAGTTTGACCTTGCCCATGCTCCCAGCCCCTATCGTCTTGCCAAGAATCCATTTTCCGGAAGAGGTGGGGATTGTGGTGCGGCCTCTTCCTTGTTTACCAGCAGAAGAACTGGGAACTCTCGGGTCAGAGAGAGGAGTAGGCCCGGGGGGTTTGGTGGCAGCGGTGCTCGCAACCATGTCGGATTGAGCGGGCGGGGATTGGTGGTGATGGTGATGGTTGTTGTTAGACTTTTCGCTCGTGCGTTGCTGGCCACGGGTGGGCTCGGCAGGGACTCGAGAAGCGACCACGGGTTGGTCACGTCGGTCGCGGTCGCGGTCACGGTCACGGTCACGGTCGCGTTCTCGATCTCGATCTCTCGTGGAGATTCGCTTAGAATAAGATGCTAAGTTCGTCGTCTCCTGGTCATACTCGTAGCGAGGATAAATTTCTTGGGCCGGCTGGGCGGCAGATGGAGGGCGAGAGCTGGAGTGGGAAGGTGAGTAGGAGTGCGAGTTAGCGTGGCGTTGATGCTGGGTAGACGTTGATGCTGCACGCTGGGGAGGCGGGCCACCCAAGCCTGTGATGGGAGGGGGTGGCCGAGTACGAGTTGACAGCGAGCGAGCTGCTTGATGTCGGCTTCGGGAGGGTGAGGGATGTACTGCGTGTTCCGAGTCGGTTGTGATTGCTGTTCCAATGGTCATGGCTAGTTGGCTTTGGGCTTATGGAATAACAGGGGCCAGGAGAATACCACCCAACGGCAACGAGGCACAGACCGTATACGTAAGGTAAGGTACGATAGGTAGAATGAATGGGAGAGAGTGGGTAATTGATCAGTAGGCAGTAGGGTACAAATCGTCAGAGCAACCTCAACCTGCTAAGTCCCGGTTCCTGCTGGGGCGGGGAAACTGGATGCGCCGGGACTTGGATAATTGGCAGCTCAGGGGGGTCCTGGGATTTGAGATTCTGATAGGAGAAGCCGCGAAGACTTCTTGTGAACGGTCGGCGGGATGAGAAACCACGAGGGAGAAGAAGGTGAAAGAGTAAGAAGACGAAGAGAGTGGTGCGAGGACTTTACACGTAGTGAGGCGACATGAGGAGGGAGGGAGAAGCGTGATGTATTGTTACTTCCGTCATTTCGTACCTTCACCGGATTTTGGAGAAGCCTGATCATCTACCTCCGTACTTCGTACAGCTACAACAACCTAGTTACCTTTGCCAAATCAGGTGCCAATAGGGCCTAACACAAGCAGAGGGACAGAGCTACCACGTACATATACTTTGTTCTTAGCCCATGAAAAGGAGCTACTTCGTACCAATGTTCCTCCCAAGCAACTAGCGGGGAGAGAGCAAGCTTGGCACTGCAATTCACTCGCTGGATCGCTCTTCCTTGGAAAACAATCGGTCTGAACTTGCCCCTTCCTAACAGGAAAGGGGCTTCTTTGTGGCACCTATGTCATTATCAGGTGCAAACCGTATCAAGTACTGGTACCTAGGTATGAGTACCTACCCGGGAGGGGGGGGGGGGTATGGACAGTCTAGTCTTGTAATGACCACCGTGGATACAATGGGGTAGGTGGTTATTATGTGGCTATGTAGTCGATATCATAAACAGGGTGCTTACTAACAGAGGTTCGTAGTATGTTAAAATGGTCAGGTACATTATGGCGTTCAGTCTAAGCAGTAAAGTATATAGTAACTAGGAAGAAATAATAACCTGAAAAGGTATACTGTTATACAGGTTAGGGTATCTTATCAGTTATCATAGGCCTACTAAATGACTGACTAGTACCGACCACACTGACCCTTCCTGTCAGTATAATCAAGCTGATAGTGTAATCCTCTAGATAGTGGATTTTGTATATATACTTTATAAAGATATCTAGCCCCTAGTAAAATATAAGGGGTGATACACGTAGACAATGTACCTATATGTATATCTAACGGTAGGTCCTTCCACGATTCCACGATATCTTCAGGAGGCAGGTAGGTAGGTTACGTAGTAGGCGGTATAGTTATTCTGCCGTACGACTCTACGATTATTAGGATCTTCTTCTTTTCTACAGCTTTAAGATCTTCTTCTTCCTTTATTACAGCTTTAAGATCTTCCTTTTCCACACAAAGCCCTCCTACAACAACAGCCCTCCTACAACAACAGCCCTCTTCCACAACAACAGGTAGGCAGATTCCCTTCCACGATATCGTGACGAAAAGCTAACTTCTTCCACACAGCAGGACTTCTTCCACAACAGCAGCAGCGTTCCTTTTCTTCCACAAATAATAGAGGTAAGCAGAGTCCTTCCACCCTCTTAGAAATTATACCGAAAAGCTAACCTTTTCCACATAGCAGGCCCTTTTCCACACAGCAGGACCTTTTCCACATAGCAGTATAAGGGTATATTGATTTTGGGGTCTTTTCGGTGTAGCAATGGAGATGGTGGTATTCATGCTACCATATGAATGTGTACTTTATGGGAATGTTTAATTCTAAGGCAAAAAGGAGTGGTACATCATATCTACAAAGTGACCTCACATCCATCAGAATGCCTAAATGCATAAACCCGATATACAAACTCAATGTCAGGATAGGATTCACTGTCAGAATATTATGTACTGTCCAGGGGTGGATAGACTGACCAGTCTGTTAGGCTATTCTGGCCTAGTCACTCTGTTTTATTTACTATACTAAACACAGTGATAGTATGAATATTGTGACATAGTGACCACCTAAAACAGCAGGCCACATAGACACCCTAAATCCCGGACATAATAGTATTAACATATTGTGATGCGTAACTGACCACGCTAGTCATTCTATCAACAGTCTAACCAGCACACTGTCCAGACCCCCCCCCCTCCCGGGTAGGTAATGAAATTACATTACACACAGGGTAACACTAGCCATGCAAGGTTCCATTTCAAATGCCCACAGGTAACCACCTTTATCCGAGGTACACAGGTACAATGTCTTACCGATAAGCCTGACAATCGACTTTCATGATTCCTCTGATCTTCGCAGCTTGCCGATTCATTATGCTGGAGGCTGTGACTAAAGGATCCCCGTCCACATCGATACTTTCCGACATCCTCGAAGAGCATAAGTGCCTTGAGATAAATTCTCTCATGTTATATCAAGCTACATTACGAAATCCAGCCCATCGCGGCGTGTGAATCCATTCTGCTCTTTTGCTCGCGCACCTCGATCCCTCTACCTCCTCGCTTTCGTGGTTTCCGAAAAACATTTCCACGATCCTGTCTCAAGTACAACATACAGGGGCCGATACAGAGGGGTCGGTTTCTTCTCCGTGCCCATGACCTCCTACAAACGATCCCGCGCGACCTACGAAGCAGATTCTCGAGCGAGCGAGGCACCGTTCGTCTCATACGGCACCCCTCTGCCCCCCTCCGACGAACACCAACGCGACGATGGCACCTACGTTCCCTTACACTTGCAGGAAGTAAGAGACGAGAAGGGGAGGCGCCGTCTTCATGGCGCTTTCACCGGCGGATGGAGTGCGGGATATTTCAATACCGTAGGATCCAAAGAAGGATGGACGCCGTCCACCTTTGTGTCCAGTCGGACAGCGCGCCGCAAAGATGACACCACTACCGTCCAACAACGCCCGGAAGACTTCATGGATGAGGAGGACCTTGCTGATGCTGCCGAAGCCGAGACAATTCAAGCAACCGACGTCTTTGCCGGTATCGGGGCTCGCGTTGCTGACGAAACGCAGCGTCGAGGCCTAGCTGGTCTGGTACGGCCCTCGGACGATACCATGGGGTTCGCGCTCCTCAGGAAGATGGGGTGGAAAGATGGCCAAGGGATTGGTCCTAGGGTTCGCCGAGCTGCCAGACTCCATGACGGCGCGGCTCCCGCGAACGCGGCTGCATCGGGCACTTACCTATTCGCGCCGGACGACGCGTCGCCATTTATCATAGAGAGGAAGTCTGGCCGGGCTGGTTTAGGTTACCGGGGGGAAGCTCGGCTGGAGCAGGTAACGAGCCCCCGGGCGTCAATAGGACCGAGGAGCTCATATGGTGACGAAGATGATGACGAGGAAAACAACGCGCCTTCGACCATTCTCTCGACAACGGGCAAGAAGGTCCGAAAGAAGATTCAGCGAGGGGGAATTGGCGTTGGAATATTGAATGATAATGGCTCTGATGAAGAGGGCCCGTATGCGATGGGGCCACGCATCTCGTATAATCGAACGTTGGGGGGCACGAAAAAGAAAAAAGCGACAACCAAAACCATGACAGCAAATCCAGCACTGGGATCGAAGCCGACTTTCGTCGCGAAACGTCCCGCTGCCAGGCCTACCAATTCTCGAAGATGCGGCGATGGGCGTCCGCCATTGCCCGGGTTTACTCTAGCCTCATCCAGCGTTGATACTCGAGTTGTGGACTCTGGCACAAAATACCCTCCACCGTCCATACCTCTTGGTTGGAAGCCTAAGAAGCAGCTAGCTATGCATTCAACAACCGCAATTATCAACAATATCAACAAAACCACATCTGAGGCTGCCAAAGCACCAAAACACGATCCGAGGACACGCGCCGCCGCTCTAGGCGAATCCCAACTTCCGGGAAAGTCGGTCTTCGACTTTATGTCTGCCGCAGCAAGAGACCGCATTGCCGCAGTCACCGGCAAGGCCAACTTGCCCCCTGCAAAAGGCGAGGTGCCAACAGCCGGGGACACGACTAGTCAGCAGAAGGCCCCGGACGTACTGGAACGGCTCCCAAAGCTTGCCAAGGAGACCGCTGTTGCTGCTCTCAGCAGGGGTCACGGGGGTAAGGGCCCGTACGCAGACGACGAGGCGAAGCAATCCCGGTTCAGGCGGTATCTGGAGTATTCGGCAGGGTTTCTGCAGGAAATGTCGTTGAGACCTCATGGCATGACGGAGGCGGATTTCACCAGAGAACTCGAAGAATTCTACAGCTGCGCTCAGCTGTTCAAGCCAATGGCAGGATTCATGGCAACTCGATTCACTACGGCTTCTGCGACCACGTCTAATGCTGGCGGGACGGACTCCACTGGAGCCACCGTCTCTACAAACACTCGAGCACCGTCGCAGCCCGGCGACCCGGCCGAGGAGGCAGCGAAGCTGGGCATGTTTGGGAACATGACGAGGTCGGTGCAAGACTTCTATCCGACCCGGCTGCTGTGCAAACGCTTCAACGTACGTCCACCCGAGCATGTGCAGCAGGAACCAACGACAGATACCCCGCCGGTCAACCGCGCTCTTCTACTTGATGCATGGCAGGACAACACGTCTGGGAATAATGATCAAGAGGCTGTGTCGAAGGGGCCATTGGGGGTTGGTGTCCATGAGCAGTCGACATCTGGAGAGGAGACTAGGGACACAGCTGGCGTACAAGTTGGGGGCATTAAAACTACGAATAGCCAGAGACCAAGCGATGAGGTTTTTAGGGCCATCTTTGGTGATAGCAGCGACGAAGAATAGTAATTCCCTGGATGCCGGGGAAACCGAATCTCAATAACAGGGAGAAGACCATTGTAGAAGAGGAAAGAGCACCTGTGTGTGTGATATTCAGCAGAGATGCCGCATCAGCAGCGACCATTCAGAATGTCGTTGGCTGGTTCATACAGGGCACTTTCCTTGAATGGGCGAAAGTTCCCGGCCCCTACCATTTGTCCAGGAGAGTACTAGCGTGTGTGCTGCACTGGCGCTTAACCAGGCCGTATGGGTTCGCTATTCGCTAATATTCCTATTCGTACAATGGATGAGGTACGTACTCCCGTACTGTTTCTGTACCAAGACTTTTGTGCTTTGCCCAATGGACTTCGTACATAGGTACCTTACACTAAGGTACCTACCTAGGTAGACCTTGTCTGGTTCCCCTGGGCCCCGGCTAAGGCAAGGTAGGTAGACTAGACATCAAGTACCTTAGGGAAGCTTTGTGTTGCTGGGCGGTCACTACGCCCCTTTGCGTCTCGCATCTCCTCATCAAACTCCATGGTTAATTAACACTGTCCCCCAGCATCGCCAATTTTCGCCAGGCAGTATTCCTCGTGGTCTACGGCGGCACCTTATATCAATACGATTACGTGAGTCGATATATGATCAGAATCAAGGCTCCTGGGAAGGACGCGACGCGGCTAAACAAGCATCTCTGGACTAGACCTCATCCTCTCGCTGTTCTTTCAGCCCGACTATATTACCGTTCTACACTTGCCTGAGCACGTAAACCTGTGTGCCTCCGCCATTCCACCTACTCGGCATCTCCTCTTCCTCGTCACCTCCTTCCTGGACATGAGCGACGATTAACTTCGATTTCGACCAGCGTACCACTCACGAATCAATCGGAACCAAAACCACTGCCCTTTTCTCGAGGCAACCTCTTCAAGCTTCCTTGATAAAAGCACCCGCCCACCGCCACCACGTTGCCAGACGCAGAAGACACCAGGAACGGACAGTCGGTGTCCGCGGGGCGTAGAACCAGCCTTGAAGAGGAAAGGGAAATAGGCCTGCACGAGGAAGAGCCGGTCGACCGCGTCCAATCTCCCCCGCCGCAATACCCAGCATCCGAGGCATCATCCTCTATACCCCCACCGTTCTCGTCCCTCTACGGACCTTTCGAAGACGGCTGCTGCCCTGGTTCTTCTTCCGGACAGGAGAGGTCACCGCCAGGCAAGTCGACGACCAGTGTCTCTGCGGGGCCATTACCAGCCGCCCCAGCCTACGCGCCCGCCGCCCCGGGTCCATCGGATTTCCAGGCTGTCGCGCAGACCTCCTTCGAGGACACCGTTGCCGAGACCAAGCGCGCTCTTCCCAGGGATACCAAGGGAGAGTCTTCTTCCAAGGACGACGAGGTCGAACCACCACCTGCTTACTCGGAGGGGCCCAGTCCTCTCCTCTCTTTCTCCTTCGTAATGGCGTCCGCCGGAGGGGCCTCGAGCCTTATCACCCAGGTACAGCAGGGTGGCCCGCCCATCAACGCTCTCGGAGGTAGGAACTTTTTTCTTTCTCTTTTTTCTTTCTTTCTTTCTCCGTCATAACCTTTCGGGGGTGTGGGTTTCCTTTCCTGTGGCGCTCGGCTGACAAATTCATGGAAGATGTCGGCGCGGACGAATCGATTGCTATGGACCTTCGGTAAGTTAATCTTTTTGCTGCAGTGCTATACAGGCAGAACTCCAGCTGCGGTCGGATGTGCTAACTTTCTGCTGAAAGTGGAACGAGGTTCGTGCTATCTCGCGACGAGCTATTGACGTTGCCTGAGTTTGTCCTTCTATCTCTCTTCCCGAACGGCCTATTTCCCGAGGGTCACATGGGCAGTGGATTTGGGGATGGAGATGCCATCCAAGTTGACGTGAGTCTACTTTTTTTGTCTTTCTTTTTTTTTGCCTTATTTCTTTTCCCGAAAACTGAACACACCTTGTACTGATTCGCCCGTTTCTAGTACGATCCGGCATCCCTTCAATACATGCTGGGTTTCTTCCGCGACGTAGCCCAGACGATCCCAGCCGAGAGCTCCGGGAGCACCTCTCAGGACGGGGACGTGTTCCCTGTCGAACCACTTGGTGGGCGAGACGACTCATCCAGAAGGGCCGGTATCATCGTGCTTCGAGAGGACCTCGACTTTTACGTCATCCCACCTCGGCCTGACGTCGAACAGGCGGAAATGATGGACATCAAGAGGGCGGCGGGCAGGGCTCTGCTCAACCAGGCTGGCATCTTTTCGGGTCTTAAGCGGAGCGATGAACCGGGGACGACGGAAGCCCATCTCATCGAGATGTTGACAGCAGGGTGAGTTTGTTTCCAGGTGTGGCGATAACCCGTTATGCGTTACTGACGAGGCTTCGCTGCGAGCAGAGGCTTCAACCATGATGACACGTGGGGACACCGAGCAGGAGAGCCGAATAAGGCGGTCATCTGCAGTCTCGCACTTGCACGACTCCGCAGCGATATCCGGGGCAGTGAGATGAGCAGCAACGCACTGGGGATGGCGCAGAAGCTGCTCCTCTTCTGGCGCAAGCCGGCCAGACGTTGCTGGTGGGAGGGCGTTGAGCTCGACAACGTCGAAGGCGTGCCAGGAAAGCTCAAGGTTTGGATCAGGCGCGTTTGGACGCTGGAGATGAGTGTCATTGGTCTTCGGTGACCGAGCAGGAGGTGATATTGGGAAGGGACGGAAAAAAGGTGACTGTGGACAAGGCGAACGTCAAGTCAGCCGGTCCATCCCGTCAGGCTTTTTGGCGATGAAAGCATTGGCCAAGATTTGAGAAAGCCCCGAGTTGATTACTGTTTCATTTGTGCAAGCGCTTCTCCTCTCTTGATTTTGGCTCGACTCGATTCGGCATCTGGCTAAGCTGTCCTCTTTTCCATCTCCTCAGGGGGGGCAGTCTATAAACCTGGATTGGTTGTCATGTGTCATGCAAAGAGAAACAGAACATCATGTCATTTCTAGATGCATTGCACAGCCCGTCTGCTCTACTTTACAAGTTCACCTTTACTTGCTTTCTGCCTTCCTACATCACATGGCAGGGTCGGAACATGAGGATCGAGACTGGAGATGTGGTGAGAGCAGGAAGCTTCATGTGGCGATTGTTTGGTCATTCTTCGGCGGAGGGAATGATGCATTCACGCGTGTCTCCTTTATATTTTGTATGTATTTGGTCCATTCGGTTATCTACAGTGTTCTCGAAATTCCTTTATGTCAATTACTAGGTAACATCATCAACAGTCAAGGCTTGTTTTTCATATCCAAGTTGGTTGAAATTTGGACATCTTTCCCGAGCTGAATGCCGAGATCAATTGCCATGTAATTGCTTTCGGAGTACTCTGTACATAACTTCGTCTTTAACCTTAGAAATTTGAAACGGGTTTCGGATTGCTCGGGACGGCGTCATACAGGTAAAGGCCAAGCAAAGCCTCTTTCCTCATCACACCCTCCCATTGTGAAACGGTCGATTATAAGCGATGCTTACTTCCATGTCCTTGCCATGAGCTGGTATGGGCGAAGATCTCCTCGATAACATCATCATGAAGCAGCAGCTCGCCCACAAATACTTTCAATGACTCAATCCTGCGATAATTACTTCACTCCCAATTACAAGCCCCCCGTTGCCGCAGATGGCTGGACCTACCGCCTGATTGCACAGGACCTTGCCCGGCCGAGGAGCCTCGTCATTGACTCGAGAGGTGCATTACTTGTCCTCGAGGCTGGCAATGGCATCAAGCGCATAACCCTCGAAGACAACGGCGGCACATGCCTCGCTGCTCGTGATGAGACCCTCCTCGTCCGGCATTCTGCTGTAAGTCGGGCCCTCGAACAGCGCTTACAACACGACCCGAAATCACCGACTAACCTTATCCAGCTGAATCATGGAATCGCCATTTCCGATGACGGGACCACTCTCTTCGCCTCCACGTCCGATGAGGTCTTTTCTTGGTCATACGACGCCGTCGACGGCATCGTCAGCGCCGCCAACCGAACCATCGTCGAGGGCATGCACAACTCGGGCCACACCACCCGCAGCCTCCTCATGTCACGCAAGTCTCCCGGCATGCTCGTCGTCTCCCGCGGCAGTGATGGCAACATCGACGAGCTCTGCTCGGACGAGTCGTCGGGCCATTGCCAGGTCCGCGCTTTCAACGTGACGGACCTGGTTACCGGAGCCGGAGACGGAGGAGGTCAGGACCCTCTCGACTTCACCACCGACGGCATCTTGCTAGGCTGGGGCCTCCGTAACTCGGTCGGTATCGCAGAGGACCCGAACGAAGGCGGCATCTGGACCGTCGAGAACTCGGTCGATAACCTGGAGAGGGATGGGGTCGATATTCATCGTGATAACCCAGCTGAAGAGCTTAACTTCCACGGCTCCCTCGAGGACTTGGTCCTTGGTGTGAATAACGGCAATGGTCGGGGCGCCAACTATGGCTACCCCGACTGTCTCGCCCTTGGGAGCACGGATGATTTCCCTCAACTCGGAGACCTGAACCCAGGAGACCACTTCCACGCGGCCGGTTTCACCACCCTCAACGACTCGGCATGTGAAGGTCGTGTTTCTCCTAGATTAACCTTCCAAGCTCATACCGCGCCCCTGGACATCAAGTTCGCCCCCGATGGTTCCGAAGCCTTCATCGCCTTCCACGGCAGCTGTGCGTGAAAAAGTCCCGCCATTTCCCTTCTCACCTCCCTCCCCCGTTTATACCCCCCCCCCCCCGGGGTTCACATATTTCTCCCAAGTTTTTGGTTAAAAAATTCCGTCACCTAACCGCGCGCTTTCTTAGGGAACCGAGACGATCCCGTTGGCTACAAGGTCTCCAGTGTTGCTTTCGACCGCCGCGGCTCTCCCGAGGTCTCCGCCGACAGCAATGCCGCAATGGTCGACGTCCTCAGCAACCAGGATCTCTCCGACTGTCCCGCCGGCTGTTTTCGTCCCGTTGGCCTCGCATGGGACGATCAACGGAGGCTCTACGTGACTTCGGATTCGACGGGCGAGATCTTTGTTCTCCAGAGGTCATCCGACTCGGGGTCTGAGGCTTCGCCTTCACCTACCTCCACCCCCGATGCGGCGCCTGCTATGGGATTTCCAAACATGTGGGTTTCCTTGGTAGCATTAGCCATACCCATGGTCATGCCGCTTGCCGCTGGGTTCCGTTTCTTGGCCATTGGAGCGTAGAGTCATGTCATGCCTAAGGGCTGAGCCTATTTTGGACGCGAGAAACGATGAGAATAAGGGTTCAAGTTGAATATTGGCGTGATCTCGTGAGACTTGGGCATTCCGAGATTGTGGAAAAAGCAAAGGCAGCCAATGCCATGATTTCTTCTTCCGCTTTTAGAACCTGAGCCACGTCTGTCATTACCCGGGATAATAACAACAAGCCTAGACTGCTGCCAAAAACGCCCTGCTCATGTAATGTGCACTTCCTCCCTTTTCTACCGAAGATATTTCCCGATTCACCCCGTTTCGCCTCCTCGTTTACTCCTCAAGAGTCTTCACGCATTGCCACTCCCCCCTGAGATTTTCCTTCCACAGAGTGACCTTATTGTCCTCGCCGCTGACGGCGAGGACGTTTCCGCTGAGAGACCAGCTCACACGCCAGACAGAGGTGTCAAAGTTCAGCACCTTGCAGTTCCACTGACCCTGCGAAGAGGAATCCGACGTCCAGATGCGGACCGTCTTGTCCTGGGACGCTGACGCGATGTACGACTTTTGCAGCACGGTGGGCGACCACGACACGTCGCGCACCCAATCGGTGTGGCCGGTGAGCGGCTCGCCCTCGAGCTTGTACGACTGCGAGGCGGGATCGAAGGCCCAAATCTTGACGAGGTTGTCGCACCCGCCCGTGACGAAGCGGCGGGGCGAGGCTCCGGCGGCGGGGGGGGGAGGCGCGCCCCCGGAGACGATGCTGCCGGGGGCCGGGGCGGGCGCCCACGAGACCGAGTTGACGCCGAGGCCGTGGGCGGGGAAGATGGTGTGGTCGTAGTTGGAGTCGCGGAACTCGAGCACGCTGACGTTGCCGTCCGAGGAGGCGCAGGCGAGCAGGCAGCCGGCCTCGTGCGGCGCCCATGAGACGATGTTGACGGACGCCTTGTGCAGCGCAAAGTCGAAGATCTTCTGCCACCCGTTCTGCTCCCGCCAGATGAGCACCTTGCCGTCGTAGCCCGCCGAGGCCAGGATGTTGCCGTACTTGGGGTGCGCCCATGAAACGCACCACACCGCGCCCTCGTGTCTATAGTCACAGAATCAACTTCCGTGTCAGCAGAGTTTCATCCGTTATTACTCCTCCCATTTTGTCTTCTTTTCCTGAAGGGGTCCACACGTCTCCTACCCTTTTAGTGTCTCTAGGAGGCGTTGCGAGTCGCCTTCAACCTCGAAGATCTTGATGGTGCGGTCGCTTGAGCATGTCGCGAGGCGTCGGCCGTAGTAATCGAGGACAGCATCGTGCTGTGCAAGGAGGAGTGGAAAAACAGCTGTTAGTAGGGTTAAAGTGGCATAGCGTAGCGACAGAGCTCGTGTGTATTGTTGTTGGGGGAGAAGGGGGTCAACGGGAGCTCGCTCACAATCATGTCATCGTGACCGGAATTTGATATGACCTGGGCAGCTGCCTATACGAAAGAATCAACCATTAGCATCTTTATAAGCACCACAGTGAATCCGCCGAGTTGGTGGTCTCTTAGCAGTCCTTACCATGGTTGCGCTCTGGAGGGGCGGGAGGCAGACTCTCTAGAGTCCAATTGTTCCTCGAAAGACCAAAAAGAGCAGCGAATTTGATGTTGCCGAGTAGTAGCGCCTACTACCGTAGTCTGCTGAAGGGGAATCTGAGATGAGAATAAGAAGATGGTGAAAAAGTGGTGGATGATTCGAATAATGGAAGTCGTTATTCCTGCCGGTTGCCTTGCATGCTCCAGCGAGCTCGTTCGGCCAGCTTGCCCGTACCTCTGATCCAAGCACCGTCTGGAAGCACGTTACACACTGTGTTTATACTGTACTTATCGGATTTGGGTAATACCGATGACTACGGGTCATATATATCCCGGTTTCCGACTTCCCGGTTTAGACCGAGGTAGATCCACAGAACCGCCACTTACACATGACCGTGAGCATCACGACCATGGATAGGTGAAGAACATGAACATAACGGCAACCTTTTCATGATCGTCCCGCCAGCACCCATTTATGGGGTTTGAGGATGCCTTCAATACAAAGGCCGATAAATGCAAATATTTCTGCGACTACCCCGGGGCAGCGGTTCCTCTTTCTATCCTCTCTGAGCACCACGGAGCACCACGGAGCACCACGGAATCAAGATCCCTTATCTGCCGTGTGACACCAAATTCAACCTGAGCTTGCTCCTTCCTCGCCATCCTTTCTCTTACAACAATTGTTTTTGAGAAATTTTATAATATCACTGAACTAAGGACCATCAAAACATCCCCAAATTTGTCCACTCCATACCTCCTGTCTTGGGCAGTCTTCATAGCCTTTCCCCCGCTTCATCTCAAGGCTCCTGAGATTCAAGACTATGGCAGATACGTGTGGAGGCTCCACTCCGCTGAAGAGCTTTACTCAGTATGGCTCTCAGGATCGAAGTCTACAACAGGATAGAGTCGTCCACGGCCCTGCCGCGGCGGGACCATCGGTACGTCTCGGGTTCTACCTCTCTTCTTCGCCCTAACTTGTCTAACCGTTGAAACAGACCTTCCGATCAAATGGACCCGCTGCCTCTGGACAGGCGAGCGCCAGCTACCAAGCCTTCACGGCTGGCAACGTACTAAACGCACCAAGTCTGCCCGCCCCCGGTCTATTTTCCGGGCAAGGCCCGGAGGCATATAGTGGTCACTCCGTTCGACATGGCACTCTTCTTACCGGGCTTGAGGCCCGGGCAGGCATGGAGCACCCGCAAGCCAATAATTCTCAGGTCGCCAGTCGAGTTGAGGTAGCTTCCTGGGCCCATGAGTTTCATAGGCTGGCTCCAAACGTAGCTGTTCCTGGTGCTGGAATTGCCCCCAGCCAGCATCAAGGCATGGGAGGCCCAGCTGCCCATACCCAGTACGCACATAGTTTTGTGCCTCCCGCGTATCACTATCCTGCGCCTCCGCCCATGCTGCCACAGCAGACCTGGGCGTCACACAGCCCCGTCGTCGGCAACAATGTCTCTAGCTCGGAGACTCGGAGCATGCGTGCCCCTGAGGAAGATTTCGACGACGCAATGAATGCGTGGATGAGACTCCATGGTCCCAAGGATCAAGAGACGAGAGAAAATGTCGACGCCATCATGGAGTCGATGGCTGAACAACTGGAAGCTGGCGAGCGCTCTGGTGTTGCCACTCGTACTCTCCCTGACGTGGCGAATCTGACCTTGGAAGATACTACTACTACCCAAGTCAACTCCGCGCCCATCTCGGCCGCAAACGGCACTCTTGACACCGTCACTGCCTTGCCAGTCACTAGTCCAGTCATAGCACAGAGTGACAACCAGTCAACCGGCACTGCGGATACGGAGACGAAGAATCCCGCCCGGTCGGAGATTGCAGAGGCGGCAAGACAACTTCTCGAGGTTATCTCCCATGAAAAGGGGGACAAGTGGAAGAATTCGCGTTTCGTCTCCCTGATGCAAAACTTCAGCGACGGATCTAAGGACATCATTGACAACGAGATTCGGGAGGTTGGCGATTCCTCAGTTAACACGGTATCCCAAGCTGATGAGAAGGTGAGTTGGCCGTCACTCAAAACTCTGCTGTTTCAAATTTCGCTGACTCTTCCCTTTTAACAGACCACGCCTTCGCGTCCGGAGAAGGGCAAAGGACTAGAAACTGCGAGTTAAGACGGCGGTGAATATGAGGGGAGGTTCAAACACGATACCCAAGGTGTTCAAGGAGCATGAGATAGATGTTCACTGATAGAAGGACTAGTGCCTTCTAGGTTCCCGGCGGTTCCGATGGCTGACGGTTGGTTTGCTTGCTGTATTCACCTTTCAACAGCATCACAATGGGAGGGGCCAAAATACCCGAGTTGTATTGATGATTGCTTTAGCATCTGGGAACCCATCACCGAAGCATGGCTAGACTACATGAATACGGTCTACGGGGCAGTAGATATGACTTGGGCAGTTGAGACATGTTTGAGAAGACGGTCGTAGCACAGGAAATTCGATCATCCTCCATGGAATGAGTCCCGTTATAGTAAGCTCTCGCGCAACAGTCAAAATGCTCCGGGCAGGGTTGGACGGCAAAAGACGGTCGTCCTGAAGCCCATGTGAGTTCAGAGTTCTCACTGGGCCTCATACCCTTTAAAGTTTGCCCGGTTCCCTGGGTTCCTGTGCTTGAGACAGGTTGCGATCCCCCGTAAACTTCCCCGATGGTGGAGAGATCGGGCACTGGGGGAGAGTGAGTGGTTGGCCTGTTTCGTGCGGGCCCTTTGCGTCCGCTACCTCCAGGATCTTGCCGTGGTGCCGCATCGACGGAATGAACATGCCGTAGCCACTTTGAAACCCTTGTCCTCGTAAAGTGAGTCATTTTTTCGATGCTTCCAATGGATGGGATTGATAGGCCAATTCAAGCTGTTTCAAAGGAAAAAGCGAAAGCATCGCGATCCAGTTTATTTCTTCTTTTTTTCCCTTACGTTGTATATTCCCCTCTTCATCCCCTTTAGTGTACTATGTCCAGCGGACCGGGTAATCATCGATGGGCGTCGCAGTGGGAACCTGAGATGGAGAATTCCCTCAACTTATGGGACCTAGCGCACCATACCCACCTCCCGCTCCTTCGTGAGGAAATTCAATGAGGGTAAAACGAAATGACACGAACGAAGAGGACACTGAACGGGAGCGGAGACAACATCACCATGGATCATGGCAAAGAAAGGAATGATTGGTTTCACCAACCCGATAAAAAACATCGTCCTTGCTTTCCAGTCAGGGATGTTGTGCTACGTACGTTGTAATTACTCCGTACTCCTTACTCCGTACACGTGTAAATTACCTACCTAGGTAATTAAGCTGCATCCTCCTGGCCGTTGTCCTTGTTGCCGTTTCCAGTAGGCCGGATGAAGCCAACGGCTCGCATAGGTAAGCAGCTGACTGTACTTCGTACTTCGTAATACGTCGTAAACAGCCAGAGCGAGCACCAACAATTGTGCGCCCCTGGATTTCACCCTGTCGATTTCAGTGGGTCGTGCTTGCCCATTTCCAGCACACCGAGGGAACAGTGGAGGCTTGGTTTGGCGCTATTAAGTGTGAGTCATAGGACACACTGACACGATTGGTCAGATGCACAGGACGGTCCCAAACAAGACAGGGGTGGCTGCAAGTCCACAGTACCCGGCGAGACCAACCGAGCGGGTACTCTTGCAGGATGCTTGCAGCAAAGAGTACATCTGCATATGGTGGGCTCATGTAGCCTGCCCACATCGTGCGCCCTTCGGCTGCGAATGTGTGGATCCCCTGAGGACTTTTCCCCGCGCCCTGAGGCCCTGCACAGGCCGAAAGCTGCCTGTGGGAAAAGTTTTTTCTTTTTTTTTCTTTTTTTTTTCTTTTTTTTTTCTTTTTCTTTTCTTACAAAACCTGGAGTGCTCGCACCCCCGCCTTTTCCCTCTCTTTCTTTCTTCTCTTTTTTGCTCCAAACCAAACCGCTCAATCAACATCATCACATCACAAGTATTAGCATAATCGTCGTCAACATGTGGTAAATCAACAACTACACAGTTGTTCTTGTGTCTCAACTCCAGGCACAATTTCGGAACGTTTAGAGCTCCCTCTCTCAACATCCTCCAAAATTTCTACGCTGGATTTTCCAGTCGTCATAACGGATTCCCAATCAACATGGCTTCCCTCCAGTACCTCCAGCCTGCCGGCACCATCCGCGCAACGTCAACTAGTCGAACATCATCCACAACAGGACTTTGTCTTGTTCGACCAGCCCGCTCCACGCAACCGGCAACATAACCAATCAGACAGTCTCTTCGCGGTCCCTACTGCTCCCCATCGCCGCCACTCGTCGCATCATCAGAATCGTCAAAGCTTCTCTCCCTCTATTGGCAACCACCAAGTAGCCCAGGTCCAACATCAACCTACGTGGTATCCCACGCCATCACCTGGTAACAGTCGCGTATCCGCCTCGCCTCAGGCTGCGCAGCTCTACGACTTGTCAGCTTCCACCTCGTCCACCGCTCTACAGCGTCGCGGTCACCCATCCCGTCCTCCTGTTCCGCTTTTCTCGCACGGCACATCTGCTCAGCAGACACCGTCGGTCGCCAAGATGAGCATTGCAGGTAATTACCACAAACATTCTGGGATTGCAGTATTCATAAGCTCACACAAGATGCTATCAGAACTTGACGACTTCACCGGGTTCGAGGGTGGTGCTTCCACCGCCTATTCGTCCCCGGGTGCTCCCGCGGTGTTCGACGTACCCGGCGGCTCGAACAACATTGGCACCATCTCCCCTCAAGACCTGCTCATCCAGGATCCTTACATGTCAGCTCCGAACTCTACGGCGTTGACAGCCCTTACCTCCCCGTCTCTCTACGAGTCGCCTGACTTCGGCTATGACGTCTCGCCTGGCTTTGGCTCTACTGATTTCGATAACGGCTCCAACCAGTGGTTTTCTCTTTTCCCTGATCAGAGTACCGCTCCCGACGCACCCGCTCCTAAGCCCTCACCGGCCCAGGAGTCTGTCGAGATTGAGGCCGTGGTGGCGACTAACTCGTCCAGTCGTCGCAAGTCGGCCGGTTCTCCTCCGTCTGGCCGACACTCGTCTGTCGCTGGCGTCAGCTCTCGCAAGCGTGACAAGCCTCTGCCTCCTATTGTCGTTGAGGACCCCAGCGACACGGTGGCTATGAAGCGTGCGCGCAATACGCTGGCTGCCCGCAAGTCACGAGAGCGCAAGGCGCAACGGTTTGAAGAGCTCGAGGAGCGGATAAGGAAGCTTGAGGCCGAGCGCGATCATTGGAAGAACTTGGCATTGAGTAATTCCTCGGGTTGAGTGCTTTCTTCGATCTTTTGAACATGCTGTCTTTTACTTTGGTCAACCTGGGCTGGGGGTTAACTGGAGGTTAATTTCCAGACTTTCCTTTCTCTCTATTGGGTTTTCGGTAATATCCGCATCTGGCATCTCGTCCCAGGTTTAGCTTTCCGTCCCTGGCGACTTGATTTACACAAATATCAGTTTCTATCTCGATACGTTGTGCATATCGTGGCTCCTAGTCCTTGCATAGACCACCTTCCTCCGCTGCTGTTATAAAACCATCTTCCAACGTATCGGCGACATTTGATGTCACCCTTCTGTCAATGGCTTCTCACGCACTGCGTCTTTAGGTGCGACAGGGGAGGTGGCATATAGGCCCCGTTCTAATTATATGCACCATTCTAATCATCAACCAAAGAATACCAGGCGGCGACGATGCGAGTAGACCCGTTAAGCGTACGGTATCCCAACAACGGGGTCTGTCATGTGTGCATTTTTATTTCTCGGCAGACATAGAGTCGTCGGAGTCGGCCAGCTGTCAAGACGACAGAAATTAATGGTTTCCCCAAATCTCTTCGTTCACTTGACTCGGTTAGGGTTCTCCCTACGAAGCACCTATGGCCTTGTGGCATACTGTATTAGACATACTGTGTAGTCTAACGAATACTGGGCCAGGAATATTACATAACCCTCAGACAAGACAATGTCTGTAGCCTCATAGAGCCAGAGGCTGCACAGTAAGGAATCCATTTTATTATACTGTATGTTGATTTCCACCAAAATCGATCTAAAATGGTCTCGGTACCTTAATCCGACGCCGCTGAGTCACCGGGTACATCCACAAGCCTTCCCAATCAAATCACCGTTGGGGACTCTCCGCAATCGGAAGCAGAGGTACCGGACCGTTGGGAGGGGCTTACACTTTTTTTTGGCGGGAACGAGTCGAGTCAGCACAAGAGCTGGGACCCCTCGCTGACACCCTTTGGAGCTTCGAAAAGTAGAAGACTTCGACCCGGATGAGCACGCTCAGTTACTAACTTGCATAAAACAACAACAAGAAAATAGTTTTGTTGTCAGCATCCATTCGACAATGAGCAGACCCAATGGGTCGGATCCGACTCGGATCAACATCCTGGGTCAAGACAGCATCATCGTCGACCATGGCATCTGGCTCAACTTTGTGAGTCACGACCTCCTCGAAAACATCAAATCGTCCACCTACGTGCTCGTCACCGACACCAACCTATTCGATATCTATGTCCCGGCCTTTCAGAAAGCGTTCGAAGAAGCCGCCGCCGCCGCCAATGTCTCCGCTTCGTCACGTCTCATCACCCTGGCCATTCCGCCTGGGGAGGTGTCCAAGTCTCGCCAGACCAAAGCTCATATCGAGGACTGGATGCTGTCACAAGAATGCACTCGTGATACCGTCATCATTGCCCTCGGGGGTGGTGTCATTGGTGATATGCTTGGATACGTCGCTGCCACCTTCATGAGGGGTGTTCGCTTCGTTCAGGTGCCTACCACCCTGCTCGCCATGGTCGATTCCTCCATTGGCGGTAAGACGGCAATCGATACACCTATGGGCAAGAACTTGGTCGGTGCCTTCTGGCAACCCGCTCGCATCTACATCGACCTCACCTTCCTCGAGACCTTACCCGTGAGGGAGTTCATCAACGGTATGGCCGAGGTCATCAAGACCGCAGCCATCTGGAATGCCGACGAGTTCAGCGCTCTCGAAGCCAACGCGCCCCAGATTCTTGCCGCCGTCAAGTCCAAACCTGCCTCCGGCGAGCGGCTTGCTCCTATCCGAGATATACTGAAGCGCATTGTCCTCGGTTCTGCCGGAGTTAAGGCTCAGGTCGTCTCCAGCGACGAGAAGGAAGGCGGCCTCCGTAACCTGCTCAATTTCGGCCATTCCATTGGCCATGCCTATGAAGCCATCCTAACCCCACAGCTACTACACGGAGAGGCTGTCGCCATCGGCATGGTAAAGGAGGCGGAGCTGGCTCGCTTCCTGGGCGTTCTCCGGCCCGGCGCCGTCGCCCGGCTAGTTAAGTGCATCTCGAGCTACGACCTCCCCACGACCCTACATGATAAGCGAGTCGTCAAGTTGACGGCCGGCAAGAAATGCCCCGTCGACATTCTCCTCAAAAAGATGGCGGTCGACAAGAAGAACGATGGCAAGAAGAAGAAGATCGTCTTGTTGTCGGCTATCGGACAGACCTACGAGCCCAAGGCCACCGTGGTCGAGGACCGTGCTATCAGATTCGTGCTATCTGCCGCAACTCGCGTCACCCCTGGCGTCCCCGAAAAGCACTCCACGACGGTGACACCACCGGGGTCTAAGAGCATTTCGAACCGGGCCTTGATCCTCGCCGCTCTGGGTCAGGGAACCTGCCGCATCAAGAACCTCTTACATTCCGACGATGTCGAATACATGTTGTCTGCCATTGGCCACCTTGGCGGGGCGACCTATACCTGGGAAGAAGGGGGCGAGGTGCTTTGTCTTCAGGGCAAGGGTGGTCAGCTCCATGCCAGCAAGGAGCCCCTCTACCTTGGAAATGCCGGGACCGCCTCGCGATTTCTCACAACCGTCGTTGCTCTTTGCTCTCCCTCCGACGTCTCCTCCACCGTTTTGACCGGCAATGCTCGGATGCAAGTCCGACCCATCGGACCCCTTGTCGATGCGCTGAGGAGCAACGGTGTCAAGATCGACTACCTGGGCCAGCAGAAGAGCTTGCCACTTCGCGTGGACGCTGCCGGCGGCTTCGAGGGTGGTGTCATCGAGCTGGCTGCCACGGTCTCGTCTCAGTACGTGTCGTCCATTCTTATGGCCGCGCCTTACGCAAAGCAACCTGTCACTTTGAAACTGGTGGGCGGCAAGCCCATTTCGCAATTCTACATTGACATGACCATTGCCATGATGAAATCCTTCGGGGTACGTGTCCAAAAGTCGGAGACTGAGGCCCATACCTACCTCATTCCCCAGGCGACCTATAAGAACCCCGAAGAATACACCATTGAGAGCGACGCCAGCTCGGCGACGTATCCCCTTGCCGTCGCCGCCATCACCGGCACATCTTGCACCATTCCCAACATTGGCTCGGCTTCGCTACAGGGCGATGCGCGCTTCGCCGTAGATGTTCTAAGGCCCATGGGGTGTACCGTGGAACAGACAGAAACGTCTACGACCGTCACTGGACCGCCTATCGGGGGGCTGAAGGCCATCGATCACGTCGACATGGAGCCCATGACCGATGCCTTCCTCACCGCGAGCGTGTTGGCTGCGGTGGCGTCTGGCACCACCAAGATCAGTGGCATCGCGAATCAACGTGTCAAGGAGTGCAACCGCATCTCGGCCATGAGGGACCAGCTGGCCAAGTTCGGTGTCGAGACGGATGAATTTGATGATGGTATTATCGTCACCGGACGGAATCACCAGACCCTCTTGGAGCCACGCGATGGGGTCTACTGCTACGATGATCACCGGGTGGCCATGAGCTTCAGTGTTCTGTCGACCATTGTTCCGCAGCCAGTGACGATTCTCGAGCGCGAGTGCACGGGTAAGACGTGGCCCGGCTGGTGGGACACTCTCTCCCAGTCCTTCCGTGTATATCTGGACGGCGTCGATCAGCACCCTACCGCGCACGACACTAAATCGTCCTCGAACCCGGCGAATCGGTCAGTGTTCATCATTGGCATGAGAGGCGCTGGGAAGACGACGGCGGGTACTTGGATGGGCGAGCTTCTGAAACGCCCATTCATCGATCTCGACAAGGAACTCGAGGAGAGGGCGGGCATGACGATACCCGAGATGATCCACGGTTCTATGGGTTGGGAAGGATTCAGGCAAGGCGAGCTTGCTCTGCTGCAAGATGTGATGGAGAAGCAAGGACACGGCCACATCTTTTCTTGCGGCGGCGGCATCGTGGAGTCGCCAGAGGCCCGCAAGCTCCTCAGCGCTTATCGCGAGAAGGGCGGCTGTGTGCTGCTCGTCCACCGCGACACGAAGCAAGTGGTGGAGTATCTCCTCCGAGACAAGACGCGCCCTGCGTATAGGGAGGATATCGAGGACGTTTATCATCGCCGGAAACCTTTCTACGAGGAGTGCAGTAATTTCCAATACTTCAGCCCCCATACCGCCACCTCGGTCGGGTCCACATGCATCCCCGCGGACTTTAGATGCTTCGTCGATGCCGTCTGCGGCGACGACTCGAAGGTGGCCAAAGTCATGAACAAGGACTTGAGCTTCTTTGTTTCGCTGACGGTGCCAGACGTCGGTGCGGCCATCGACGTGATCCCACAGGTCGTCGTGGGTTCGGACGCTGTCGAACTGCGGGTTGACCTGTTGCAGGACCAGGATCCCGAGTCGGTCTCGAAGCAAATTGCCCTGCTGCGGTCTGCTGCACAGCTCCCGGTTATTTTCACCCTGCGAACGGAATCCCAAGGCGGTCGGTTCCCCGACGAAGCCTATGACCAGGCGCTCGCTCTCTACCAGGTGGCGCTCCGCATGGGGGTCGAGTTCGTCGACCTGGAGATGACCTGGCCGGACAAGATCCTTCAGGCAGTGACGGAGAAAAAGCACCGGTCCCGCATTGTGGCATCGCACCATGATCCCCAGGGCAACTTGTCGTGGAAGAACGGGTCCTGGATCCCGTTCTACAACAAGGCGCTGCAATGGGGAGATGTGATCAAGCTGGTGGGGGTCGCCCGCACCATGCAGGACAACTTCGACTTGGCCGCCTTCAAAGCCGAGATGCTCGCGTCGCATTCTACTCCGATCATCGCGCTGAACATGGGCACGGCCGGTAAGCTGAGCCGTGTTCTCAACGGATTCCTCACACCGGTGTCCCATCCCGACTTGCCGTTCAAAGCAGCGCCTGGGCAGCTCTCAGCGGCCGAGATTCGCCGCGCTCTCGCTCTCCTCGGGGATATCGAAGCACGTTCCTTTTACGTTTTCGGAAACCCCGTATCCCAGTCGAGGTCACCCGCGCTGCATAACACACTGTTCCGACTCACCGGACTGCCGCACAGCTACTCTGCGGTAGAGACGGACCAGGCCGACCCGACGGTGCGGGAGCTCATTCGCCGGGCTGATTTCGGAGGTGCGTCCGTCACGATCCCGCTCAAGTTGGACGTTATGCCCCTGGTCGACGAGATCTCCGAGTCGGCAAAGATCATCGGCGCAGTCAATACCATCGTCCGGCTGGCAAGCAAGGACGGAGCGCGGCCGCGTCTCCTAGGCGACAACACCGACTGGAGCGGCATGGTACACTGCCTCAAGTCGGCCGGCATCTCGGGCCCCGGCCAAACCCGCGGTTCCGGCATGGTGGTCGGCTCGGGCGGGACTACCAGGGCGGCCATCTTCGCGCTCCGGTCTCTCGGCTATGCGCCCATCTACCTGCTCGCTCGCAATGAGCAGAAACTGGAGACGATCAAGGAGTCATTCCCGCCGGAGTACACCCTCGAGATCCTCAGGGGTCCTTCTGACGTGGCGGCACAGCCGTCGACGCCGAGGGTGATCATCAGCACGATCCCGGCCGACAAGCCCATCAACCCGTCAGTGGCCGAAACTCTGACGGCCGTGCTGTCGGCGCAGGCCGCTCCGACGGACAGCCGCGTGCTTATTGAGATGGCCTACCAGCCGCGCAACACTGCCGTCATGGGCATGGCCGGGGAAGCTGGGTGGAAGACCATCCCTGGAGCGGAAGTTCTTGCCGCGCAAGGGTGGTACCAGGTACGTTCTTCGTAATCCTTTTTTCTTCTTCTTGACTCCCATTATTGACTAGTTGCGTGACAGTTCCAACTGTGGACGGACATCGTCCCTCGCTATGCGGATGCGCGGGCGGCTGTAAATGGGGAACCCGTTCCTGGAGTGCCCTTTCATGGATAAAGAAAATACGGAAAGACGGGGAGAAAACCGGTCAGGGTCGGGTTCTAGCCTAGAAACTCGGGGAGGTTGAGGAGTAAGGAGGCAAAAAGAAAAAAAGAAAGAAAGAAAGAAAGAAACCCAAAAGCGGAAAACTGGCCACTGAGCACATGACTTAGGTTTCCATGTCTGGGAGCAAACACGAGCAGACAAGATATCCGGCATTAAGAACATTGAAAAGGACAAGGGACAAGGGACAGTGGACACAGAATCGAATGGAGTATATTCTTCTACGACAGGAAGGTAGGATATATATCCACCCTTTTCTATCACGTCCCGTCAGTATCATTTTAGATATTACCCGTGGACAGTTCTAACAAGGGCGTCATAATATTCCTCTCCTATGCACTCTTGATACAGAAAATCGAGGGAACGAATCTTGCGCTGGCTCAAGTAGGCCACGAGTCTATTTGTTTCCGTAAAGGCTAACCCTCCCAAAACGCCAGCCTGTTGACCACGCACTCAATGCTCGATACAGAAAAAGAAAATCAAAAAAAGAAACACAACAACTCGAGCAGCGAGCGTGATAAAGAAATAAGAACCGCTCGCTGGACATGAGTCTCCCATTGCTGTGTCGTTGTGGTATCGTATCCCCACCAACTTCACATCCGGAAGAGAAAACAAGCCAAAATGACAAACCCAAACCCCTCAATTCCCGCTGTTTTCTATAGGTTGTTTTTGTATAATTCCCGTTGTTCGTCTTTGCTCATCAAGCCTCATGTCGTCATTACATGCCGATTTCCCCAGTTTGCCCCGTGTCCCTTTTCGCGCCGATGCAGCCCAATTTTTGCTGCCGTCTTCCCCAATGGATTTCTCAGTCTAAGTAAAAAAGAAGAAGAAAAAAAGGAAGAAAAAAAAAAGGCAAGAAACAAAAAGGACACGCTGGTTGTACAAAGCTCCCCTGGAAACGCAGTGGAGTTGGTTCATCTAATTATGATAAGGTGGAATAATGCTTCCTCGGTGAATAAAAAAACATTGTTTTTTGGGGGGGATTGTACACGCCAGCGCGAGCCGGACTTGAAAAAATTGACGTCTAGATGATGCATTCCCGGGACCCATCGGATGAGATGAAAGGGGTGTGTGATGTAGGCGAAGAGAGTCCCCTTGGAGATGAGGTCAAAACCAAAAGCATCATGACGGAAGAGATGGGTTTTGCAAAAGGTGGAAATGATGTCGTTGATGATGATGCGGAGAGGGTGTGTGTGTGTGCGTGTGTGATATGGGGCAAGAATGATAGAAGCTAGCCTGGCCGACGGCTCGTTCGGTTCGTTCGCATGTTCGTCGACGCTCGATCGGCAGAGGTTGAAAGATAAGGGTTGTTTGTGTGTGATGTGGAGATTTGCGAACTTGCTGTCTGCGGGTCCGCAGAGAATTCGAATCGAGCCATTGGATGGATGAGAAGGAATGATGTCATCCCTGCACGTGGACCGTGACCGATATTCAGGGTCTCCCCAATGATGTCACCCCACAGTAGCTGTATGTACCCCATGCCCGCTTGAAATGGATTCCCATGTTTCAGCCCACCCCACCCCACAGCAATGCGGCAGGGAGTGTTGCATGTGGTAAACAGGACGTCAATTGTTTCGTGAAGATCGCTCATGACAAGTCTCATTTTTCTCTCACGAAGCCAGAAACGTCTTGCAGGAAAATCCAATTCATCGTCTTTTCGCCGTCATTTCCTGCCGATCGCTGTGTCATGTGTCACTGAGCTCCTTTCCTGACGTCTCTCGATCGCCCGGGGCGTGCCAGGTGGAGCAGCATGGGCGGTCGGGTCCACTTTTTCCCGTGCTCGTACCGACGACGCATTGTGCCGCCCATATGACGTTCTCGGTGTCCAATTGGGTTGGAGGTACGGTTGGTACGGTTCTCACCCCCTCCTCCCATCAGCTTACTGGTTTGGTTTTTTTGGCAGAAGTGCGTTCCAAGTGCGTTCAGTTATGGTTACCGCGTCGTCTGTACTTGCTGGGGAGCTCCACATCGGGATGACAGACGCGGTAATGCCTGGTAAGCGCATCGGCCCGGCTGAACGTCTTCTCTTCCGTGCAGAGATTGCACCGGACCTTCTGCTTCCGCGCGTTGTGAATCGTATCTTCGTGCCGCGTGAGATCGTAGGGACGAGAGAAAATCGTGTTGCACGGCTTTCCAGTGCCGGGGTTGATCCGGTCACAGCGGTGAGGGCCGGCCTGCGTGTCCACAACGGCCTCTTCTGCTGGCGTGGAAGAAGTATGCTCCGCCCGACGAGGGCCCGTGCCTTGAGAATGGCGGTGACCCTCCCGCTTATGCTTCTGGAGAAGCGCGGGCGTCTCGAACCGGAGAGTGCAGCCGTGATATGTGCAAGTGTAGGTGCCCCCGTCGGCCGAAGCACCCGCTGGCTTCTGCAAGCTGACAGGAGTGCCCAGCGCGCTGGGCGAGCTCGATTCGACGGAGCTCAGACGAGCGGGAGAATTTTGTTGCTGTTGTCGCTGTTGTCGCTGCTGCTGCATCTGTACATGCTGCTGCTGCTGCTGTTGATGCTGCTGTTGCCGAGGCTCTGCAATAAAGGGATAGTGTTGGGGGATGTGCATATTGGCCGACAGTTGGGAGGTGGGGTGCATAAACGAGAAAGAGACATCGTTGACTTGGTGGCCCCCATGCCTCTGGAACATGGAAAGCTGGTCATTCGCCGGCGTCATCTTGGACATTTGGTCCATAGCCCCACCAAAGCTCGCATCCGGTTGAGGGAACAGGGGAGCATAGTTGCTGTCCTCCGACCCTGGGAATTCGAGCATGGCATCCTTGGGGGAAATCGTCTCGGGCGTCTCATGCTCGGACTTTTGTTGCTGACTCAGGTGGTGCCTCATCATCAGCGCATCTTGTTCTGCCTTTTCCCTCTCCCTCATCTGATGTGCCGAGTTGAAAGCGAACCGCGTCGGTGGCAGGGAGTTGGCGAAGTTGCTGCTGTTGGCGTTCACGTTCTGGACCATCGGAGAGTCCTGGCGCAACGGCGACCTCTCTCTCGACACTACCGAACTGGCAGGCGAGTGAGCCGTGCTGAGATGCTGGTTGTTCGCAGCGTGTAGCCTCTGCGAGAAGACGTCGCTGCTCGGCGACATCGCCACCTGGCTCTGCTGCGGTGACGACGACGACGTGATCGTGAAGTTGGGGTTGTAGAGCTCGTCGCTGTAGATGTCCGTCATGGTACGATCAAGCTTGGGGGGATCATGGAATGTGTCTGCGTCGAGATCATTTAGCGTGCTGCAGAGGACCATGGTCGGCCACAGGGCCGTCTTACTCATTGTTCTCCTTCTATTGCAGTTGTTGTCCTCTTCGGACTCGCCCTGCGTAGGGGTAGCCGGTGAGTCACCGCCGACCGAAGAGCTCGCCACTGACCCCGGGTGCGACCGGTTCTGGCCGGTCGTGAACTCGGGAGTCGGGAGCAGCCCGCCCCTCTCGGTCCTCGCCCGCTGGATGGGTATTGTCGAAGGGTAACCCATCTCGGGGTGCTCAAGGTTGTTCATACTGTGGTAACCAGTGTACAAGCCGTCCTGTGCTGAGAGCGACTTCGCCAGATCGTAGTATTGATTTGCTTCCTCGTGAATCTGCATGTCGCCAAAGCCATCACCGGCCGGGTCGATAGCGATCTGCGGGTTAGCAATGGTGGGGTTGTACGGCGACGCTGGGCCTGTCGACCCCAGTGACGAGAGAGAGGACTCCCGCTGATGCGACGTGCGCCCGAACACCCTGGGACCGAACTGCTGCGCAGTTAGGGACCAAGGCTCCGTCGGCATGGGCTCGGAAAGTTGGCTCAGATTGCTCGCGAAACTATCGATGCCTGCCGAGGGCCCAGGTGTGCTAGGAAATTGGCTGTAGTCACTCTGGCTTTGGCTTCTTCGAAGGGCTGATACTGAGGTCGCGTCAAAACCTGGAATGGGGATGGCAGTTTGTTGCCAGAATGGATATTTCTGTAGTGAGGATGTCGAAGATGGTGATGATGATAGAGAAGGAGGGGTAGTATAGGATACAGGCCCGTCGGAATCTAGGTCGTGCGTTGAAGAAGAGTGGGTTGCCTGGGGATATAGTGTCTGATGCCGTTGGGACAGCGAAGAGAACTGTTGTGATGGATGTTGACGAGTGGAAATCTGCTGTGGATGACACACAATGGTAGGTGGATTAGAGGGCATCATGTTGTTGTGACGACGTTTGATCAGGGAAGGGATTAGAGTGGCATGGCGAAAAGATGGCGACGGTGGCGAGAAATGGGACACTCGACGGCTAATATAATGCGCCAGTGTGATGCTATGGAAAGCGATAGTCGACTACGGAGCTCCCGTCGGCTTGCAGGGTCCTAGCGTGGGTCCTCGATCGTGGTGGGGTGGGGTTGGTGGGTGGGTGGGTGGGTGGGTACCGGAGAAACCAGCCGTGCTGTCGGGAGTTTGAGGACTTGGGACTCATCGCTACGTGTAATAACTGTGAGAAGCTGTGCTGCAAGGGTACATGGCGGAGGCCCCCGCCGATGTATCTTTTCCGGGTTTTGGGAGTACCGAAATAAGGTACTCGGGATACGAGGGTACAATGACACAATATCGAGCTAGCCATGACTGGGAAGGATTGGTAAGCCCAAAAGGGCCTGACCCGACCGCCGTACCCACCCAGATCGTAATTAGTACGAAGTCCTCCGTGGTCGAATTCAATAATTACACTACCCCGTACCTTGAGGTAATATGCATGGTTTGGTGTTCCCGTCGACCAGAACACGCAAGGCTCTTGGCCCACTATTACTACGGTGATGTAGCGCGCCATAGGCCCCTCTCAATCGTTTACTGAGTAGGTTATAGCTTCTGATGTACGTTGCATGAGGCCGAAGGCTCTCGGAGACTTCACCGGACGCCATGGTCGCCCCGAAGCAAGCAGTTCGGAGCACCCACAAACCAATATCCTCATACTATACAAAAGACCTGGTAAAACCGCATGTTCTACGAGTTCTTCTCGGAGTATAACTTCGTCGGTTCCTCAAGCTCTCTCGTCCGGCCGTTAGGGTGACCAAACGGTTCACTAAATCGCCTCGAAAAGGCCTCCAGAACGAGTTCACCTGACCACGGCAGGCAGCACGTTCTTGTCCAAGTCGCCGGGGAGTCACTCGTCACCAAGCTTGCGGCCACGAAAGACGGCAGGATACGAATCGCATAATCATGACATTCACCGGTCGGACTACGGAGTACATCGTAAGGCTTCAAAGCTCCCATGACAGGTGGGCAGATCAAAATATCAAGTAGCGCCTGTTTTCCCCCAGACGCCTGGTTCGACCCTCGTTTCATTCGTCAGCTGGGCTACCTAGACGTCAGCACACCCAGGGTTGCGGTGCTGCAGCCGAGGTACTATTCTCGCCCACACCTCATCATGTTCTCCGTCGAGATTCACCCTTACGCCTCTGACTGTCCAACGGACGTCACTCGAGAGCCGAGTGGTCGGGCATGATCACGCAGGAGACAGCAAGAACACGTTGACGGGTAAAAAGATTGAAAGGTGGGAGGCCTGGTACTGAGTGGGTCCATATCTGAGAGTCAGCGAATCAAAATTGTCGCATGACGTGCGTGACTCAGATTCTCAGCTGGAACACACCCAATCATCTCTCTTCAATTTGTCTGCCCATTTGCAACCAATCGAGCGACCCAACCTGGAGCCAGGACCCGCGATTTCCGCGGATGACTCCGTCGACTCTGTCTCCGTTCTCCGGCTACTGCCACGAAGCCGATGCACCGCCGCACTCTGTCCCAAGACACCAACCTTGTCTTAACTTCTTGACTTCACGGGGTCCTCGCCATTGCCGAACGTCCGATCCACATGCCGAAGCAAGCCACATGGTGGCGCTCTTCTTTTTTTTTTTTTTTTTCTGCAGGTACACCGGACTGGTCGAAATCTGTTTTTCCTTCCAATAATCTTCGACTCTACTCGGTGGGATGGATATATGTAGGATCCCTCTCTACCGGAGATACGAGAACCAGGACGAAAAAAAAAACCTTCGCCGTGCAGCAAACAATTCTCATCCACTTATCCAAGTCTGAAAGAAGTCTTCAGCTGAAAAGTTCGTCCAAAATACGCGTTCTCCTGTTACGGTAAAGCTGGGCCTTACGAATGGCGTTCATTCCCGGTCAACGCCTTACTCGTGCTCAACCAACCACAACGAGGCATTACCTGTTCGATACGTGGTTGTTGTGGCGCATTCGTGTACTATACCTCATATCTCGTACGTTAGATTCAGTCGCATGAAGTATTCGTAATCATTTCGTGCCTACCTTAACTGAGAACCTACCTGGATAGTAATAACCTGCAACCGTGCCGGTCAAGTCTCCACGCCCATCTGCGCCTGTTGCTTTCTGCAAGTCTCATGACCCGAGTTAAAGGAACCCAGCGACACTGACGGCTCAATATCGACCGATGGCCCATGTGATCAAGATTTTTCGCATACTCCTTGGCACTGGGCCGTGAAGGTCTGGACGAAGAGTTTGGCCGCATGAAAAGGGACATCCCCGGATCCGAGCTCGTTCGCGGCCAGCCCAGACCACTCAGGCCACAGACAAAGTGGGGCCACTTGCGAAGTATCACCTTAAAGTGTAGAACACTGAAAAATCGTACTCAACGCTTTTTTCTGGCCTTCTGGCCAATAAATTGCCTCGTATGCAATTCTCTCGCATTCAAAAAATAAACCCCTGCATCAGGTCCTCGATAGGCCAAGCGGTCCACGACAATCTAGGCTGCCTCACCTTGGGCAATCTGGCAGAATATGCATTATTGGATATGCCCCTTTCTCTCAATTCGGCTCAATCGGTTTAACCTGCAAAACGCAGAGTGACAACGGGGAAACAATGCACCATGGTACCAGCTGAATGGACATGATGTACCGCCCTTCGGCTGCAGACGACACGGTTGTCGAGCCATTGGCCAAGGATCTAATGGAAGAAGACGCACCGAAAGTCCGGTCGCAGCGGGCCTGGCCGCACGGCACCTTGTACACCTGAGCAGGTCCATCAGGTGTCCTGCTTCTCGTGTCTCCGACGCGCGGCATCCTCAAATCAATCCTGACCTGAAGGCATTCTTTCGGCGCAACTTCTTTTCCAAAGACCCCAACTTGGTCATGATTTATTGGCTTTTTATCAGCGCTGCCTAAGAGGCATTGCTTCGCAAAATATGTCACGAGTTTACACTGCTCACTCGAACGGCCCGCCCCGTGCGCATATGTATGGCGTTTCTCGGTGTCCTTCTGTCGCACGACTTTGCCTGATGGTGAACACCTTGTTGGGCAAGTCAGAATGGAAGTGGAGAAACCGGATTGCCATTCCTAGACCTTTTCCGGTGTCCATACCTTCTGAGCTTTCAACTTTTGACGCTCGGTACACCTGTGTAGCTAATGTTAAGTTCTCTCGCGACGTGGAAAGAGGAGCAGCGAGTTCTTCGCAGAAGAACGTATGTCTCTCGTTTCCGTGTATTATCTCGCCGGTGTCGGAATGTTGTCCGATTTACACAAGCGAGCCAGATCCCGCAGTTGATGAGCTTGAGAAAATTGACTGCATGGCGGGAGGGCGAGAAATGGAAGTTTCGACATTCGTCAAGATATGACAGTAATGTACCGACCGATGAGCGGAAGATCTTCGGAGTTGCGAGGGGAAAGGGGGAAGAAGAAGAACCGTGGTTCTTGCTGACCGAGAGTATGCGATTGCGGGTGGACGAAAACGATTTTTGGCCATCGTTCAAAGTCAACTGGATTAGGTCGAAACGTTCCCGATTTACGAAGTGATTGGAGCTTCCATCCGTATTGGGTGAAATTTATGGTCGCATCACGTGGCCATGCTAAACTTAGGCAAGCGGGGGCTTCAGCCCTGCGGAATCTTCGATCTTCCCGTCTCACGAATGAGGCATCCTTGTATCCTTGTATATATTAGGTAGCCCACCCCTGGCACGCACAGAGTAAGCGTACCCTAGTATTGGGTCGTCTCGGTAGAGCCGGTGAATCCTCCGTGGCTTTCCGGCCATGTCCCGTAGCTTCCCTACGATACACCACTGTCATGCAGAGCCTCTACGGAGCTACTCCGATTGCGCGTTTTGGCACCGGGGAAGGAATAAAGTGTCACGTCTACCTTATATGTGACACTATATCACTCAGTCGCTAAGACCCAGCATGGACACCGTCCTGTTCTTCCTACAGGCAATACCTTGGACTAGGATCCGGATCATCAAACACTTCAATTAAAACTGCACTCGCGCTCGCTTGCAGTCAGTGGTTTCGAAAAGATTTCTCGACTGGGAAAATTGAAATACTTATCTGTGATTCCGTCACTTAGGCGGTTGATCGTCGTTGAATTGTAGGTTTCGGGGAATCGGGGTCATGCACGTGGCTTTGGACTTTACAGAGTAGTGCTCGTGGTGGATGGCTGCCCGCTGTAGACGGAGTATGTCCGACGGAACATGGTTTCATGGTCAAATGACCGGCCTACCTCGCCTCTCTCGTGAAATGCAAAGGTAGATCTTAGTCCTTGTTCAATCGTTTCTCTGAGTTTGCGATGCCCAGCTAATTGGACACTGGTAGCGAGGGGACTGTTGGTGCAGGATTGTTCCGTACAACCCGGCTTCAAGTCTTAGCTAACCAGCTGCCATTATTGATGGAAATCACGTTCCGATGCTGCTTCATCCAGTGTTCTACTCTTCTTATCAATGCATGCGCCCTGATACCGTGAGATCGCCGGACAGGTTGTCGGATTCCTACTATCAGGCAAGCCATGAGTGAAGCGTGAAACATAGTGCTGATTGAGGCTAACTGGATTATCATGTATCTGTGTCAACTCCTCTTCATTGCAAGACAACAAGACCAGGATACGGAACAGAGTGAATTCTATGCGCCTCTTCTTTTTTCTCTAAGCGGGGTGGTGGCAGCAGTAGTCGGTGTGCTGGACAACACGGAACACCAACCGCCATACTATGAATAGGCCATGCGTGAACACTGGGGTTTAGTCCCTCATCCCTTACCGTACGGCTCTTCACTGCATATTCAGTAGTCAAACCAACGCCGCAGACATGTTCCAGTTCTATCCTTGACGTGGAATCGTGAGTCACGGCCGCCAGGTCTCGTACGTCGAGGAGGCTCGGTCGGGGAACTGGTGACGTGGCTTTCCAGGGGCGGAATGTACCCTTTTCTGGTGGTTGATGCCTTGACGGGAGCGTTCATCTTGCTCGAGGGTGGTAGTTGTGGCGCAACTTCTATGCAATCGGCCTAAATCCGTCAGGACGGTCATTATAGTGGATTATATGAACACAAATACACCACGAGGTGCAATATCTATCAACACATATCCAGGCAGGAAAGTTCGTATACCGAGATATACGCAGTAAAAGCAGGCATCGCTACACTCAGCGTCGGAACTGACAAGGAGCCCGGTGCTCCTCGTATAGAACCTTCTTTAGCACCCCCGATCACTCAGGTCAGCCTAAATCTCAGGACCCCATACCGCGTCGTAAACAGAACAACCGACATCCCCAAATTTAGACACATGGCATTCTGTATTCTAAGCATCTTTTTATATTTGGAGTAAAGGGTCACATGTACACAGATCAGAGGTGACATAGCGGTCGCGCCTTAGAATGTGACCATGATCGCGATGTTGCCTCAGATACAACCAACTACCTTCACCCCTCTTGGACCACGACTTGATCAGCGGTAAGGATGAACTCGGAACACGATGACCCATTCGATATACCCATATGAACTTACAGAAAAGCAAACCCAAAAAAAAACCCAGGCAGCCCCATTATGTCCGGATATTAGACCTCGAAAAGGCCGCTTAAGTCCAGGTTATGAATATCTGGATATTGGCTTGGCCCATCAGATGAATCACACCCACACGAGCACGCCTCACGATACGGACTCACTAGCTCTTGGACATTTCCCGACAGAGTCACAACATCGGATATAAAACACCCCTGGCCATGTAGATAGGTTTTGTACGTCGTCTTGGCGCACTCTCCAGGCACCAAGTTCACTGCGTTCCGACATGTCCCATCAGCCACATCGGCAGAGCGGTTGTAGCCTGCCATGTCCTGACAGAACCAGCTTATGGCTACTGAGATGTCTAGCTAGGTAGAGTCATAGGCAGACATAGATATTTGTAACCAACCGCACAGGAGGTTGGTCGCCCATTAGTATGGCTGGACGCGTCACGAAAGGCCAGAGGGAGATCTTCCAATATAGCCCTAGCCAAACTGCCCAGTAGGAGTCACAACGCATAGGGCCCAGTGGATGCAAAGCGCATGGTTTCTAGACGCGCAACGCGTGCATAAACAAGAAAACCACACACGTGAACCAACAAGAGAAAAACACCAAGTGCCAAGCAGGCAGGAATAATGACCAACATCATGCGTTGTGAGGTATCAATTAAACACCCTCGAGTAAATCCATGGAAGCCCAATTCCCATATGATACAATAAAAACAGCCCAAAACCCAGCCGATCCCAAGTCATTCATGCCACAGAACACCCGCACCAAGGGGCCCATTTGATGCCAGCCCCTAGAAAATGCCCACGCGTCGGGTTTGAGTCACGACACGCCCGCGCAAACAAGGGGAAAAAAAAAACATCGTAACAGACGTGCCCACAAAACATTCCACCAATTCTTTAACCACCGAAACCGTAGAGGGTACGGCCCTGGCGCTTGAGGGCGTAGACAACGTCCAATGATGTGACGGTCTTGCGCTTGGCGTGCTCGGTGTAGGTGACGGCGTCACGGATGACACCCTCGAGGAAGGACTTGAGGACACCACGGGTCTCCTCGTAGATCACTGTAGGAAAACATGGGTTAGGCAACTGTGGTCTAGGCCAAGAGCGCCCACCGGGGGTTAGAGGCATAACTTACTGGCAGAGATACGCTTGACACCGCCACGACGAGCGAGACGACGGATGGCGGGCTTGGTGATACCCTGGATGTTGTCACGAAGAATCTTGCGATGGCGCTTGGCACCACCCTTGCCGAGACCCTTGCCGCCCTTGCCGCCTGTTGACGGTTAGTGATGAATGCCTTCGAAGCATACAATAGATGGGGAATGCAACTTACGTCCAGTCATTTTGATGTATTAAAAGTGGGAATGAAGATTTGAGATGGAAGTAGAGGCTCAACGGAACCGTTGATAGGTAGTGCACGAAGTTATGTGTGGGGTGGACGTTGACGGAGGTGTGAAGAGGATGAGTTGGGGATAAATGCAGGTAGCGGGAGGCGGGGGAGACATTTATATTGGGAGGGTGTGGACGCGTCTTTCAGCGGGATCAGTCACCCCGTCCCCTCAACGCTTACCGTGTACTGGAAAAACAGGGGGTTCGGTACGTACCGCCTCGTGACGCGGATGTGGGGCTCTCCCTTTATCAACATGCGAAAGCTCTGTTTCTGTGAACCGTGCGCGACGGGTTTGAACTCAACTTTAAAAAGCCCTTATTTTTGATTGGACTATTTGAGTCCAAACTCTTGCATGATAGATTAGTAAGATACCTACTAGTAACGAAGTCTCCTCTTAGACACAATTACCTATTCGAGCACGAGGCGCTAGACAACGCCCGCGATGCCTAATCCGCGTCTTCCGCCATTTGGAGTGGGGTGGTTTGTCACAAAGTCATCTATGGAGTAATTAGTCGAAAGATGACTCTTTGTTACGATGTGTCTGTCACCGTCTACGAAACGTGGTGTGAATGGATCTATCTACCTATGTAGACCCCCCTCTCTTTCTGCATATGGAACCAGGTAGAAGAAGTTGGCCGACTAGGGCGCCTGTCTTGTCTCCGACTCCCGATGAGGCGATATCATGGTTCAGCATGCTGGCTGGCTGTTGGTGAGTCGTGACTACTAATGGTAAATTCGGAATGGGTCATGATATGGAATAAGTACCCAGAATGCGCTTGCCATGGGATTCTTGCCACTTCACGAGGGTTTGGGCCGAAGGAGGAAGTTTTCCACATGGATAACGCCCCATGGCATCCGTTCACACCACAACGGGTTCTTCCAACTGCCAGGTCGCCCCCATCAAATATGAATCGCATATGGCAAAAGCCTCATAGATATATTCAAACTTTCTACGTAATGTGGGCTTGCTATTTTGCAGCATGCCTCAGCCAGTTCTGCCTTAGGGGTTTTGTGAGGTCGGGGTAATAATAGGTACCATGTCGCGGACGAAATGATTACTTGCCATGCAGCTTCCCGATCTCCATTCTGCGACCACTAACCAGTGACCGCCGACTGCCGCAATGCCGAGTGCTGCAGGTGAAGAAGGTACGTACCTGCCTGCCTTTCGCTGGCGTTCCCCACACAAGCTGCGCTTGGGACCAAAAATGGTTCTAGGAAGGTGGACCAGGGACGGCTCCCTGGAATGGTAGCAGCCCGCAGGCAACAACCAATCAAAAATCGACCCCTGATACCAACGTCAACAAAGGCCACCAAAAAGCACTCGTTTTATTTTGCCAAATAGAACTCTCATTCGTACCAGAAAAAACGGGCTTTCGCAAGAATTGCCACCCCACTTTTCTTACGCCAGATCAGTAGGCCAAATCACCCACGTCTCTGAAACCCCCCGAGTCCGTCCTATTTATTTCTTCCCCCCTCCACTTCTCCGACGTATCTTTCCCTCCTACATCACAACAACCCACTCCAGTCAGCCTCTTTTTCCCTCAACTGCCAACCCACTTTTCCATCAACAATCCATCAACCCATCACCAAACCCTCAACTACCATCATTTACAATGGCTCGTACCAAGCAGAGTAAGTACATCTTCATCATCAGATTAATTATCAACGCGTTTTCCCCGGTCGCATCGCGCTAACATACCCCGCTCTACAGCCGCTCGCAAGTCCACCGGTGGCAAGGCTCCCCGTAAGCAGCTCGCTTCCAAAGCTGCCCGCAAGAGCGCCCCTTCTACCGGAGGTGTCAAGAAGCCTCACCGCTACAAGCCCGGTACCGTCGCTCTTCGCGAAATTCGTCGGTACCAGAAGTCGACCGAGCTTCTGATCCGCAAGCTTCCCTTCCAGCGTCTGGTAAGTCACGTCGTCCACCCTGGTCCTACCATGCCGGTCACAGTCACGGTCGCGGACGTCTCTTCATGCAACAGCCTACTGACATACACACTTCCCACAGGTCCGTGAAATTGCCCAGGACTTCAAGTCGGATCTCCGCTTCCAGTCCTCTGCCATCGGCGCTCTCCAGGAGTCCGTCGAGTCTTACCTCGTCTCCCTTTTCGAGGATACCAACCTTTGCGCCATCCATGCCAAGCGCGTCACCATTCAGTCCAAGGATATCCAGCTCGCCCGCCGCCTCCGCGGTGAGCGCAACTAAAGCTTTTCCGTCTTTTGGTCTTTTGCTCGCGTTGGCAGGTTCTAGGGGGTGGTTTATGAATTTTCGTTTGGGAAATGCTTTGACGAAATGGTCGTCACAGGGAATGGGGACAACAGGCGTTTATACATGAGTGCTTTTTTACGCAAGGGCTGTACATTACACTCACGATCAGGCAGCAGCTAAGGCGTAATAGCTGCCTTGGGAATTGCGAAATATTTTTTGATCCAGTCATTCGTCTACTTTATTGTGCCACTTTTTCATGTGCCATGTCTTTGAGTTGTCGCGATTTGGTTTGTGGTATTGGCGTGACTACAAACCCGTGCGTTGCATTGCCCTTGTATTGATAGCGACGTGTTCTGTTCAGCCAAAGCAAGAATCGACGACGCGTTCTTGTCAAGATGCTCCATCTATGTCTGAAGACTGGCTACCCTACATCTATCTCATGCCAAAATTCCTTATAATGCCCTTACAGCACACTCTTCCATCCGCTCTGCAGGCGCTGGATATCCAACCCCAGGAAGTTGGCGACCTGGGCCAAGTGGTCGACACCGAAGAAGCCCTCCTGCTCGCCCGCAGCATTGGTGCACACCATCCACGGGAGTCCGAAAGCACCAGAGTCGAACGCCTCATTAGTGTTGGCGGCCAGGATCTTCTTGCCCTCGGTGGCTGCGACTTCCAGAACTGTTTTGCACGTAGATTTTGTTTCCCCCACGACGTCAGTCCAATACACACCACACTGCTTTGATTGGGTTGGGGGCGGGATTGAATAGACGGGGTTGTCAACTACGAAGTCATAAAAGCAAGACTCACCCTTTGCCGTCTCTTCGGTGCCGAGCACGGTTTCGAGGGACTCCCGTAGGACGTCAGGCTTGGAGGTCTCCTTGCGATGGACGAAGAACTCGGTATAGAGGTGGTCGAGGACGTGGAGGAAGCGCTTGTCGTCCTTGTCCATCTGACGGATGGCGCAGAGGGCGCGCATGATGTTCAGGGTCGGTTGCGGGAAGGGTGTGGGCATGGATCCGTGCATGGGCACGTTGAAGAATTTGGCCCAGCGGAGCCGTTCTGTGTTAATCCATTTGTCCTTGTCTGGGGGTTTTTTTTTTCGGTGTCAGGTCAGTGATATGTGGGTGAGGTTTATCACCAGAAACAGGGTAAGTAGGAAAGACTGGGTATGAATACTCTTGATGTTGATAGGTGCTGTATTGTTGCAGACCTTCATCAGACCGCCCAGCAAGATGGGTGTGAAGGTGACTTGAACACGAGCGAAGGCCGGATCATGCTATCGAGTTATAACGTGTTTGTTGTCAGCCAAAACGGGTGTCCGTTCGTGTTGGTTCTGGGTAAATACGACCAAGTGATCGTTACGCGGAACCTAATATATGCCTCTGTTGTTCGGGCAACACGAACGAGCGAGTATAAGTGGTGTGCAGGTTACTTACACGAAGGATGTAATAGGCGATGTACGCAAAGGGCGACACAGTGTCTACATAGAGCGTGATCTTGGGGATACCCATGTTGAGCTGACTGGAGTTACAGAGCGTATTTGTATGAGAGGGGTTGAAGAATATGATTTCAAGTGAGCTTTTGCTCGACGCTTCAGTGTTCAATTGAGTGTCGTAGCTAATAGATCGTAATTAAATGGAGGGAAGAGAGAGGAGAAGCACGACGCTGCCAAGTGACTCTAGAGATAAATCGGGAATTCCTGAATAAGCCGAGGTAGAAGAATGCAGACAGTCGGGGTAAGCTTCACGTGGAAGTTAGAGATGGATCTAAATACTGGCACAACAATGAAATGATCATTCGCCTTCGAGTATTTGATGGTTATCTGGTTGCTGGGAATGGGTTCAAGCATTTGGATTGATGATGATTACGATATATTGGCTTGGTTGGAATATTATCGGCCTCACGCCAAGTAGAACTACGAATATCAAATAGTTTTCGACAAAAAAAGGAATCTCTTCCTAGTGTACAGCTTCGACCTGCAAAGACTGGGCTTATTGCTCTAGCGATCGGTCATTGACACATATATCGATAAGATGGATTATTCATACAATATTCTCATCCGACGCTGGATAGCTCTAATATTGGCACAGGGTCTCTAAAACGCCTCTGCCAAACCGCCTTACCAAGAGAAGTGTTTAATCGAGCCAACGCAGAGATGACAATGGTCGTAAATGGATGCATCCCTGGGATTACGAATTCGGAGCCAGTAAGTAAATCGAGATCGAGACATCAAAAACATGCAAAACAGAGGATCGGGGAGATGGTACGTCCTCGGCATGTCCCACATGCAGGACGATGCAACACTCTATTAGCCTTGCACACAGCAGCCCCAGACATGGTTATCTCCATCATATGCTACCTTAGTCTACACACTCTTAGCCAGAGTCCAGAAAGTTTCCATCTTGGTCCGGGACAGGACCTCCTTCGCCTCGCCGTCCGACTCGCACACCTTGCTGCCCCATTTACGGAACACCCTCGTCTTCTGCTCGCCCTCGAACACCAGCTTGCACTGGTTCTGCGACATGTCCTTGAGCTCCCCTTCCTCCGTCTCCGCCGACAGCCACTCCCGCGCGGCCTGTTGCCGTGCTCCCTTGTCCCGCGAGGGGACGTTCTCCGTCCAGTCGATGCGTTCGAGCATCAGCTTCTTATACTTCTTGATGCTATGCTCGCCGCCTTCCGCGACGACCAGGTTCAGCCGCGGGTGCATGATGCAGACGCCCGTGAGCGCGTGCTGCTCCGCGTTTTTGCCAATCTTGAACCGCTGCTGCCCGTTGGCGAGGCTGTCGATCTTGAACACCACCACGTGGACCCCCTTGGCCGCGTCCTTCTCCTGGTTCGCCGCCAGCTTCTCCTGCCTCTCCTCCTTCGTGAGCTTCCTCTCTTCGTTGGTCTCCACGTGCTTCTGTTGTCGCTCCGCGATCTGCCGGTTGACCATCGTCTCCACCGCCGTCGGATCCTTGACCGCTGCTTCCGCGTAGACCCGCATCATGTTGCTCTTCTTGACCTTGGGCGGCGGCGCCGGTACCAGCCCTAGCCTGATCTTGGCCTGTTGTTCCTTGAGTTCCGCCATCCGCCTCTGCCTCCGCAGCTTCGCCTGCTCCTTGGGCGTCAGGTACATGGGCTTCGTCGGCGCCGCCTTTCGCTCCTGGGGCGGCTCCAGCACGACGGGGTGCTGGACATACTCCGTGACGATGGTGTCCGGAGTGTTGATCTTGAGCCGGGACGCGTCTTCAATGTTGTCGTAGTTTCCGTCGACCAAGCCCTCGTCCCACCATTCGATCTCGGGCGGCGCCTCGACCACGAAATTCTTCTCCATGTCCATCTCCTCCTCGATGCCGGCCCTCCTCGTCTGATCCGCGATCCGTTTCTTCATGGCCTCCAAGGCGGCCTGCCGCCTTAGGGCGTTGGCCTGTTGTATGTATTTGCCCTTCTGGTTGAAGATGAGCTGACGAGGCTGACGTTGTTTGCCGCTGGTGGGCTGTGTTGCAAGTTGCTCGTCGAAGTACGGATTGCCGCGATGTTCGTTGCCGAGGCTGGGTGACGCGCTTTTCTTATTAAAGGCTGGGGACTTTGTTGCGTCGAGTGATCGTTGCGAAGAGGATCGTGCATCGGCTGTTCGGCTGGGTGGCTTCCATGACCCCAGATCCTCCAGAGCCGGATGAAGACCGACGTTGAGCCCTCCTTTCGCCTTGGTGCTACCGATAGCGGCGGCAACCCTTGCCTTGAGAGCGGCCATCTTGTCCGCTACTGATTCCGTCTTTTGCACCCGCGATGAAGCATCGTGGCGTGGCCCGAGGCCAGGCGAGTGTCGTGAGCCATCCATGACTGGGATGACTGAAGAGTTGTATGTATATATTAGGCTTTAGTAGCTAGATGATCGCCAAAATCCTCTTGATTCCCTTGTTATCTTGAGTATGTGCCGAATGCTGATGGGATGGAGTCGTCGCAGTTTTCGAGGCTCAAGACTTTGAGAAACAGTAGGGCGCTGGTGTAATGAGGTCTTGCGAGTAATGTATCACAGAGTTAAAGAAGAACGAAGAAACAAGGACAAAAAAGGACAAAAAAGATCTTCTTGGGCATTGAATAGATCCCTCTTTGCTCGCGAAGTAGAAAGCCTGAGGGACTTGGGGCGAGGGCGACAGGGAGTTTTGTGTAGAAAAGGTATGTACGAACAACGAACAACGTGCTGCCCGTCCGAAGCCAAGGTCAGGTCGCACTCCCCCATGTCGATGCTGCAAGTTTCCAACCCCACTTTTTCGATTACATAAGATACCTAGGTACCTTAATTAGGCCGTGCAGGAAGTGCAGAATAAGGTAATAATGTATTAATTAATAACGAACCTGCAGGCTAGAGATTACAGGTAAACTGATATCTAACCACGAGGCTAAGCTGAGGGTAGGAATAGGGCAGAGTGGGGCAGATAGTTAAGCTGAGAGTTGCTATGGGGCGTGGTCTATGCTAGGTTATATGATAAGTGTATATACCTAAAGTATCCGGCATTAACACGAGGGGTAAATAAGTAAGGGGTAATAAGTAGAGTAGGAGGTGGTGATAAATAGACGAAAAGACGGAAAACGGACCGGAAACGATTTAGAAACGATTCAGGAATAATTCAGGAACGATTCAGAAACAATTCGGGATAACTTCTTACACGGAACTAGATCCTAATAGTAAGATTTAGCCGCGAGAAGAGGTTAAAGACCTAGAAGAATAGAAAGACGACTTTTATAATCTTAGATTTATTAAAAATAAGAATTAAAGACTATATCTTTATAGACTTTATCCGAGTCGCCGAGTATTATAAGACGTTATCCTAAAAAATTAAGTTAAATAAGTAAGTATTTACTAACTATTACTTTATATTACCTATTACTTATTAAGATTAGATTCTATCTAAGGAGGAAAATATCCTAATTTTAATTTCTACCGCCACGTATAGTAATAGAAGACTTACCCTAGGCTCTCGCGCTATATAGGTCGATAATATCCTATATACCGCTAGAATTCCTAAAATACCTTAAATATTACCTACTAGAGTAGCCAATATTATCCTAGTAGATATTTTAAATAATAAGGAGAAAATTTCTCTATAGAAAATCATACGTTATACCTTTATTTAAGGTATTTTCTTAATTACTAACCTCTTTTAGATCTAGTACGAAATAGCTCGAAAATAACCAGGTTTTCGGGCTACTAATACTATATTTAGAGATATACTAGTTTTCCGCTATACTTATACCTATTAAGGCGGTAAAGCTTACTAATATCTTTTAGAATTAGACTTCTATCACGAAAGTGTTATACTATAGCTATTTAATTAAATTAGTGTAAGATCCGAAGTTAAGGAGCTTACTATATAGAAAAAGGCTTTAGGGTAAGTAAAACGCGTTTATATTAAGAAGTATAGGTACTAATATTATTTTAGATAGGTATAGGTAGTAAAAGGAAGATTCAGTAAAAGGACTACTTATATAGACCGGGAAGAAACGTGTATTCTAGTCGTGGACTCTAGTATCTACTATATAAGATAATATTTTCGGTATTTACGTTATCTCGAATTATTTCTAATTAATTATAGCACCTTACCGACTTTTAATAATATTATATACAGTGCTAGTATTAGTTATTAGGCGAAATAACGCGTTATTACTTTCTCGCGATTATTCCTTCGGTCTTTTACCCTTATATAGACCTTATTAGATAGACTTTTAATCTAATAGTGCACGGAATACTAGCGAATCCTAATAAGAACTGCTATTTCTTTATAACGAACCGTAGAAAACGAAGGATATATAGTATATAATTCCCGAAATTATTTAGAAACGATTCGGGAACGATTCGGAAACGATTTAGAGACTATATTTCACTTATACTCTAACTCTCTTATATAGATAAGGTGTATATCGCGGGACCTGGAGAAATCTAATAGCGAAAATACGATATCGAATTTCGATTTTTTATACTATACGATTTTAATATAATACCGTGGATTATTATAATCTTATATAGAATACACGTCTACCCTCCCCTACTACTTTTAAAAGCCCCCTTATTAGTTATTAATAGTATTACTTAAGTACTCGCGAAAATTAATAAACCGATAACTACACTAAACGCGTTTCTTAAGTCGAGTAAACTTAGGTAATTCGTGGCAGAATTTAAAGGTAAGATAATTATAGATATTTATGATAGCCTTACGAATACCGATTACTTTCGGTATATTATTCGTAAGTAGCAGATTATCCTCTTTTCTTAAGGCGGTCAAGGTCTTACTTTAGCTTTAGAGTAGATAAAAGAGGTAAACTAACGAATATATATAAGTATACTACCTTATTACTTATAGTTATAAAGAAGATTCTAATAGCCTATATTAGTATATCCAGTATTTATACTAATCACGATATAACTATATAGTAATCTGCTTTCTTAAGGAATAGGTAAAATAATAGAAGTTTCCTAATATAACTTCCTTTTTCGTTAATATTAATTATAAATATATCGGTGGCGTGGAGTAAAAAGAAATTATTTAGGTATAGTATAGTTAAAACTCGGAAAGAGGTATATACCCGAATCGTTCCCGAATCGTTTCTAAATCGTTTCTAATATATATTAGTGCTCTCTTTAATAAGGTGCTATATAAACTCGGAGATAATAGAGATATATCTTTATATATTTCGGCGGGTTTTCCGGATCCTCGAGGATAAGTATAGTATCCTAATTTAATAGAAATACCTTTATAGCACGGGTCTTCTTAGGGTAACTTTAGACTAGGCCTTACTAGCGATTTAAGGCTTTAGAAAATACCTTTAGGAGAGGTATTAGCTTAAAGAGCCTTAGGAAACTTAGATAACTTACTATATAAGACTTTATATAGTTTATTTTCGGCGTAGTATTAAAAGTGTTTTAGGAGGTGACCTAGAATAAGGGGAAGGATTATACTACTAAATCCTTATAAGTTTACTAGAATACTAGACTCGGGAGGATTATAATAACCTGTGTGATAAGATTAGCCGTGAGTTTTTCCCCGAAATTATCTAGAAATAATTCGGACACGATTCCGGTATTATTCGGAAATAATTATAGAACGATTTAGCGATAATTAGGAAACGTTTTCGGTAGGGTAACTAAAACTAACCGACTTACTAGGGAGATTTCCCTAGTATTATAACTAGGCTATATATAAACGCTTTCTATATATCGTTATAGGATTTTACTAAGCTGCCTTAAGTATTCCCGCTAAAGATTAAGCACTAATTGCCGATAATTTAACTATAGTCGAGGTTATATATTAAGCCTTATACTTATAGATTAGGCGGAATATCTATATCCTTAAAGTAATTAATAGGTAAGTTTAGCTTAAGTTATACCGAACCTACTTACTAAGTCTATTAGATATCGCGATTATAATTAGAATCTAATCTTAAGAGATTTTACGACACGTTCTCTTTAAGTCCTAGGATTATAGCGGAATACTAGTATAAAAGGCCGGGTAGATAATTACTTAGGTCGTAAAAGTAAGCTTTACTATTTTATTATATATAGTAAAAGAATTACTAACCTTATAGTATTCTAGAAAGAAAACTACGTAAGACTAACACCGAATAAGAGGAGGAATTTCGTGATCGGTCGCGAAGCCGTATAGTATTAAGTAGCCGATCGATTTCGAGGTCACCGCTTAACCCTCCGGAAGATTTTAGCGTATTCGATTAAAACGATATAGAGTCGGATTCTCGAAGTTCTTTAGCACGAAGTATAAGGAGTATATTATTAAGCGGGGTCCCTCTAAGACGCTTATAAAGTTAACGCCTAAATCCACGTAATCTTTATTAGTAGGCTACCCTGGGTTAGATTTAAGCTTTATAAGCTTCTTTGTCTTTTAAGGAGAGGTCTTTTAATATAGAGGAGCGTAGATATAAGATAGCTCGAAAAGATCGTGAATTAGAGGCTGAAATTAAGAGGCGAAGGCTTAAAGATGAGCGGTATTATACGCTTAAGCTAAAGCGGATCGAACTAGAAAGAGAGTTATTATTACGTTTAGGATAACCGAGTTAGATAGGTAAGAAGACTTTAGTTATCGGTATCGTTATTTGTATTATTATAGGGTATTCTTTTAAAAAAAAGCTATATCTTATAAAAAAACGCCTTTATAGACGCCTAATTATTATCGTGAAGTCCGAAATAGTAAAACCCTAACGTAATTGAAACGTTTCTAAAACGTTTTATAAATAACTATTTACTCCTTATTATTAGGAGTAGTATTACGGGCCTATAAGACCCGATAGTAATAGGGAGGGGGGCGGACGGCCTTAGGGAAATCTAGTAAAATAAATATTAGTCTATTAGTTCTTATTTTATAAAGAGTAATAAACTTACCCGAGACTATTTTACTATCCGCTATATTATTATAGCGATACTTAGCCTAGACTATATAAAGATAGTCGTAATAAGGGGAGGTAGCCTATAAAATAGATACTATTAGTAAAAGATACTAATAGAAAAATAAAATAGAATATACTACGACTAATAGAGTTCTACTCTATACATGCCTAGTAATATTCCTCCGAACTCTAGCCGAAAAGATCTATTTGTATACGAAGGATATCGGGCTAGTAAAATAGATATATTAGCACGCGTTTTTAAATAGGTTCGGAATCGTTTCTGAAATAGTCCTTATATTTCCTTTATTATTTCGCGGAATATTATAAAGATATATATCTTTAGCCACCGCTTTAGCCTTACGAGGAGTGTTAAGCTAACCGTTAATACTAAGAGTAAGGTTTCGTATCGATCGGTAGTATTAAGCGGTGCGGGTATTATCACGAGCGTTAAGGGAGCCCGAAGCACTTAGAGCGGCCTACGTGTAGTGTGTCTTATAGATATATCTCTTTAGTGCACTAATCGAGGAAAATTTAGAGCGCTATATAGAATAAATTAGTTAAAGCCTTATCGCTATTTTATAAATAGAAAGATACTTATATTAAAGCAGAGCTCGCCGTCTTTTTCTATAAAGCGGTAGTATATCTCTCCCGCTACTAGGATAACCTTACTAGTCTTATAGAAGTATTAGTAAACTATAGTGTATTAGATTAATAAGTATACTTATACCGTCCGTCTTAAATTCTGGCAGATTTCTAGGACGTTTATTACTATCTTCCCTATTTATATACTACTAATATACCTCCGTATCTCTATAGTTAGAGGGTATTATCGCGAATTCTGTAGGAGAAATTTTAAAGAGGGTTAGAAAGGTTTCCAAAACGTTTCCTAATCGTTCCCGAATCGTTCCCGAATTATTTCTAACACGGTTAGAGACGTAAAACACTAAAGAATCGATCCTGATAGGAAAATATACCTAAAAATAACGAGGAAGATAAATAAATTAATGTAGTTAATGAAAAAAAGTATTAATAGAGGGTAATAGTGATAGTACGAAAACACTCTCTATAAAAATATAGAGTGGTGGTGAAAGGAAAGAGATAATAATAACGTTAACGCTACGAAAAAGAGGGGAATAACACGTTAACGTGTTACGACGCGACTCGTAAAGACTAGAGAAACGTTTCCCCTATACCGTTATTCCGGTATTCCACTATTCCTCTATTCGACTAATTAAAGCTTAGCCCCACACCTACCCTCAGCTTAACTTTTCCTAGCCACCCCCCCCACACCTACCCTCAGCTTAGCCTCGTGGTTAGATATCAGTTTATATATAGTCTCGCAGGCTAAAACAAAGTACAACCAACGTAAGCACTTTTTTCCTTTTCTGCCAATCTATACCGCCCAAAAAAATTCCCCTCTAGCAACGGCGAGAGTAGGTAGCGACAAGTAATTAGCGAGAGCTCTCCTAAACACTGTGAATTCCCAATTCTCATTCACTCGATCGCCGACAGGGTATCATATTTGAGGTCGATACCTTGGTAATGTCGGTGTCTCCGACAGGCGGCCCAGGAGTTCTTATCCCTCATACAGAAGCTCCATTGGACCCTGCTAGCATCGCGACGGCACCATGAACATTTCTCAACCCGTTTCTTCCGCCATCGAGTCGGTGGAATTCACGTTTCTCACCGACTCGGAGATCCGATCGATATCCGTCAAGCGCATTGAAAATGAAAACACGTTCGACAACCTACTGAACCCCGTCCCGGGTGGTCTCTACGATCCCGCACTTGGCTCATGGGCAGACTCAATGTACGCCCCCGTTTCCCCCCACCGAGTCGCTGCCTTGCTTCTGGCTGTTCTACCCGAGTCCACTGACCCGAATCTGTTCTAGATGCGCTACCTGCAACCTGAGCCAATCTTCATGTCCTGGTCACCCGGGTCACATAGAACTATCTGTGCCCGTGTACCATCCCGTCTACCTGGACCAGGTTCTCCGCCTCCTTCGATCCCAATGCGCATACTGCAAAGGCTTCCGTATGCCCCATCGCGATGTCCACCTTTACACTTGCAAGTTGCGTCTTCTTCAACATGGTCTGATACATGCCGCCCGAGTCATCGACGCCATCGGCGAAAACCTGAAGGGTCTGGCGCTTCCCGGCGTCCCTCAGGAGGAGAGCGAAGCCGAAGAAGAGGGAAGCAGTGTCGATTCGGTCTCGAGAGCTCGGGAATCGTTTGTCAGGCGTCACCTCAGATCAACCGCGAGCCAGCTCAGCATGGGGGATCTGCGAAAGGGCAAACACGAGGGCGCCCTCGAGATGCGAAGGGAAGTCATCAAGGATTTTATGAACGCCATTGCCAAGGCAAAAAAATGCGGCGCTTGCGGCGGTATCTCGCCTGCTTATCGGAAAGACGCCTACGTCAAGATCTTCGAGAAGGCTCTTTCGGAGAAAGATGCGCACAAAATGGCCCAGCAAAACCTCAGGGCGAAGGACGCCATGGCTACAGTCGTGACGCCTGCCAAAGCCAAGGCCAAGGGCAGGCCGAACAGCTACAATTCCGACGAAGGAGTGGCCGATGTCGAAGCATCTTCTGACTCTGGCTCCGGGCAAGACGTGGAAACGGGCGGGATGGAATCAGACGACAGCGAGCAACCAGCCCCCCGGAAGAGTACGGCTAAAGAGCCATCCTCGACGACGAGACGGCAACGGTACCTCAGCGTGATGGAAGTACGCGAGCGCCTGAGGGAGCTCTTCGATAAAGAGCAGGAGGTTCTTGCCCTGGTGTACAACAGCAAACCACCCAAGAAGAAGGCGGGACCAGTCTCGCCAGATATGTTCTTCGTGCAGACCCTTCTGGTTCCGCCGAATAAGTTCCGCCCGGAAGCTCGCACTGGCGACTCGCAGATTGCCGAGGCCCAGCAGAACAGCCTGTACAAGAACGTCCTCCGAGCGTCCGCGACAATTGCACGCGTCCATCAGACCATGGGACAAGCGGCTCAGAGCGGCCGGATTCGGACCATGAGCGACCTCCACCAGGCCTGGACTGAGCTCCAACACGCCGTCAACTCGCTGATTGACAAAGATAGAAACCCCATCATCGGAGCTGCGGCAAAGAGGAATGAGGAGGGCATCAAGCAGATCCTGGAGAAGAAAGAGGGCCTCTTTCGGAAGAACATGATGGGCAAGCGTGTCAACTTCGCCGCCCGCAGTGTCATCTCCCCCGATCCCAACATCGAGACCAACGAAATCGGCGTGCCCCCGGTCTTTGCACGGAAGCTGACGTATCCGGAACCTGTGACGAGCCACAACTTCAGAGACATGCAACAGGCTGTCATCAACGGCGTGGATAAATGGCCGGGCGCGGCTGCGATCGAGTACGAGAACGGCCAGATCACCAACCTCCGCGGGAAGTCCGCAGACGAGCGCGTCTCGCTGGCAAATCAGCTTCTCGCGCCGTCAGATGCCCTCGCCAGCGGCGTCAAGAACAAGAAAGTGTACAGGCATCTTACCAATGGCGACGTTGTGTTGATGAACCGGCAGCCTACGCTCCACAAACCCTCCATCATGGGCCATCGCGTTCGGGTGCTTCCGGGCGAAAAGACGATCCGCATGCACTACGCCAACTGTAATACGTACAACGCCGATTTCGACGGAGACGAAATGAATATGCACTTTCCCCAGAACGAGGTGGCCAGGGCCGAGGCGCTCCAGATTGCGGACACGGACCATCAGTATCTCTCGGGCACCGCAGGGAAGCCTCTGCGAGGTCTGATCCAGGATCATATCTCGGTCTCCGTGGCCCTATGCAGCAAGGACGCGTTCTTCCACCGAGCGGACTACATGCAACTCATCTACGCCGCCTTGCGGCCAGAGAGCGGACACATTCTGGGCGAACGTATCGAACTGGTACCGCCAGCCGTCCTCAAGCCGGTCCCGAGGTGGACGGGCAAGCAAGTCATTACGACAATCCTCAAGAACATCAAGCCGCCGAATGGAGAAGGAGTCTGGATGAGCGGTAAGACGCAAGTACCGGCCGATCGCTGGGGCGAGCATTCCGAAGAGGGCGCAGTGCTGTTCCAGAATGGCCAATTCATCCACGGCATCCTGGATAAGGCGCATTTGGGGCCGAGCTCAGGCGGTTTCATTCATTCGATTCACGAAGTTTACGGTCCTGCCATCGCTGGCAAACTTCTCAGCGCCCTGGGGAGGCTTCTGACCCGGTTCCTGAACATGCGCGCTTTCACATGCGGCATGGACGACCTGAGACTCACGCCGGAAGGCGAGCAGACCAGGCGGGAAGTCCTGAAGCAAGCTGCAGACATCGGTCTCGAAGTGGCGGCCAAATACGTCTCGCTCGAGGACGCCAAGCCTACCGACACGGACGCGGAGCTCTTGACCCGACTGGAGGAAGTCATGCGCGACGACAACAAGCAGGAAGGTCTCGATCTGCTCAGCAACCAGAGAAGCGGACAGCTCTCTTCCGCCGTGACGAAGGCGTGCCTTCCCAAGGGTCTGGTCAAGCAATTCCCCAAGAACCAGATGCAGGCCATGACGATTTCCGGTGCCAAGGGAGGAGCAGTCAACGCCAACCTCATCTCTTGTAACCTCGGGCAGCAGGTTCTGGAGGGCAGGAGAGTTCCGGTGATGGTCAGCGGCAAGACCCTGCCCTGTTTCCGACCGTTCGAGTCCCACGTTCGGGCTGGCGGTTACATTGTCAACAGGTTCTTGACCGGTATCCGGCCGCAAGAGTACTATTTCCATCACATGGCTGGCCGCGAGGGCCTCATCGATACCGCCGTCAAGACGTCCAGGTCCGGATACCTGCAACGGTGTCTCATCAAGGGCATGGAAGGTTTACGGGTATCGTATGACTCGACCGTCCGAGACGCCGACGGGACTCTCGTGCAGTTCCTCTACGGAGAAGACGGCCTCGACGTGACCAAGCAGAAGTACTTGACGGACTTTAGCTTCGTGCTGCGCAACATCGGATCCGAGTCGGCGCAGCTGAACTTTGGAAGCAATTTCAAGGAGATGTTTGCGGAGACCAAGGACGAGATTGTGCGCCACATGAAGAGCGCGATCAAGCACGCGAAACTGAATCATCCCAACGCAAAGGACCCCGTCAACTCCATGGTTAACCCTGCCCGGATAGCGTTTGCCACGTCGGAGAAGTTCTACGAGGCGATGACCAAATACATCAAGGAGAACAAGGACGGTCTGATCAAAGAGAAGGGCGACAAGGAGAAGGGCGGTGGCCGCGGCTCTTCCTCGCTCATTCCGAGCGTGGGCAAGAAGTCGGCGGAGCTCGTACTGGCGGCCAAGTACATGCGGTCCCTTGTCGAACCTGGCGAGGGCGTCGGCATCGTGGCCGGTCAGAGTGTGGGTGAACCGTCGACGCAGATGACCCTGAACACGTTCCATTTGGCAGGTCATTCTGCCAAGAACGTCACGCTGGGTATCCCTCGTCTTCGAGAAATTCTCATGACCGCCAGTCGGACCATCTCGACGCCTGCCATGACCATCTTCCCGAACGAGGAGCTCACCCAGGCGGAATGCGAGATGTTCACCAAATCCATCAGCGTCCTCCCCATGGCCCACGTGTTGGACAAGGCTGTTGTTCATGAGCGCATGGGCAAGGGCAGGGACGGAGGCCTGCATAAGTTCTACGACGTACGGCTCACGTTCTTCCCGGCGGAGGAGTACACCAAGGCGTACGCCATTGAGGTTGCGGACGTTCTCACGGCCGTGGAGAAGAAGTTCCTTGATCACCTTGTCAAGTTCATGTTGAGGGATGTCAGGAAGAAGATGGTGCCGCTGAGCGCCGCCGCGCCGGCCGTCGGCACCAAGTCCGGCGTGGTGGAGATGGCTACGGGAACAGGCGGAGCGGCAAGAGCTGCACTCGACGACGACGGCGGCGACGACGACGACGACGAGGGTGATGGTGACGCCACCAATGTCAAGGCGCGGGTGAACCGCTCCGAGGCGGTGTCGTATGGTCCGAACGACGAGGACGATGATGCGATCCAGAGGGAGATGGCGCGTGAGGCGACCGACGATGAGGAGGAAGACGAAGGGTTTGGCGGTAGCCCGGCGCCCGAGGGCCCCAAGCGGAAGGGAAAGAACGACATGGCCGATGACGAGTCGGAAACCTCAGGCTCGGAAGACTCGGATGACAAAAAGGACGGCGGGCGAGCCGAGCGGGTGAAGAGCCGATACAGACACGTGTCGCGATTCCGCAGCGACGAGGCGACGGGCGGCTGGTGCGAGTTTACGCTCGAGTTCGACGCGAACACGCCCAAGCTCCTCATGCTGAACGTGGTGCAGGAGGCGGTCAGGAAGACGGTCATCCAGGAGGTCCCGGGTGTCGGCGGCTGCACGCTCGTGGACGACCACCTGCTCCGCGACGCGGACACGGGGGCGGAGAAGAAGGTCAGGGCGATCCACACGGCGGGGTCGAACCTGAAGCAGATGCAGCGGTACGGCGACTACATCAACCCGAACCGGACGTCGACGAACGACATCGCGGCGGTGCTGGACGTGTACGGCGTGGAGGCGTGCCGCAGCAGCATCGTGCTCGAGCTGGGCAACGTCTTCGGGGGCCACGGCATCTCGGTGGATAACCGGCACCTGAACCTCATCGCCGACTACATGACGCGCGGCGGCGACTTTAGGCCCTTCAACCGCAACGGGCTCCGGGGTAATGTGAGCCCGTTCACCAAGATGAGCTTCGAGACGACGCTCGCCTTCCTCAAGGACGCTGTGTTGGATGGGGATTGGGATGACCTCTCGACGCCGAGTGGCCGGCTCGTCATGGGTAGGCTGGGCAAGCTGGGCACGGGTGCGTTTGACGTGTTCACCAAGTTGCCTACGCGGCATGCCCTGTCTGCTGCGGAGTAGGTGGTGCTTGGCTCAGCGGCCAAAAAGAAAATGAAGAAAAAATGAAGAAAAATGAAGAAAAAAGAAGGAAAGGAAAAGGAAAAGGAAAGGGGTTTGCAGAATGAGAAATTTGGCTTTCCATGCCCCCTTACCTGGTTCTGTATGAACAAGAACAAGAAAAGAAGAAGGGGTCTGCTTGTCTGGATTTCTGGGATTTTCTGAAAACACTCATGCATCCTCGTGCAGGCGTCTGATCGGTGTAGATAATAAATGGGATTGATGTTGTTGTATGTAGTACATACTTCGTAGCTTGCTTTTAATTTCGGCACATTGGCTTTGCCGTCTACTTTTGTTTCTGCTATCTTTTGTAGAGAGTGAGGCTTACCATTCTTTCGTCGTGATGCTCATGATGGATGAGATGGCGTTGTACCGTATTAACTGTCGACTTTACGATGGCCGCCGAGATGGTATCTGCTGACGTAATGGAGCGTCTTGCCCTTGTCTCTTCGCTTCTGGCAGCAGAATACAGGTATCGAAGGAGTATCTAAGGTACCTAGGTACTGGGTACTGGGTACTAGGTACTGGGTACTAAGTAATTACCGTTACACAAGGACACAGGCCGACTCCTCTTTACTCCGCAATACTTCCATAACGCCCGCCCCCGAGTTGGCGGTGGGTCGGGGAAGTATCCGTATATTTTAGAAAGGCGCGAAGACGCGAAGACGCGAGGAAGGACCGAGACATCCCAGGCTAAGGTGGGAGAAGGGATCGTGGTCCTGGAAACGTCGGGCTCGCATGGTTACACAGCTTTCAGAACAAGCGAGAGAAGCGCCGTGTGACGTTGCACCAACGACGAAGATTAGACGAGCTCGCGCCTAGGTGGACAACGGAAGTCCGTCCCACTATTTGCCTGGAGAGGCAATCGCATATACGGTGTGGTGGTGTGTGGAAGGGGGGTGGGGAAAGGAGGGGTCGGGATGGAACAGTGTGTGGGGCCGGTGGCAGCGGGGAAAAAAAGACGGTTGGGGATTGAATCGAGTCGGTGCAACTCGAGCAACTACGCAGGAGGTTACTGATAAACTGATATTGAACTCGGTGGCTAAGCTGAGGGTAGGTATAGGGCTAGTGGGGCGACTTATTAAGCTGAGGATAGGTGTAGGGGGTGGTTAGTGCTAGGTTATATAATATACGTGTATACCTTAACTAATCTTTAGGTGTTAATAGAGGGGTAAATAAGTAAGGGGTAGTATAGTAAGAGATAGTGATAAATTAAGGCGATAGGAAACGATTCGGAAACGATTCGGAAATGTTTCGAAAAGTTTAAATAATTTCTTTAGTATAGATCTCGACTCGGAAATAGATCCTGATAGTAAGATTTAGTAAAGGGAGGACTTACTAAACCTAGAAAGTTAAGAAGACGACTTTTATAACTTAAGATTTATTAAAAATAAGAATCTAAGACTATATCTTTTATTATTATTATTAATCTTACTCCGCTATCCTAACTAATCTATAATTATTATTTTAGGAGCCTTTCTAGGCTATACGGTCCTTCTCAGGTAGCTATAGAGGGGAAAACCCAGGTAAAACCCGGGGAAAACCTCTATATACTTCCTTAGGTGGAGTAGTGCCGCTACGGGGCCGATATAGCCCCGGTTCGTCTCTGCTACGTATCTGGATTACACCTCTAGGCTAGTGGCTAACGGGAAGTATAGTAGGCTAGTGGTTAGGTAGGTTAGCCTAAGCTAATTATTAGCGACGGAGTAGAGGCTGAGGGGGGTACCGCCGCGCCTCCGCGGTATAGTAGTTACGTCCCTTTAGCCTCGGCCTCCTTATATCTCCGAGGATTATACCTTTTATTCCTTCCATTCGGTTAATAAAGAGTATAGGGGAGGCAGGCGCCTCCTACCTCCCCTAAGTAGGTTCCTACTATATCCGGCGGTAGGTAAGGAGGATAGTGCTTTACCCTATTATAAAATTTAGATAGTTAATATCCTATAAGGTCTTCGTGCCTCTTTTTCCTCTCTCTTCCTCCTATAACGCTAACGAGTTTGTTATAGGTTTTCCTCCCGATCTATACCCGCTTACGGTGCCGTAGGCTTATCGTTACGGCTTTATACTAATAGTAAACCCCTTTAGTTTTCCTCGTTATTTCTTCCTTATAATTTAACTATAGGTGCTTTATAGGTGGCGCCGCGGTGGCGTGGTGGCGTGGAGGTTAACTGGGTAATATAGTATTAATTTATATATATAAATAAGTAATCCGAAGTGGTAGTATAATATAAGTTCTCTTCGTGGCGCGGCGGTGCCTTAGTGGTAGCGTGCTAATAGCCGTAGATATCGTCTCCTAATAACACTAATACTAATAATAATAACCGCCGCTATAAGCGCGGTATAGTTTGTGTTATGCCGTATATAGCCCTTAGTAGCGTCGGAGTAGTGTCGTAGCGCTAACGTGGGGTAGTTATATTCGTTATAGTAAGCGTTTAGGCACTTACCCCGATAATATAGAAGCTTACGCTAACACCACGGGAATAAGCGCGGCCTATTACTAGTATACTAATAGTCGCCGTCTATATAAGGATATAAGTCGCCTCGGTGCCGTGGTGGTGCCGTGTATATATTATAGTAGTTATAGCTAATAGTTTAATAGGTCCCCTCCGCTGCTAAGAAGTAGTAGTAATGCCTTATAGATATCTATTAGGTATATATAGCGGTAAAGGCCGCTAGTAGTGCGGGTATCGCTATTATAGGTATCCCTTTTCGGTACCGTGGTGGCTCCACACTAATAAGTTATAGGCTAAGGAGCGCCTAAGGATAGCGTCCCGGTCTTTTAGCCGGGCTCTGAACCGGGCGTTACCTTCCGGTCGCGGTCGCGGCGGTACCGAGTCGGTAGAGGTATAGGAGTTATCTTGTTAGATAAGACGTTTAGAGGGTAAGATGGATTTAGTCCTAGAAAACCTTATAAGTGGCACCCCCTCGGTCTTGCTATAGCTCCCTAGCGGTATTAGTTAGCTAACTAGTCTAATAGGGTCTTAAGTATATTAAGAGCGGTATTAGTGCCTCTAAGGGAGGTAATAACGATAAGAGCTAATCTATACCGTACTAATACCACGTCGATACCGCCGGGGTCCCGGCTTATAGGGCCCCTATCCTAATAATTAATTAGTCGTCGTGTCGTCTTATCCCCGATACGGTCTCGCTTCGGTATCACGGGTGTCTTCGTAGGCCTTTATAGCTTCGAGGGCGAGGCGGAAGTCCTTAAGCCTCTTCCGTTATAGGAACCACCTTATAACTATCCCGGCCTCGGTATTATATTCTAGTGCGTCGTATAAATCTCCTCTAGTTATAAGTGGCCTTCTTACGGCACTAAAGAGGTCCCTACGGTCTTCCTCGGTTACCTCCTAGTACTAGAGTCCTATATGCTCCGCCGTTTCCGCCCTTCCATCTCCGTAAGGGCACCGCGGTGATGAGAAGCCCGGCACCCTCGCTTTAGCTAGGAATACTCGTAGGCCTAGTTTTTCTAATCTAATCTAGGTAAGTACGGAGCTCTATAGCTTAAGGAGCCCTCTATATTTCTGGAGGGAGCGTTATATCGGGGGGCGGCTTAGTACCGCTACGGCGTAGGTATAGGGCCGCCGTGCTTCTGCCTAGGCTCGACCCTATTCCCTTATAAGGGCCTTCCTCGGGGGCGAGGTTCCGGCCTAGGTTATTAGGGCGGTAAGCTATACTATCCATGCGAGGGCGGCGTAGGTCCTATAATACCGGTTCGGTGCCGCTAGGGCTCTCGCCGCGGCGTATACTCCGGCTAATATCTTATCTTTAGTCCCTTCTTCTTATATCCGGAGGATCTTTTAGGCACTTAGGCTTAAGAGGTATAGGTTAAGGGGGGGGATAAAGGTCTCTTTTTCGAGGACCCTAACCGGCGTGGCTTTATAGGCTCCGGCTATTAGTCGGAGGCATCGGTTCTATACCGCTATAAGTGCCACTACGGGGCTATACCAGGGGCCAGCCCCTATCTTATAAACGGTTAAGGCGTAATAGGCGATTACTAGTTGTATAACTACGAGGTATAGTCTCCTTATATCTACGAAACTATACCCCCACGCTACCGCGCTAAGCCTTAAGAGGGCGTATATTTAGGTGGCTAGGCGGCTCTTTACCTCTTTAGTGTTTTGTCGGAAGTTAAGCTTCCTATTAAGCCATACGCCTAGGAGCCTTATCGCCTCCGCTACTAGTACTAAAGTAGCACCGAGGGGGAACGGGGTGGGTAAGGGTTAGCGTGACTTCGTGAAGGGGATATAGATATATTTAGCTAGTTCAAACTATAGCCCGCTCGCTAACTCCTAGTCTAGGTATACCCGCTACGCGGCGGCGAGGCGTTACCGCGTTTATGTCTTTATTCTGCCGAAGGCGATAATATTCGTGTTATCGGCGAAGCCTACCACTATCGTTTTAGGAACCCTTTTTAGTTCTTCGTATAGGGTAGAGATATAGAGAATAAAGAGGATAGGGGAGATTAGGGAGCCCTATAGTATACCCCCGCGGAGGTATCATGGGGGGGCCGTTTCGCTATTAAGTAATAGCTAGGCTATACGGTCTTAAAGGAAGCTACCGACTAGGGTAATAAGCTACCGGGGGAAGCCTTTCCTTTCGAGTACCTTAAGGAGGCGAGGATAGGGGATAGTATCGAAGGCGCCTTTAATATCTAGTTAGAGTATTAAAGCGGTGCCGCCGTAGGCCTAGCTCGCCTTTACGGCCTCCGTGACTCTCTATACTACCGTCTTTATACTTCGCCCTATCTGGTTTTCTATCTATCCCTCCGGGAGGAGCCGATACTCCTCCGCTACGGTAGCGATCCGATTAGCTAGTATCCCCTTAAGGACCTTACCTATTATGCTAAGGAGTGATATCGGTCGTTAGCCCTTTACTATTCCGTAGTCGGCTAGTAGCCGGCCTTCCTTTTTAAGAATTACTATAGTAGTATAGCAGCACCTTTTCGGGTAATAGCTTACTTTAAGGCATGCTATAAAGATAGCACTAAGTCTTTAGTGTATAGGGGGTCTATATACTTTTAGGAGCCCTGCTAGGAGTCCGTCTAGTCCTAGTACCGCCTAGGGTTTCGTTTTCTTAAGGCGCCCCTATATATCCGCTACGGTGATATCTCGGCGGACGTCCTACCCCGGGGGGAATTCCGCACCTAAGGGTCTAGGGGCGGTAGGGGAGGGGGGGGGGAAGAACTTCCGGTTAAGGACTTCGGCTTTTTCTGCGTGTATAGTTACCGGGTTATCGCTATTATCTTAGTATAGTGGTAGCACCGACGGGGGGTCCGGCGGTACTCC